ATGAAAAACTACCTAAATTCGTCGCAACTCGAGCGCCTTCCAAAAATGTGTGCCTGTGAGTTCGGAAATCGGGCGTCGACGGGGTATGAAATTTGACCATAGTTTCTGTACCCTGATTCTGATTAAAGTCTGATTCAGATAGGCTGAGTAATGACATCGTCTATATACTTAGTGAATTATCGAGAATTTAAGAGAAGTGAGTGACATTGCAGAACAAGCTTTGTTTTTAACAGATAGATGTATAGAAAAAAAATTATAGAGAACGATATCGGGATAATTTTGAAAATATTTGAAAATTTTGCACTTTTGTCAAATTTCTGAAATGTTCCTGAAATGTAAATTTATCCTGTAAATGTAATATTTTATAATAATATATCAGAAATAATATTTTGAAACTATTACAAATATAACATACTAATATTTCAGATATATATCTGACAACAGACACAAACTTCCAATTATTTAGAATATAGGGTTTTCTCTGGATATAGACTGAAATAAAATTATATTATTTAAAATGACTACATATATAACCCACCTTCTTCCTCTTCTAACAAATGAGAAATTTTTCAAATTTTGGCCATTTACAACATAACCATTTTGTAACCTTTTGTGTAACATTTATGAAACATTTTCAGTGAAATATTTAACTAAAATATTTCAGAAACTTGTGCTTGAAATGTTATATGTTTAAAACGTTTAAAAAATGTCTGAAACATTTGTGAAATAATGTGTTCCTTATGGAAAGTTGCTCCGACTATGCCCAATATCTAATAACTCATTAGAGGATGCATTCCCAGATAACACACCAAATCCCAGAGATATCCACAGAATATCTTTTGTGGATATCCAATATATCCACAGGATATCAGAAATATCCCGTGGATCTAATATGGATATCCAAATGTCCGTCTATATCCAGAATATAGAAGATATCCTATGGATATCCAGCAAAATATCTAATGGGTATCTTCCAGACAATACAAGAAATCCCACAGATATCCACAGAATAAATTTTGTGGATATCCAATATATCCAGTGGATCTAATATGGATATCCAAATCAAAGTATATTAACCGTTGAGTAGCGACATAAAGCGTCGGTGCCTTTGATCTTGGGTTGTGCAAATTTTCTTTGTCTCTCTTTTGACGTTATTGACGAAACGACACAGTAAAACACTGCCCGAATTATGAACTGGTCTTGAATGTGATGTTTACACTGCTCGACGTAATTTGAAGTAAAACTCTTTTGTAGTTTACATTTATAATAAAGGTTTGGTCATTAGGCAGTTTTATATTTATGAGTATTTAACTTATGTAGTAAATATAAAAATATATATCGCTATTGATAAATTTCAATTTTTTTACTTACGTCCGGATGAGCTAGAGACTTGAAAGTTGGTAGGTACACAGGGTTTTGATTTTTGATAACACTAGAAATTATTACTTATGGACCTTCTGATTTATTAATCGAGTTGTCTCAAACTTTAAATTTCGCGTTGTTTAAACATGTCGCTGAATACAATTTTTGACTAATAATGCGCTCCGTTACTCAAAACTTTTAATTCACGTTTAAAGTGTTTGACAGAGGTATCTGATTTGACAAGTTATTCATACAACAATATGGAAGTGATTTGTTATCACGAGACCTTGTCGAGCAATGTCGATAAGCACATGCATTTCCTGGCATAATGAAAAACCCACAAAACCCCAAAAAATCTTAACAAAAACACAATAAAAGAGCACTAATAAATCCACAACAACGAATTCCTATATCAGCTGCCGGACAAAAGTGAAAGGGGTTGTTTACATCTTTAAAAGACGTCTCGCCTCTCTATTCTGCGTCGGCGCACTAGAATTCGGTTCTCCAGCTGTCGCTACTCAACGCTTAATATACTTTGTCCAAATGTCCGTCTATATCCCAGGATATAGAAGATATTCGGATATTCAGCAAAATATTTTATGGGTATCTTTAGTAGAGGCACAGTTTATTGCTAAAGAATCAGTTAGCTCACTTGGACCAGTTGAATGTTCCAAAATAATATCCATTCCAGGGATACAAATTCAGGATGCGCAGATGACTGCTGTTTGAATATAGGCGGTTGTCATATATTTGATTGGTTATGATTTGATTCTGTATGCGCCAGGGATACAAATCCGAGTTGCGCAGTGTATAAACTGGAACGCAGACTGAGCGAACTGATTCTTTAGCTGTAAACTGTGGTAGAGGTTCATAAGTAACCAATGAATATTGAATAACGTCGAAAGAAAATAGCAGAGATAAAAAATATTTTCAACACTCAAAATATTTTCAACACTCTGCCTTTAATTTTGCCCCCTAAGGAGAAAGTCATTCTTATTAAGACTCTTCAGCAATAAATGGAAATTCTCGACTCCAGTCTCTAATGGAGTCTGACTGAGATACCAATTTCGATCGAACTCAATTACGGCGGGTTGAGCATGAGCACGAGCGAAAGTGGTATCGCCATCTATACTTAGTAAGCAAAATCAAAAATTACATCTAGTGGATATCCACCATGGTTTGCGTTCGCGTCTAGACTTTAATATATTTAGTGGATGTCCATGGGATATTGAATACACCTTAAAAAAATTAATTTTAAATATCTGAACGGTACTATTAGCCACAATGGCGTAATTTTTTAATAATTTGCTATATATTACTATTATTTATGGAAATTTGCATGTCTATAAATTACATCTCATGGATATAAAATAGATATCCACCATGGACTGGACATTCAGTGGATATTGGGATGTCCACTAGATATCCAAAGGATTTGGTGTGCTGTCTGGGTTAAAGTTTAAATAAAGTTATTAGACATAAAAAGTTCTTCATGACTTAAAACCTAAAATTCAATCATCTGATACCAAATTTTATCAATCTATACGAAGTTTATCAAAAATAAAGATACTTTATTCTTGAGCAAAATTTATATTTTTTGACGAACATCGTATACGGCTCAAAAAATGTGATATCTGATGGTTGCATTTGAGATTTTAGACCATGCATAACTTTTCATGCTGATACATTTTTGTTTATAAAACTAATAATAAAAAAGTTTTCCATTTGTAGCCAACTTGCGTAGACAAATATATTAACATTTTATAAAAAGAAATTATTCTGTATAAAACCTTGGACACAAAACATAGATACCACCCTGATATGAAGATAATTCTTATTGCTCTAAAAATGGATAAATTAAAAATGAAATATCTAACCGAGGAAAGTTCACTATTATTTATCATTCTAATAAATTATAAAATAAAAATAAATTGTCATTTTCTCAATAAAAAATACAATTTCAAATGTCATAACAGTATAATGTAAAGACTATTTTAGCGGAAAAAGATAAATAAAAAATCTTGTTTTATGAAAGTTACAGTGAGATATAATATTTAAAAACTGGCAAACGCCTCTTGTACAGCACTCAGTATATAATTTTAATTTTAAGCCGAAAGGACCTTCTCAGGTAAAACTAAAGAGATGATATTCATTATATTACTATAATATAGGTACCGATCCTTGAACGCCCGAGTTGCGAACCTACCTGTAGCCTTATTACGCACAAATGCGAATAATTAAGTATTCCGCTCGAGTTGCGACGCACGATATAAGCATAAATCGTATTTTTAGCCGGGTCCAGATCAATAAATATTTACGTTTTGCATTGTATTTGACGCAATTTTGCTTGTATTCGTCAAAATAGTTCTAGATATAGACTGTGCGCCGCACAAAAAAACACGCAAATATTTGTGACAGATACAACACTCGCTATCCACCGGTCTGTCGGTTTTTCTGTCAACTTCAAAGAGATTTGCGTCGAACAACCCACCAATTTTATTTACCAACTACGCACGACGCACGAAAATGGATCGTAATAGATACACCAACACAACGCACATATTTGCGAGACAAAATCACAATAAACAAAATATTTGCGCCGCAAATATTTTTGTCGAATTCAACACACAACATTCAACACACAAATTTATTGAACTGGACCCGACTTTTGGTTCGGTTTTGGATTTGGTCTTAAATACACGAAAACTTTTTTCATCTTTCAAAACGTGTTTTTATTTAAAAACTACATACCTCAACATTCTTATATCGTTCTCATGATTGAGGATTTTTAAAATGAGTGGATACCTATTACTTAAAAGTACGTAAAACACAGGCACTACATGTTTCGGAAACATATGTAGTGCCTGTGTTTAAATTTTATAACCCATTTGCCACCTCCTAAGATTATTGCCCCGGACAAGGGCTTGGCTTGTCCGCAATTACTGCCGGTCCTGCCATGTACAATATTTGCATCTGAAACAAAAATTTTAAAGGAAACAATATTTAGTACCAAATATCTTGCAAGTTGTATAAGTTTTTAATTTTTAGAGACTGAAATATATTTAAGAAAAAAATATTTTTATACTTTAAAACATATCTGACTAACTATTCCTGTTTATTACTTTCATCTTTGGCCCTTATTTGATATTCGCAGGAATAAAAAACAATACTAATTAAAATAATACATAAAACTCAATTTGCGTTTATCATATTTTGAGTTCAGGCCTTTTTATACGAAAGTCTAGTGGTAAATATCTACGTCCACATACTATAGACACTAACACATTTTATTATTAAAAATAACTTGGCGTAATTAAAATGTTTTTTACAGCCAAACATATTTTTCATGAACCCTGTATCGTATCCAAAAAATCCTTTATTAAAATAAGATGTTCAAAAATAGGTGTCAACCATAAATTTAAATATTGTTAGTCGAAATCAAAAATAAATAACACGGTGATTTCATTCATGAAAATAGCTATTAAAATGATATCATCAAAACATTAGGGAAATGACTCGTATCTAAATATAATTTACATAAGAAAGCAGTCAGTATTTCGGCATTTTTAATTCGAATACCGTACAAATATGTTTTTTGTTTGTGATGAGACTAGTAAAAGGTAAATGACTTTTTACAGCTCATCATGATCACCAGGCCTTGCATGACCGGTTAGACACCACACGAAGAGAGCTTGAAGACGAAAGGGATTGTGTAGAAAGATTAAAAAGAGAGGCAAACAGCCGCTTCGAACAAGACAGAGCCAACATAAATAAGTTAAAAGAGGAATTAAGCAAATGCAAGACCAAATTAGATGAAACTAAAGCTAGAAACGAGGAGGACTTACACAAATTAGAACAGAGAATCGAAGAGACAAAAACCGAACGTGATAATTGCCAAAGCGAGGTGGAAAATTTGAAAATACAGTTGCAGTTAACTGAAAATAAAGCTGAAAGTGTTGGTAATCAATTACATGAAACTATTAGAAAATTAAAAGAAGGTAAGTCCAAGCTTCATGTTTTTCGTCCGTCATAAATAAATAAAAAAGGACATTCAAATTTAAAAATAAAAATGGTGTTGGTTGAAAAGTTATTTTAAATACATATTTTTTTAATTGTTTGGTTTTCTAGTTACTAAAGATCAAATCATTGTAGATGCATTTTATAATTTTTCAAATAATTCTGAATAGCAATAAAATTAAATGTTCCAATAAGCGCGCAATTTTTTCAGGTGGCATCATTGCTAAAAATTATAAACTATAATGCAGTGGCGTAGTAAGAAAATTTTTTAAAAATTATAAACTATAATGCAGTGGAAAAATGTTCGGGGGGATACATACATTAGAGTATAAAAAAGTTTCGGGGAGGGTTTCGTCCCCAAAATTCCCCGTTGCTTCGCCACTGCTATAATGTATTTAATATTTCATTAAAATTTAATATACCCTATTATTTTAGACTATATTTTAAATAAAAAATATTTATGTGTGATATTTGTTGTATTACATTTTTTTTAATATACAGGGTATCTTGAAACTCAGTTAAAATTTTTACACAATAATAATAATAATTTGGTAAATAAATGATTCTCACTTAAATTACTAAACCCTATTAATGTTTAAGGATGATAAAGCATAATATTCGCCAATCGTTAATCGTATACAGGGTGGGTCAACATAAGCAGAATTTAGTCTGTCATCGATGTCTATAGTACTTACATTGAAGGATAGAAAATTGAAAAAGTTGTAAAAAAACTCCCTCCCCCCCCCCCCATTCACTTATAGGAAACATGAGCTGGTTATTTCGAAACCAATGTATATAATGGGTACATGGATGGATAGAGGGTCGCCAGAAATGTTTTAGAAAAATAACTCCCCCCCCATTCTTTTTATTTATAAGAAATAAAAAAAATTACATTTTAGCGACAAGGTGCATAATTGGGGTGTATGAAAATTTTTCCCACCCATCCTTCAGTTTTTCATATTAGCCCCGCGCAGAATTTATTTTCGATTTTTCTATATTTTTGGATATGGTTGTATAAAGGACGAAAAGTTAATGCTCAAATTGAACTTTAACACCCCTCCCCTTCTCCCTCCTATCGCTAGAAAATTTGACATTTTTTTTTAAAAATTATGACTGGAACACTATTAAATTGGTGTTTAACCAATTGGAAGGGACCATTATGATTCCCAGAAGGAAAAGTCACTACCCCCTCCCAGAAATTGTGTGAAGGGGACAAATATTTTTTCATAATTTGAGTATTTTGACATATAGGTATAGATAATTAAAAACTAAAGATACATGTGGGTCGACCTGCCCCCACCCCTATTTTTTGGATCCGTTTTTAAGTCATTAACGATTTTTTTTGTTATATTTTACGCCGATGTGCCAGAACGTCAAGAATTACCCCCCACCCCACTTTTTGGAGTCCCCAATAGTAACCTCAAAGTGAAAATTTGGTTCACTTCTGCCATCGCAACGATTTGGTACCACAAACACCTCATTTAATTTTTTTATATGAAATTAAACTAGTTTCGCCCCTATCGTCGTAACAATCATAGACGACTTGCCCTTCAGGCCATTGAGTGAAGCTTTTGGTACCACAAACACCCCATTGTTTTTTTTTACATGAAATTCACCAGTTTCGCCCCCGTCGAGGAGTCCGAAGGACTCATTGCAACAGTCGTCGATGATTCCTTGGGACACATCGTAATTTATTTTCATCCTGTGCCACCTAAATTATTTGATTTTTTAAAATCTGTTTTCACAGCGATATGTACCTATATCAGAAAAGGCAACAATTTAAAAATAATTTCAATTATACAGGGTTCTCCAGGAAAGTGATACATATCAAAGTTAGGTTTTTTTAAACGGGACACCCTGTATTTTATTTTTGAATTGTCCTCTTTTTCCCATTAGAACCATATTAAATAGTATGCGATTATGCAGGGTATTTGATACGCTATAACCAATTTTATATAAAAATCGAATTGATTTTAATGACCTGTATTCAATATTAGTTAACATTTAATGCCGATGCACTACGTTTTTCAATTCGAATAAATTATGTACAGGATGAGTCAAAATTCAAATAAATCATTTTCTATTTTTTTAATTGACCACTCAGTATTTTATATCACCATTCGAAAGTACATTAATTAAAGTTTCATTTGAGTCAAGCATTTCCTATACCTAAAGTTAATAATATTGGGAAATTTTTAAATTTAAATGACAAAAAAAATAATTCACAAAATACTTTAATTTCAACCGCAATGAATATCATTATTATAGGTGTTTCAACTTCGCTCAAATATCATATAAAAACAAAAGAAAATATATGGCACCGAACTGTACGTAGTTATAAAAAATCCACCAGAGGTTGGTAAAAAATAATCTACCCTTTGACCAAAAAACCTAAATTTGATATGTATCATTTTTTTAAAGAGCCTTGTATAATTGATTCGATCTATATCTCGCTCTGAAAACAGATTTTTAAAAAATCGAATAGTTTTGGCTCTACAGACCGAGTTGTTACTGGTGGCCCACACTGTATATGTAACGTATCCGCATGATACAAAAGGTCAACTATCTCAAAACCCTGTATATAATTTTATGGTAGTTTGGCAATCGAATTTAGAAGCACCTTCTATTATTATTAAATTAGATCCGCCTAATATAGACTTAGAATAAACAACGTACAATATTAACAAGTTCATATTCTCATCCATTATTTATTATTTCTTATTTCCAAAACTTAATGAAATCATAAAAAAATCTCATCTCATTTACGTAAACATAAACATAACCAATTGTAATTATAATAAAAATGTGCAAATCTTTCAATCGTTCAACACATGCACTAACTGTTTATTATTTCAGCTGAAAATAATTCGGAATCTCTTAGAAAAGAGCTAACAGATACGAGACGACTTTTAACGGACGGCAACTTCGAGAAAGAGAAGTATCATAACACCAACAAAGAGCTCAGAGATCACATCAAGAAGACCGAAAGTGAAAAAAGGGAACAGGCTAGACAACTTGAAGATGCTTACAAGAATATATCAAGTAAGTACACAATAATTTTACGAGAAAAATACTGAATTTTCAAGTTTTTTAATTCTAATATTTACTTATACAGGGTCTCGTAACATTTCATGAGTACGCCATTCATAGATAAATTTATATCGATTATCAGTTCGATTTTTTTCCTATTTGCTAGCATTAAATTTGTTTGTTTCTTATAGTGAGTGATAGTATTTATATTAAAAATGAAATTTTGTTTCTTGAGATAAATGAATATCTACAAATTCACTGTATTCGGTTTTATTTCGTTTTATATTTATACAAAGTGCCACAAAGTTCACTTCATAATATAAGAATAAGGACACTTAGATTTTTAATTAAATTTTTCAATAATAAACATTAGGTACCTGAAATTTTTTTGTTTCCTTCTCACATCTGACCTACCTATATGTAAGCAAATATATAAAAGAATGTTAACTTTCAAACACTCTGTATTTTAACTTTAATATAAAAAACAACGAATAACGAATTATTTTAAATAAGAAAGAATGCCAAATTCTAAACATCATCAAAATCTGTTTTTTGTTCCAATATATATCTCTCGAAGTGGCGCCGTAGTGAAATAACAAATTGGTAATATCGTTTTTCTACACCCACATGGATATTAGCTTATCTACGCTCAGATTACAAACCGAAAAAGTATGCTATTGCGTTCAACTGAACGAATATATTTCATATCAATTTTAGGTAGTGAGAACACTGCAAAAAATGAAGTCAACCAATTACAGTTCATATTTTGGACACCCAACCACTATTATTTTTAAAATTTTAAATAAGTGATAATTCTGTCAAACTAATTGTCATTATATTTTTTGATTATTGGGATTAAATATACATTAAAGCGAAAGTTATTTTTGTGTAGAAACGATAAATAGCATTTTTATTTTTATTTGGTTAACATTTTTAAAATTTTTATCAAACTTTATGAAATTTAATTACGAGTATTAAAACTAAAATCACAAAAGTACCGTGGAGCTGTGGGCAGAACATCTGCCTTCCACGCGAATATCCCGGGTTTGAATTTGGGCTCGGAAATTTTTTTTTAAGTTTATTTTATTTTATAAATTAATAAAATTCATAAATTATTTTAAAATTAATTATTTTGTCTTAACAACCTAAAATATTTTTTTAAATTTGTAGGTTTTTGTTAGTGGGTCGTAGAAAAACTATACTGTACAACTCGAGTGGATTGTCCATATCTACTCTTGTTGCACAAACTACAATTTTCACTGAGCAGGTATACTAAATTGGTAGAATCCTGTAAATGGCCATATATTCGCTTATTTTGTTTTCTGTTTGTATAAACAGATTTTGATGTGAGAATGAGGTCCACTGATTGAAAGGGATAAATAATAAATAAAAATTAAAACGGTCCATTGAACTAAAATAAGTAAAAAAAATGGTTTTATGGTTAGGACCTTTAAAAGTTTTGCTCGTTAAAGTGAAATATTTAAACTATTACGCACATATAGTTTGTCAATTTAAAACTTCTCTTTGGCAATCGTTCTATGCAAGAATATTAAAAATAAACTACTTTATTTATAAAACAATATAATTATATTAAAACAATATAATTATATTAAAACAATATAATTATATTAAAAACTAAAAATCGAATTATTATATTTAACAGAACGTTCCAATTTGGTTTACTTTTTTTTATTCTCCTCTTATATCCGATTCCAGAGGTGAAACGTGAATCATTTGAAAGGTGCGTCTTTTGCATTTTTGTTTGCGCTCTTTCCCTTTCTTTCCTTTTCCCTTTTTTCTTTTCTATTTCTTTCCTAAGACGTCCCCCTTTATATGATTTTTGATTTTTGTATTTGTTTTTAAAAGTATCACCTTTAAAATTATTTAAAGTGGACTGTTCTCGAGTGGGTGAGAGCAGTGCGTTCAAACCTTACGAATTTTATGAAGATTTACAAATAATGATCCCAAATTTACCTGATTTCATTAAAGATGTAAAACAGCTGCTCCAATACATATTAGAAAATAAGTTGAAAGAAATTTATCCAAATATTTATATTGTCATTCAAATTTTGTTAACAGTACCAGTAAGTACAACTTCTGCTGAAAGGAGCTTTTTAAAATTAAAACTGATAAAAAATTAAGAAGTACAATGGGCCAGCAAAGACTTTCAGCATTGTCAATTTAATTTATTGAAGCAGATATAGCATCTAATCTGGATTATGGTATAGGAGTTTAGTAAAGCTAAAAGCAGGAAATTTATGTTTCTGTAATTCTTTACTGCTAGTAATAATTACTTAATAATATTAGTTAAAGTCTAAGAAATGTTAGCATTTTTATGAATTTTTATGAAGTTTCAATTTTATTTCTCTATATAAAATCCGTCTTCTTACGCCACCAGAGGGCCTCGCAAAAATGTATCTTGCCCACATAAAATTTAGGTCTTGCCCCGCCACTGCTTAATAACATATGATAAATAATATTATATTTATAACCAAATTAAAGAAACTAAACTTAAATTAACCTTAAATGAAACTCAAAAACACTATTATAACGATAATAATATCTAAAAACAATTAAAAAATCATAAATACTTATACGTAACAAATGACAGGCACGCGAAAATTAGTTTGAATCGCAAATAGAATCTACAGGTAAAATATTACCCATTCCTTATGAATAGAAAGCGGAATATATGCACCAAAATGTATTCATAATATTCACATATACGCTATCTGCCAACGAATACCTTCTAATATCCCTTAGAACAAATGCGTCTGAAAACTAGAAAGAGCCAGCGCTATATAGGGCAAGCAGGAAAGAAACAAAACCAACGATGCCAGCCTATACGGCCTGGCCAACGTTACAACGCGATCGGGTCGTATAAATGGTCCACTTAGCAATCCCCTCTAACAAAATAACTTGTTTTATTAGGTTTTTCTTTTTAAATTGGCACCCCGTATATAACTTAAAATAACAAAGTTAATAACCCTAATCACAATGCACTGAATAAATATACAACAATCATTCTTTTGAGCTCCGAAATCTACACAATGTGCAATAAATTGGATAGCAAAATGTTATCATTAATCATTTCCATCAAATTATAACGACCCATAACCACACTAACAAAATTATAATCAATATGAACATTACCATACACTTTCAGTTTTATCAATACTATTTAAAAATACTTACCAAGATAACGATATCTTACATCTCACCCACCCTAATTAAAAACAAATTAGAGATTAAATAATAATAATAATAATAATAATAATAATGATAATTTACTTAATCGTTGACGGTGTTTACGAAATCAATTCCTTGTTTTTAGATCTCGAAGATATCAAGGTGAATTTGGAAAACGAGAGAAATCGTTTACAAAACCAAATAAGAAGTTTAGAGACTGAACAATTGCAGATCGAACATAAAGTACAGACTATCCAAGACGAACTCCAACGCACCCAGGCGAATAGTAGCCAACAACAAACTGAAGAAAAGGAACTACAAGCTCGGTTGCTTAATGAAGTAGAGGAAAGGGAGAGAGCTCATCAGGAAGTACATCAGTTGAGAAAGCAGGTAAGCTTTTGACAATTTAAATTACTTTTTAAACTAGCCTTTTCCAATGGAGTTATATGCCAGAAAATTGCATTTTACAAGACTAGGCTGAATAGTGATCGTGATAGTGAATAGTTTAGTAATCTATGGATTTGTACCCTTCGAAACAGTCTGGGCGTCGATTCTCGAATCGTGCGATCTATCATTTCAAGCGATTACTTTTTTAGTGGATCAGTCATTTAGACCCATTCTTGAAATTATCACTTCTCTTAAAAATCAAGCGTATATCGGTCGCTTGGTTTGAAGTAAGAGAAGCGGTTCCCATCGTTTGAAATTCTTTCACGCGCATGCTCATATTGATAGATTGAAACGACGATGAAGTAAATGAACCTTTAAATTTATAAAATGACATATTTTTAATTTTATACTTAAAAAACAATACAATGGTATTCTTCGGAAACTGGGATAATGATTATAAAGATTTAATATTTAGACAAATTATCAAAAATGTTAAAGAAGTTGAAGAATTAATATTAACGACATTTCCTCCCATAAATCATCCCTTTCTTTGTATACATTCATAGGAAAATATTCTAGCATTTAAATTCTGTTTATTCTGTATACATTCGGCTTAGCATTTTTGTTTTGAATTTTGCTTACACTAATTTGTTTTGTGTGTCATACCTATCCATTATTATTGTAAATAAAATTTAAAATTTCCGTCTCGGCTTTACAAATTTAGACATGATTAAACATAAAAATTATTGACAGCTAAAAGCAAAAAAGTCAGAATTTATTGCTTACCACACTTACCATCTAGCAACAAATGTCACTTACTATATGCTTCGTAAGCGTTTTCGTATCTCTCTGATTTGTTCCGGAATCATGCCTTAGATAGTTTTTCTGCAGCTGACATCACTATGACATCTTATTTTCGTCATACCCAACGTCATCTATTTTACCCTCTGAAAACTAACATGATAATAACTGTAAAATAATTTGTCATACCCCAAATGACTTCATATTTAGACGTACCTATCACGACTAAATATGACATCCTTATGACGTTATTAGTCTTTATAACATCACATTTTTTTATTATTTAAACGTCATCTTTATGGCATTATATTTAACTTTTTTACTTCTTTTTAACTTTTGTACAGGAAATGCGAGTAGTTTGATAAAACAAAATTGTAAAATGAAATGAAATGTAATTAAAAAAAAATATATTAATTTAAAGAAATAAAAAATACTTGGGATCTGCTAATTAAAGTTCATTCAAAAAATAAATGTTTTACAAACTTGGCGTTAGTACAGTTTCTCATGAAATTTGTATGAGTGCCGCTATTTTATATGTTCCAAATATTTCATGAACCTGGAAACATTTTTGGAAACAGCCCATGAATCTAATAGACACCAAACCATTAAGGAACAGAGAAAATATAGATATGAAAATACTAAAAGACACATTTAATTTAAATTTAAATATTATTGTTGAATTTTTTAGTAAAACAGCGACACAAAACTCATTTCTATTCTTCGGCCCAAAAATCTTTAATGTTCTTAAAAAAAAGAAATAACCAATTTTAAAAGTTTTAAAAAATATATCAAAAATTACCCAGATAAATTTCCTTTCTACTGATTTTAGATTGTTTTTTATTTTTTAATAGTAATTACATGTATAATTACCGAGACTTTGCTTAATGTGTGCATCGTTTATTTAATAGCAAGCTAATACAAATAGAACAATGCAGTAGCCTTAATCTAGGTTAAAAAAAATAAAATTTAGAAATTACAATAAAAATTTTAAACCATTTACATTAAAATATACAAATAACAACAACACAATGAATAAAAAAAAGTGGATTATTAGCAGGTTCCTACACTACTTCTTTTGTTGTTCTAACATGTACCCTTTTAATTCCTCTTAAATATATTAAGCGAAGTAGCATTCTTAATTTCGTCCGGCAGTTCATTAAAGGCTTGAACTCCTTTAATACGCTAGTTCAGTGATGATGTATTTATGGTTCCACTGACAACTAAAGTGACAGTAGATTTTTTAAGTGCATTTTGTTCGTTTTGTTTACCTAAATTATATGGTTTTGTCACTTTTATAAATATATTCACAAAGTAAGTAGATAACATGCATCAAATATACAATCGTTTAGTTACCAATTACATACCTATTTTTTATGACCTGTAAACAATATTTAATAAACTAAAAACAGTAAAAACGTATATTATGTCAGATTTATTGATGTTTTTGTTAAAAGTTTGGTTAGAATTAAATGTCAGTGGAACTATGAACACTGAACTAGCGTCTGAATACTCTGAATTGACACTACTAGCCTGACGTATATGAAAGTTAGTGCGGCTTCTTGTATTGTATTCATGAAATTCAAAATTATATTTTAATTTGTCACGTAAATTTGTAAATACAGGAACATCACCAGTTTTTTTTTTAAATAAATATTAATGTTGGATAAAGAAAGTGATTTTTAACAGATAACCATTTTAATGTATTTAACATTAATGTTATATGTGTTCTTCTATCACAAGATAATATTACTCTCATTCCTATATTCTGAAGTTTCTGAAGTCTTCCAATTTCATTTTGGTTTAGTAAATACAAGATGGTTCCACAATAAGTGAAATGAGGTAAAATCAAGCTGTTATATAAAAGTAAAAGCGACCATTGATTTAGATGCTTAGATTGCCTACTTAAGTAGTTATTTTTAAATGCTATTGTTTTAATAATGTATGAAGCATGTTCCTTAAAAAACATTCTATTATCTACTATTACACTTAAGTATTTAATTTTTTTTACTAACTCGATTTTATCGTTTGCTATTTTAATATCATAATTATATTCATTGAAGTCATGGTATTGCTTGTCGTTTTCTATATTAATGAATTTCGTTTTATTTTTATTAATTTTTAATGAGTTGACGCAGCACCACTTATATACTGACTTCAGTGTTTCATTTATTACATTAATTATGTCGATAAGAGCATTTGATGCATAATACATTAAAGTATCATCTGCAAACAGATGAATGTTGCATCTATCAATAATAAATGAGATATCATCCATATACAATAAAAAAAGTAGGGGATCTAACATGCTACCTTGCGGTACACCACACTCGTTTGTAATTTCAGTAGATAAAATGTTATTTAATTTTAATTTTTGTTTTCTATTATCTAAATATCCTATCATCCATTTTAAAGTACTAGAAATGATACCAATACTTTCTAGTTTTCTAATAAGTAAAGAACGGTTAACAGTTTCAAATGCCCGCTGAAGATCTAAAAAACAGCGCCTGTTAATAATTTATTATTATGGTTTTCTTTCCACTCATCTTGAAATAGTACAATTAAAACTATTCAATTAAAAATTTGTTACATTGCCTTAAATACCAATTACATTATTGAAAACTCGTTAAAATGCTTCACAGGACTAAAAACCACAAGACAGGCCACGTAGGATATTTTATAATTATTATATTTTAGAAATAAGTAAAACATTTTTATGTATTTCAAATTTGTTGCAATAAATTGAAGTTGAATTGAAATTATGCACTTTCACTTTATGCTCAACGGTCAACGTCACAGATCAGACTCAAATTTATATAATGGACATTTTTTCAAATTTTCACTTGTTTTTTATGTCTTTCCCTTAAATAAAAATTACATTTCATTCTAAATCGATGTTAAAAATACTCTATATTGTATAAAACTGATTGTTTAGTTTAAATTTTTTTATCTCTTCGTTTTTACATAATGTGCATTTTTCTAAATTTTCACTTGTTTTTCAAGTCACTGTCTTAAATTAAAATTACGTTTTATTTTAAATTAATATTAAGAATACTCTATAAAATTATATTCTCTTTTCGATAGTTTAATTTTTTATCTCTTTTCTTTTTTACGTAATGGGCATTTTTCAAAATGTTCACTTCTTTTGTCTTCCTAAAATAAAAATTACATTTAATTCTAAATCAATGTTAAAATACTCTATACTGTAAAAAATTATATTCTCTTTTCGGTAGTTTTAGTTTCAATATTTTATCTCTATTCGTTTTTATATATTCGACATTTTCCAAATTTTCACTTGTTTTTTATGTCTCTCCCTGAAATTAAAATTACATTTTATTCTAAATCAATATAATCTAATTGAAGTGTTTTGTTATTTTGTATAAAAAATATGCATAGCAATTGAGCTACTGAATTTATTCCGTTTGGCTGTTACACACTGTATACATGTATAATACTTAATTTACTTAAAACAGGTTAGGTTAGGTTAAAACAGGTTGAAGTAAGCGCAATTTGAGTTTTTATAAGAAAAATCTACCAAATTAACAATATTTTGATCCCGTATTACCAGAAATTACATCAGCTTTTGAATATCAACAAACAATTATTTATATTTATCTACATATATTGCTTTATTATTGGATTACTTGGGAGTCAATACATTTTCTCATCTTAGATTTCAGAATTGGAAAGAAACCTGGAACAAACTCGTACAGAATTAAACAAAACAAGATCACATTATTCCCAATTGGAAGAGCAGTGGCACGCTAGGGAACAAGATCTTCTAGTACATTTAGAAGACAGTAAATCGAAAGAAAAAAGACTGGAAGACCAAAAACACAATTTAGAAGTCTGTCTAGTGGACGCTACACAACAAATACAAGAATTAAAGGTACGTAAAGTATAAAAAAAATATAAGAACAATATTTAGATGACTTAATTTTCTACAGTGTTTGGTAAACTGTGCAAACACGATAAAAATATTGTTCTTTTATAGATAAGATTAGATTTATTTTCTAATAAACAATCTTGGCACAACTAGTTAAATAAATTATTTATATTTCTTAAAGTCAGAAGTATTTTTGTTTCCAGAAATATTTAAAACAATCAAATTACATATTTTAGGCTAAACTTGGAGGTGCCGAAGGTAGAGTGCGAGCTCTAGAAAATCAACTGGTTCACCTAGATTCGTCAAAAAGAGATGTAGAACAAAAATTAAGTAGTGTTATTTCAACACTTCGCAGAATAGCAGGAGTACAATTAGATGGAACCGTTACGATGCCTTACAGATTATTAAGTCCATCTCGAAGATGGAGTCCCGCACGAAGTGGTAATAAATAAACTTTGAATTATATCAGTATCAAATGAACATTACCAAAGTGTAGAAGTTATTAAAATAATTTTTTTAAAAAAACTTACTATAATTAATTCCAAAATGTATCCAATATGGTCCTGTATAACTTTCGTTGAAAAATGTTGATTACATTCATGCGTTGTAAGAATCATTAACAATATATTCATATTCGAAACTGGTTCCTCTTTTAATATTAAAAATTATGAAATAAAAAAAGGTGAATAATTTTGTAAAAAATAAGTCTGCCTAATTGATCTTTACCGATGACACAAACTAAATTAAAAAAAAAATAGTTAAATTTTCAACTTTAAATAAGCATAAAACATAAATTAGCTTTAAGAAAATGTTAAATAGTATTCTCAAGATGATTTAACATATACGTACACGTTTATAAACTATTTTTACATCTTTTTCAGGTTACGACGATGGTAGGGATGGAACAATAGATATCGATCCAGAGGTTGTAAGAAAAGGTGTAAGAAATTTAATGCAACAAGTCGCCCAAATCGAGAGAGAAAGGGTACGCACATTTTGAAAATATCGACGAAAAATATAATAATTTATTTTTTACAGGATGATTATAAAATGCAAGTTCAGACGACGAAGAAACAACTAAATGAGGCGCAAGAGGGGTTAAATAAAGGAGATAACAAGCTGACCAAAGTGCTACAAAGTGTCCGAGCATTACAAGATGAAAAGTGTAATCTAGAGGCGAAACTTGGTCAGAAAAGCGTAGAACTTCAAGCTCAGGTAAATAACAATTAAAATATAACTGTACAAAAAAATTAATCAATTTAAATTATTTAACTACTATAATATAAAGAGTATAGAGTAACTAATGGGTCTTAGTAAAATATTGTTGTGGAAAAAGATACAGGCTGTTAAATGCGAAATTATTTTTTCTAATTTGGAAGAGGATTATTATAGACCGGGTGGCGCTGAACAAAGTTAGCCAACAAGTTCATACAAAACGTTGAATATATTTTATTAATATTAGAGTAATATTCAAAATACCTATATGGAAAACTCTGCCGTTCCTACTTGTTCATTTAAACTTAAAGGAGGGGGTTAAAACTTATTAAAAAGTGCATTTTAGTAAAGGTTATCCTGAATAATTCCATTGTAGTCCGAATGGTGGCCTACCTTAAGCCTTGTTCAGAGCGTATCGTTGCGATAGCGTTGAGTCGAACGATGGGATTGATATCGGAGAATACCGATCAAGGAGAAGCGACAACTTGGTGTTTTCAGTGAACCGTTTTGTAACACGCATGTGCGAAAATAAGTTGTGTATCACTCAAAATAATGTTATCTGTCAAATTCGGTCCAAGTTGTGTGAGCAATGTTGTTAAGTGATATTTTTTGGTGTTTGTTTTGTGTAGTAATGAGATAAAGATTTTTTACACACTTAGGTATTCTAATACAGATATAAAATATGCCAAAAAAATTATTAGGAAACTAAGAATGTTATCACATGCATAAATATTAAGTATAATGATTTAATCATTTTTGACATTTTATTTTTCATATGTAGGTATTGGATTTTGTAAAATATATGTTTCTCTTCTTTTAAATTAATTTAATAAACAATGAACTGCAGATTTTGTTTATTTTATTTTAAAATTATATAATAAATCCGCGTATTTCAATTAGGATTGTTCAAAGTGGGCGAAATCCCTTTATTATGGCTAAATTGTAAGTTACAATTATGTCAATATACTGGAGTTGATTTTGGAAATATTGGTACATACTTAAATAAGTACTATTTCTAAAAATTCGTCAATGCCCAGACAGCACACATAGTCCTATGGACGTCCACTTTAGATCCATTTGAAGGTCAGGACGTCCATATCCGGGCATCCAGTGTACGTCCGTTTATGCTAATTAATTTGACAGCTGAATATCGATACCCAGAGAACGTCTGTTTTTGGGCTTAATTTTAAGTTTAGTAGTATTTTGACGTCCAGTGGACGTTCATCTTAGGTCATTATTTATTAAGCCTACCAGATAATACCATCTATGTAATATAATTGGTCATTAAAAATTAAATTGAATCTATTGCATTTCATTCTATCAGCGGAAGTTTGAAATCTTATTCCATTATAACTATATCTAGTAAAAAGTTTTCAAGTGGTTCCTTGGTCGAGCTCGACTAGCGATTGAAAGCGTAAAACGATAATGGATGTGTCGTGAGTTCAATTCCTGCTCAGATCAAGCGAAGTTTGTTGGAACACGAATTCTAGACTGCGCAGAATCTCGACAGTACGTAAACTTATTTGGTTTATGTTGCAACAAACCTAATACAGGATATATCATATACATGAACAAATAGTAATAATGCCGTAATGCCGTGACAACAAGAAGGCGAAGTAACGACTTCTCGTAGGGTGGCGGCTTTGCCGCCACCATAAAATTTCAATCCACACCTGGCTACTCCGACCGGCATAAACACCAACGGCCTGGACACAGCTCATCTACTCTGTCAAAAGGAGACCGATGTACAAATAAAACGCGTACGACATGCGCACTACAAATGATAAGTGTTGTTCCCGGTACGCAAGTGGATAATACTTTTTTTAAACCCAATTACAAAAGTTTTCCCGTTTTAGCCTCAACAATACAAGCGACGCCTGAGAGGGCGTTATAATTAACTTTATATGGCCATTTTGACCAAGCTCCGTCAGCTATTACGATAATCAGACCCTTTCTATCTTGGTCAACATTTTCCAAATCTTTGGCAAAACGAAGTTCTTCCTGGCCTGCTTCTGCGTAGCAGTTTGAAGTATGGTGTCAGATACTAAATCATTGTGTTTAGCATACTGATAAAAAGAGATTGACGGAATGTTTAAAATTGAATGTTGTTCCCAATTCTGAATGTCCACTACCAGTACTTATAATGGCAAGCACAGCCGCAGAATTTATGTTTAAATTTAATTCCTGTCGTGGATCTTCAGAAAATATCTTTTTCAATATTACACATATTGCATTCAAAAACAAAGCAGCTTGCAAGACCTTTCTGTTTTTCTTTCATGAAAACCATTGACGAAAAATTACAATCTAAAGGCGTATGATCGTTAACACTTTAAATTTGTTGAAACATATGCATAATATCCACTATAATTCAAGAAGGTTTTGAGTTATTGTGCTATCTAAATCGGTTTCGATTTCCATTTCTAAAGGTTGTTCATCAGAAGAGTCATCCACAAGTTTATTATCTTCAAACGAGTCAGAGTGCTGAAAGAGAAGCTGCTAAAGGAGAACATTGATCTGCCACGATTGGGTTAGCATCATTATTTTTAAAGCCAGAAGTTGGATGTTACTGGATCTTCTAAGATATTTTCACTAGATTTTTCACTATAGTCCTCTTTCTATCTCTGAGTTTCAGAGTGAAATGTACATAATTTAAATATAAGTGTGAGACATTTTTTGTACAGTTTTGAGTCCGAAGTTTGTTGGAACACGAATTCTAGACTGCGCAGAATCCCGACAGTACGTAAACTTATTTGGTTTATGTTGCAACAAACCTAATACAGGATATATAGAAGTTCCACACACTTGGGACACCCTGTATATGGTAATCAAAACTGAATAATGTATCTCACGAAATCGCGGTCAAAACGCTAGTCCATAAACTTAATAAAAGTGTTTTTTAGACTCAAGCATTTGAGAAGAAAAAAGAAGAGGCAAAGCAAATGAGAGAAAAAGTTGTATCTTTGGAACTTAGCTTAAGTAGCAGCAATGAACAAAAGTTACAATATGAGGTGAGTATATTATTTTCTACCGTTTTGTAAGTATGATTTAATAATACAGAAATGTTTTCCTTCGTAAACAGCAATAAAGTAATAAAAAATGTTAAACTAGTAAAAAGAACAACAAAATATATTTTTTTTATAATTTGAGCACTACATATATATGTTTCGGAAAAAACATTTTTCCATATTCTGGAGCAGTCTATATTTATAAAAATGTGGGGGACGAATACAAAGTTTTATTTTTTTTAAACAGTAGAAGCTCCATTGTTCTATTTTACAGCGTGTGGTGTATTCGAAATATATAGTGGCTAAATTATAAAAAATAAAAACTATTTGACCGAAAATTCTACTACGGACAGAAAATTATCCTTAAAATACATATTACATTTATGCTACAATGTAGAAATTATAAAATCTTCTATTTCAAATTTAGTCGAGTAAATTCAGAACGTTAACTTCTTTCTCGAAGAAAAAAATTTAAAGTAGAATCAAATAAAATCTATTTTATTCCGGTACTCCATATCTCCAACTGTGAAACTGGATGTATGACTTTTGTTCGATAAAAACTGTAATAGTAATAGATGTAACTGTGTAAAAGAAGTGTTCTATTCGCTCAGTGCGAAGTCATGACAGGGAAAGCAAAAGCGATACTAGCACTAGCTGCGGATAATTCGTGCATTTTAGGGCGATATTTTGTATTTTTTGGCATATCAACTACATATACATAAAAAAAAACTGTTTTTTAGACTCAAGCATTTGAGAAGAAAAAAGAAGAGGCAAAGCAAAGTGTTGTAAATTGTAAAAATACTAGCAAAAAAAGCAGTGTAAATTATAAAAAAATTCAGTAGCAAAGTGGAAATTAAATCAAAGAAATAAATGAATAGCTGTACAATAAGAAGAAAAATTACCTTTATTTTTGTAACAATAACAGTAATAAACAATAAATTATCATTTAACGATGTTTTTCAACATTCCTTTAATCTAAAATGTTCAGCAAGATTTCTGCCTTTGATAATTATTGTATATGTGACTTACTGATAGGAAACCAGTTTTAATCATTCATTCTATGTTTTCTTTCGAATAAAAATGAATATATAAATAACAATCCTTCTGTTTATACATTTTAACTTCACGCTATTATTTAATGGTATATTTTTTATTTTGACAGAATAGGTTAATTCTTTAAAGGCAACTTATTAGACTTAGGCAACTTATCATACATTTTCCCGTAAATACTGTTGCCTGCCTATATTTTATTATTGATTTTTATTGATTATACTTAGTTTTTTTAGTTTAAACGATAAAAATATATAATAATAATAATAAATTAATGTTTCACTTGTTTTACAAATCCATATATTTTTTAATTACGAATTCTATTAAAAATTGTATTGTCAGTATACGCAAAAATAGCCCATTAGTATCTAAATGAGTTGGCGTTGCTGTCACGCACGGAGCGAATAGAATGCTAGTGCAAGAATTGTGTTAACACTATTGTAGAATTAGAAAACGAAAAATCAGGAGCTGAATCTGACACTCAATATTGAATGTATAAAATAGGAATAAAAATAAACTACAGATGTAATTATTCTTCTCATGTTTTAGCACATAATGCTTCGTTACTCCCCGACTATCCATTTCTTACTCATTACTCCGACGACGGTGTATTATAAAAAAAATAATAATAAGTCATGAATCGCAGATCAAAAATTCTTTCCCCAAAAAAATTTTACAACCTTTCTCTTTTTTTCATTTGCAGCATATACCGATATATTTTCAATAATAAAATAGTGTGTCGCATGTCGAAATTGCATGAACGGTGTAAAATGGAAGTCTTTCATTATTTTCGACAAAAAATATTGTAGTATCTAAAAATATTTTAATACTGTTAGAGGCGCATATGTTTCTACTTCATTTTAACAAAAAAATCAAATCGATACCCCTAATAGTTACTGAGATATAACTTTCTATTTTTTAAAAACCACTTGTTTCATAAAAATGCAAAATTTTACATTTTTTCAAAAATAAAAAAGTTCTGAACAGACAAGAAATGTCGTAAACTATTATTGTTAGAGGAAAATTGTGTAAGGAACACAGTTCTACATAAAAAAATATTTTGGCACAATTTAACGCCGATTTTATTCGACTACTATTTTAAATTACTTTTTCAGGATAAACTGGATAAAATGAAGGTAGCTCTGGATAGATTAGAAGCAGAAAAAAGAAGTCTTCAAGAAGAATTAAACAGAATCGAGAACCGATCGACTAAATTAGAACTGCAAAGAATGTCTGCTGAAGGCGATCTTCAAAGACTGCAGATGATGCTACAGGAGAAAGATTCAAATATTCAAGTAAGCACTTAGATATTTTTATTAAAATAGGTCATCCTAATATACAACAAAAATATAGAGTAATTATATAAACATATTAAATAATTATTATTAATTAGAATATTTGTTTTTTAAGTAAAAATTACACATTGAAATTACACATCAATACCAACAATAATCTATACAATTTGATATACAGGGTAGCTGTTAAAGATGGAACCAAACCTATAGTACTTAAACGGTTCAACATACAAATCCCAAAATTTCAGAATTTCAACTAAATATATTTGCGCATATTTTAGCCCAAAAATTATTTTTTTTATAATTACTACATTTTAAGCATTGCCGCCATCTTGATTTTTTTAAATAGCAACATAGGTCATGTGATTTACCATTTGAAAGGGTTTAACACCCTTATTACAAAAATGTATCACACATGGGGTCTAAACACAACAGAAAGGATATTATTAATAGGGAGCGTAGGAGGCTGTGCATTTGTGTTTAGACCCCATGTGTGATACATTTTTGTAATCAGGATGTTAAACACTTTCAAATGACCTGTTTCTATTTAAAAAAATCAAGATGGCGGCCATGCTCAAAATTTTGTAATTATAAAAAAAATAATTTTTGGGCTAAAATATGCGCAAATATATTTAGTTGAAATTCTGAAATTTTGGGTTTTGTATGTTGAACTGCACTATAGGTTTGGTTCCATCTTTAACAGCTACCCTGTATATCAACTTACCCTTAAATGGCCAAACGGACTTTTAAACAGAATAAGATTTGTAGAAAACTTAACATTTTCAGGTAGATTGTTATAATTAATAAATCCTTTAAAAATTTATGTTTTTGTATTAAATATTTTCGTTTGCTTGTTTACATACAAATTATACTGATGAATTTGATTATTAAAAATGATAAATTTGTTGAAATATGATGGTAAAAGATTACGTAACATTTTGTAAAGGTATTCCCTAGTTAAATATGTAAGGCTGCTTTCTATAGGTAAAACCATTTTAGAGTATTTAGCATTAAAGATATTGGTGTATACGTTATATTTCAAAATAATCCGATTCTGCAGTTTTTGTAGGGTTCTCATTTTATTTGAATCAGACGTCTACAATAGAGTAAGACAATACTCGAAATGTCGTTGAATAATAGTCTTATATACTGTTATTCTTGACTGCCGAGACATTATTAAAAAAAAAATTTCTTTAAAAACATTTTTTTGTAATTCAAATGACTATTAAATGATTATCTAACGTGAATCCTAAATATTTAAATGTCAAAATATCGGTATTTAGTAACACTAAAGTTAAAAGTATTACAATATCATTTAAAAAATGTAAATTAATAAAAAAGATTGAGAATAATAATAATAATAATAATAATTCTTTTTAGCTTTATGTTAGTCGAAATGTCATCCATCCACCTTAGACGTTTATGAGACACTCATAATGATATACATAATTATATAGATTGCTCATCCATCTATAAAAAAAGATTACGACAAGCGGATTGCAATGTGCACTGCTATATTGCCTTTCCTAGTGCCCACTAAATAGAACCATTCTAGTCAAAATGTGTTTCAAAATAAAATTTCAGCATTAAAGAAAGTAATTACTTACTTCAGATCACGTTTTTATGTATTTTTAAAGTTGAGTTTCCATGTAGTTAAATAATATTAAGAGATTTAAACAATTTTTATAAGGATGGATGTAAATAATTTTAGACCACTCTCATTTCAGAAATAACACTATACAAAACACATAATTGCAATATGTAATACAACTTTGAAAAGGTAATGTAATCCACTTTGATATGATATATAAACACATTTGGTAAGGGTTGTAATTGGACACTTATCTATTATTCTGAGTAATGTTTAATGGTAATGTTACTAAAAAAATTTACAAAAAATCACTGGATTTTTAATATTTTAAAGTTTGTTGCAATCTTTTTTGACAGTAAATGCAATGTATTAATTATTATTTGTTTATTTTAGTGATAAATGAGAAATAGTCAATACATTGTAAAGAAGGCCATAATATTTTTGTCAAATTGGACATTCTAATTTTACAGTAACGTTCTAATTAGTTTTAATTAACAGAATAAACCATTAATTATCTGTAAAATTATATTTATATAAAATGTTCATTTAAATATGTAAAAATTTTAATGACAAAAAACCCTAAAGATTCTAATTTCTAAACCGGTTCTGTAAATGATTTGTTTACAATTAAGTTCTCAAAATTGATACAAGATAGATAAAAAGAAAACTTTGCCCAGTGAAATACGCTTTTCGTCGTCTGATTTACATATGGATAAGCAATATATGTAATTATGTATATCATTGGATGTGAGACTCTAAGCAAAGAGTATAACTCTAAGTGTGCTCTGTAGAAATTTATAAAATTTCTTTATAGTCTAAGATCCGAAGTAAGGTCGACCTTCACCCATCTGTTTAATGGATGAAAGTTTATTTTTATTAAATAAAATGTGTTCATAAATATATCGCAAATGGGTTGCCTAAGAAAATACGATCCAGACTATTTATTTTCTTAAAGTAAAAAAAACGACACCCTGTAAAAGTCCAAACTTTAATCAGCTCACCGAGGGATGGATAAAAGCTTAAGTTTAAAATTTAGTGTTTTTCTCTTCATCCGTTTTTGAGTATCTTCAAAATTCGTAATTTGCACTTTTCCTCAAATATCTCAAATTAGGTCCATTTTAGGGAATTTATGTATATGGACAAAAAATGGCTGTGACCGTATTTTCCTAGGCAACCCATTTGCGGTATATTTAAAAACATATTTTATTTAATAAAAAAAAACTTTTATCCATTAAACAGTTAAGTGAAGTTCGACATTACTTACGGATCCGGACTATTACTATTGAATCAAATCCAGGTTTCCAAAGTGATGTGTTTGTACATCCGCGGATGCTACAAGTTTTTTCCATAATGATATTACGAAAATAGTTCGACTTTATTTAATTAATAATTACTAAACAGTAAATGCCGTATAAAACATTAATAAATCCCTCCATAAAGTTCACATTTTTGTCACCAGTTGGCGTTAAAGTCAAGACGCACGGTCCCTTTTCCAAATTATTATTATCTTTTTAGAAATTACAAGAGAAATGTGATCGTCAAAGTCGTTCCATTGCAAGTCTAGAAGAAAGGTGTGCGTCACTGAAATCTACAATAGATCAAATGACAGTTTCATTGGAAAAAGCTTCGGGATGCGAATCGGAACTAAAATCGGATATTCAAAGCTTACAAAAAGCTTTAATGGATACCACATCAGCATCGCACACAGGAGCAGAGCGACTCAAACAGGTGAATTAAAAAGAAATATTAAATTACAAGGGTGGGTTGTACAATGGGCAGTTAAAATTTAATCTTAGTTTAAACTGTGAACCTCATTGTACAATCATCGGTAATTTTATTGTTAACCTTCACCTGGCATGCTCATCATGAGTAACATACCTGGACTCGTGGGGTACGTACGAATCCCAGTGATAAAAATCTTTCTAAATATTGAAATATTGATTATTTTGTCTCAAAAAAATCAGAGATACTCTGTAGATACCACTTTAAACTGTAGAATAGTCCGAGTTGAAAAAATAAAGTTCAGCGTTCATACAAAATCCGGAAAACTTGAACGTACGTTAAATATAGCCAGTTAAAAATTAAACTCCTGTTAGTTAAACTAAGTTTACAGCATTCTTTGTACAACAATCCCTTATACTTACTTTTAATTTCCAGTTACAAAAACAACTAGCGAATAGTGAAAACGAACGTCGTGTTATCACAGAAAGGTTCGAAACAACTCAACAAAACTTGGCAGAAATGAGGCGTAACAATCAAATTCTACAAGACCAAGTAGCTAGGTTAAATAATGAACTTGCCAACAATGAAGTGCAACGTGCTGGTTTGGAGTCTCAATTGAGACTATCCCAGTGGCCTTCAGATACTGGATTAACGTCACATCATGAAGAAGAAATGAAAACGCAACTTCATTCAGTACAAAGAGAAAGAAACGAGTTGAGAGGAAAAATTGAATCATTAAATAATAAGGTACAAAAAAAAGTAAAAAAAAATGTATTATTTTGATTATGAACCTCTATTTTTTTTTTAATAGGTAAGACAAATGGAAAACGAAAATCGTAATTTAGAAAGACAAGTATCAAAAGTACCATCAACGATACGAAGCAAATCGTATGAACGGGAACCGCCGGAAAAATACGAATCAGAATCTTTTGCTAGCGAAAATAGAGACATGAGACTCCGGATTTCCCAATTAGAAGCCGAATTGGCCGAAAAAGAAGCGGAAATTCACAGACTGAGAAATCAGAGGCAAACATTGGATTCTAAATTCGATAGAGCCGAGATTGAGCGGTACAGAGCAGCCCAACTTCAAGCAGAACGGCTTTTAGAAGCGAGAGAACAGAGTCATCGGCAGCAAGTTGCTAGATTAGAGAATCAGGTATGAAAAATTGAAACGTAGCGAAAAGAAAAATTGGTTTGCATGAAGTTGTCTTTATTTGTTTTTAGGCGACAGTAATAAAAAATTACATTTTAAGGATTTATTAACATACCTAAAGTGCCACTTTTGGCATTTACTTTACGACCGCTTTAAAGTGTCAGTTTTTTGGCCATTTTTTATATACATAAGTTTATCATAATTCTGTGTAGTCAAAATCACATACTTTGATTACTATACGAGGCAAGAGAGAGGTCCGACACGCTCAACATAGGGCGCGGCCATTTTGAACCCTGTCACACAGTTTACAGCTAAAGAATCAGATCGCTCACTCTGCGTCGGCACTTTGGATCTCAGTGTTTCAGTTTATACACTGTGCAACTCGGATAATACAATATATGACAACCGCCTATAATAAAACAGCAGTCTTCTGCGTATCCTAAATTTGTATCCCTGGAGTGGATGTTATTTTGGAACTTTCAACTGATCCGAGTGAGCTAACTGATTCTTTAGCAATAAACTCCAAAAATATTATTCACTGACACTGACAGCAGCAAGCAAAATATCAGGTGCGTTTTAATCATCCGCTGCTGCTTCCGGAATTGTCGGTTTAGTCGTTTTAACCTGTCAGATTAAAACAAGAAAACCGACAATTCCGAAGCAGAAGCGGATGATTAAAACACACCTATTAAAAATATTGCGCCAAGATGTAGGCAACACGTAATAAGGGTTCAAAATGGCGGAGTTTTCTATCTCCTTTTAAAAGGCACTCAGAAAGCTGCGCAGTGCGACCATTCTCCGTATAGTAAAAGAAAATCAAAGCATGTGAGTCAAAATACATACTCTACTGTAATCAAAATATTGTCACTTACAGGGTGATTCATGATTCCGCAGATCTTTTTCAGTCAAAGTAGATATTTACACTGAACAAACATTATTCCATTACAAAAAGTTCATTATATGGTAGATCTAAGTAGTTAAGTATAAGGGTTTAAGAAAAGGTCCTTTATTTCTCACAAGTCAATTTTAATTGGCGACCGGTTTTGAAGCTATTGCTTCATCATCAGGCACACCTAAATGGAATGTCAAGGAGTCAGTAGTAATAAAAACAATTATAAAAGTATGAACGGACATTAACATATACAAAGTAACAGAAAAAACACAAAAGAAAATTAAACAATGACCTTGACTCACCTTGACTATTTCCATAAAGGAAGTGCTACATAAAGTTTAACAAAACGAGTTAAAAAAGTCATATAATACCTACAATAGTATTTTTTTAAAAATATATTTTTAGGTTAGGTTAAACCGCGAGATGTCTGATTGAATAAATTAATTAAAACACATGTAAGACAATTATTAACTAAACAACACAAAATAGTTTTTACAAGCACAAACAGTTAAAACTATGATGATGAAGCAATAGCTTCGAAACCGGTCGATAATTAAAATTGACTTGTGAGAAATAAAGGACCTTTTCTTAACCCCTTATACTTAATCCCTACTACTCACATATGGCTACCCTCACTCCAGATTTAAGTAGGATCTAGAGAAATGTATTAAGATCGGATTGTAGGTTTATTTGGCTTGAGTATTGCCATAGCTGCCTCTTTATATTGTATATTTAAATAATATCGTGAGCTGCTTTCCGCGCCACTCGTGAGGTAAAGCCCCAATACATTTTATTTTATGTTGTATGCCCTATAGGATTGTCACAGTTGAACTTGCAAGGTAAAAAATCAACAACATAAAATGATTGCCAAAGACTAGAAAATTAATTGCTTCCCAGTTCTTTGTTGAAAAAGCCTATAAAAATATACATGCATTAATATTTTAAATAGGCAATAACAAACTTTGTCAAACTGACATAGTTTTTGGAATAACTAGAAATTAAAACCATTTAATGGATCGTATGAATCATCTTTAAGTCGCCCCGTAGCGCCACAACAAATAATAATAATACCCGTCCCTTCCTCGGACATGCTTTGAGGTTAAAATTCACACGTTTAATATAAGAAACAAGAAAACCATTCTGAGTAAATTATTTTAATTTTTAGATAACTTTACTTCGAGATCAACTGAACCAAGAAATTAAACGAAGACAACAATACGTAATGAGAAGCAGCAAGGCGGGCAGAGAAATGCAACAATTACGTCAAGCGTTAGGTGATTCTTTGCGTACCGTATCACAAGACCCCTCTTTGGATGCCCTCCTTTTGGAACACGAGGCAAGGAAGCTAGATAACACATTATCGAACACTGCCAGTTTACCCTCCTCATTAGCTTTACCGTCTTCCTCGTATCGAAGGTCGACAACACCACAACCAAAGTAGGAAGATTTTTATGTATAGAAGTGCATAGAATTTTTGTACAGTCACATTGAATGTCATTTATTGATGTTGACTGAGAAATGTACCACAGGTTACGTATCGAAGCTGCTGTTGGTTACGCTTTACAATTCGTGCAGTTAATACAGACAATATAAAAATTCAGAAATTATTAGTTTTCGGCCAGTAAAAATTTCGTGACTGTATTTACATTCTATACATTTTCACGAGTTTTTATTAATTTGTACTTAAAAGTTTTACTTTCTGTTAAAACTTATTTCTCATTTACGAATAGTGTTTATTTGTGATTTCTCTTAGCCTTTTAGGTAGAGTTGCACCAAAGATTATTGAATGTTATTTATTTAATTCTAATATTTTATAATACCCCTATTGTCAAATTTACACTTCACTGCCATTTTATATATTAATAGTTGATTTTAATAACAAGAGGGATAACCTGTATTTTTTGTTCAACTCACTTAGTTAATTAACAAGTTAATGTTATTTATTTTTAGATTTTAATAACTATTGTTCTCCGTCCATTTTTTAAAAAACTAAGTATGCTTAAATAAATAATTGAACCACTAATGAATTTTTATTCTTTTTTCCGCTTTTATTTGGATGTAACAAAAAAAAAGTTTTTTATTTTAATGATAATTATATTGACAAACAAAAGCATTTCTACAGGGAAATATGACTTTTTAAAAGAGGTAAGTCACGAGCTGCAATTTTAGAACTCTGATCTCTGTATCAGAATAATAGAGGTATGGAAATTAATTTTGCGTTACTCTGTTATACAGTAACTTGACTAAGAAACTCAATTGTCCCGGGATTTTGACCTCCTTGTTTTTCTGTTATCTTGACACCAACATTTTATCAACGAAATTACAACTGTTGGTTCTCGAATCTTTGTAATAGAATAATAGAAGAGCGATAAGATATAGGAACAAAATTCTGCTCCTATCTTAATGGCACAACGTTACAGTAAACGATTTAAAATGTTTGGCTGGTATATGCTTCTGACTACCTGCTTGCCTTGAATGCTTTTTAAGAAATGAGCCTCAACTTTTAAACTAGTTCTGTTAGAAGGAAACAGGAGTAAGTATATAAAGTAACAAGCCAAAGACAAGAATCTTACTAAGCTTAGGTAAACATTCGACAGTATTCCAGGCAGACATAGCAATACATCATTGCGCAAAAGATGTATTAAGACAGAAGCTAAATGGAAAAACCATTGTGTGGGACTGTATGGAAGCCCCAACAGAGCTGGGTAGTCAAAAGAGACTAACCTTAGCCAGGGTACCAGGCAACAGAGGACATAAGGGCAATGAAGAGGCTGAATTACTAGCCCGAGAAGGAGCCTCAAAGGCTCTTATTGGCCCAGAACCCTTCTGTGGTGTCACAAAGACAACTATCAGAACATGCACAAAGCAGTGGATGTTTAAAAAATCTCAGGAGTTGTGGAAAAATTCACCAGGACAGAAAGTTCTTAAAAGGATCATCGCCTACACTCACTGAGAATCTACTAAGTCTTCATAGGAAGAATACTAGTAGGTCTACAGGGCATTGTAGGCTTAACAAACATGTATAATATCGGCCTGACAGAAGAAACCTTGCGCCGATTCTGTCAGGAAGAGGAGAAAACTGCAGAACACGTATTGTGCTACTGCGAAGGTCTAGCAAGACCGAGATTCCTTACATTTGGAGAATAAAAAGCAAGTGCAACTAGCTATGCTGGAGAACTACTTCCCAGTCTATGGAGTCTACTACAACCGAATTAGACAAGGTACTAAAGGTTATCCACAATAGATCTGAAAAGGTCGAGGTGGACGAGGCCACATGGCCCACAGTCCTAATTAAATCTACAAGGAAAAAGTATTTTTACGTCTACACGTTCCAGTTTATAGGTACACCAATTTTTTTAATACCAAAAATGATCAACGGAAGCCTTCAAAAATTTTTAACAAACATTGTTTCTGTCTCCGATTTCAATGCAAATTTGGGTACATATAAAAGACAGCCTGGTAAATTACGGGGTGAACTCATTATCTGAAAGGGATTTTTTTTTCTAATTTTCATCAGTTACTAATTATCGGATTTTTCTAGAATTTCGCACCAAGGTAGCGTCGGACAGATAGAATACTCTATGCCGTTCGTCCCTATATTAAACCGTTTAAGAGGTATTAAAATTTTATAATCCGTCGATTTTGCGTTACCCTGAATGGCAATGTCAAATTCATTAGAGAACCAATTTTGCGTTATCATAATTTATACATTAACTTGATTAAGGTACCTACTTTTCCCTTTTTTAATGTACCTCATACCTATTCGCCCTTCTATTATCCTTAAACCAAAATTTTATCCTCGAAATTGCAATTTTTGGAACTCTGTGATAACAGAATATACCAGTATGCAATGATGGTTACCAATATTTACATTATTTTTAAAGCCCAAAGGATATAAAAAAACAAGAAGACGATTAAAAAGACGTTTCTATTGAAAAATACCTAAATAATTATTATAGTCTCTTCTATTCCTCAATGTGTTATGGAATTATTTTTTGGGGAGGTTCACACTGGCAATACAAAAAATAGCAATTTGAATATTGACTAATCTGAAGCTTACAGAATCATATAGAGATCACTATAAAAATTATGATAATTATAGGAGCCAACTACAGAGTATTACAGATAGTATTATCTTTCATCTCTTTAACATAATACTTTTCACTCATATGCGCAGCAAGTGTTAAATAATTAAATAATAAGTTTTTGTCAAAGATCTTTACGTTTTGGGGTCTTCTGCATCAGTTTTAATTATTTTTTGGATAATGCGTTTATTTGTCACTGTCAACTCATTTTGCAATCAAAAATTGTTTCTAGTATTCATACCAAATGTCATCATGTAAATAATTCAATTTTTAGTTTGCTAACAGTTGCTTTAATAAAATTTTAAAATAAAATAAAAACTAATCAATTTCTTCATCAGAAGGTTCTCGAATTTCTAAATCGTTTTCTTCCTCGCTATCGACTTCCATTTTGGGTTCGTTGTTTTCTTTTTTACTTAAAGTCTCGCCCAAATGTGCCACGTACTGTAAGGTATATTTATTAAAATCACAACTGAAAAATAAAAGGAAGGTAAAAATATTAAACATTAATTTATGATTATTGTTGCTTACATTTTTGAAATTTGTTCATTTTTCCTTAAAAGACTTTTTTCAAGAGCTAACAATGTGGGCAATATTTTTTGAGCATTAATTTTTGGACCGTGAAATGTCAGAACATGCCGCGCCCAGCAAACATAGTATTCCAAATGCCTTGAATTCTCCAAAAAAGTTGCTATAACAACTAGTAACCGTTGGATATATTTTTCTTCTAGATCTCCAACCAATAATTCAACTAAAAAAAATTATCTGTTAATAAAATATCAAAATAAATTCAAATTTCTTACTATCTTTGATGGGAACGCTTTCAATGACTTCCTGTATTAGGTTTGTTTCATTTAACTTCAACGCCATCTTTAGAGCTGAAATAATATTTACGCAATAAGTAATTTAAACAAAAAAAAACAGGTATAAGAAAATTGTAGCAAACAAGACTATACTGCACTAGGGGAAACTGGACTGAGGAGAAGGGGGGGAAAGGTATCCTAGAGGATGATACTGTTCCAGCATTTACCTATTGTTATGAAAAATCATCTGAACAATACTCAACCAAACTGTTTTTACATTTTAAATATCTACCGTCTCATTATGGGTAGAAAAAGTATTGTATGAATCACGTAATTTTAGAAAATATTTACGAACAAGGTGTATTTGGCAAGAGTTTCATTTTCCATAAATATATTTCGGTTCACAGCCAATCATCTTAATTTCTGAGCGTACAGGTAATTTCACAAAAAATAATTTATAAAAATGCTTTAAAAAATAATTAATTGAAGTGTATAGAAGTTTTTATGTTAACCCATACTAAACTGAAAATATCGAGGTGAGATTTTAACTAGGTAGCTAGCCGATAATATTGTTACTCTGCACCCTGTAGTAACCTGTCATTATTATAGGTAAACGAACAAATAAAAGAAGAAGTGCAATGTCACCCATCCCCCTACAGTGTGCTGCGGTTGTTATAAGTACGAATAAAAGAAGACAGAACAGTCTAGAAATGTCTATAAATATTATTCCGTGTCTAGAAACATTTGAAAGTTTCAAGGGAGCTATATAAGGCGATAATTTTGATGTCACAGTTCAGTTTTATGATAGACGTTATATGTTAATAGTTGTAAAAGTTTGAGCTTGTAATAAACCGAGTTTATCAAAAACCAGTGTAACAATATTTGCCATATAACAAGTAATTCAAATGTGATATAAATCAAATGCATTATATATATGAAAACAAAAACTAGTTTTACTGAATAAAAATAACTTACCATTGCCATAGTCATTATCATGTATATAGTCTTTGATAGCTTTGGGAGTAATACCAATCTGTAGATCCCAAGGGTCGAACATATAGGAATTATTCAAACCATACAAAAGCAACCCTTCCGAAGTGGCCGCTGCCCAAGTTTGGCCTGTTGGTGAAAATTGCAAAGAAAATACTCTAACTTCGGGTTTTATGGTTCTTGCTGACATGTCACCTTTGCGTACACCTGGTAATTTAATGCTAACGTTTCCACCTTCTGTTTCTTCCCTTTCTTCAATCAAAGCAATATTATCGAATTCTGTAAGCTTTCTTCTGTTTATGAAATCCTTAAAGAGAAAATTGACCACTGTACTGTTTTTTCTTATAATATTGGTTTAATGTTTTTCATGTATAGTTTGTACAAAAAAATCACGATGCATGTAAATCTGGTAAAGTTGGGCCAGTTTGGACAAAGACGAGTATAGTAAAGGAGCCCACAGCAAAATGTTGGGTCTATCACTAGTATGGCTAAATTTTTATGGAGACGCAGGTAACATATTGTAGACCGTCGGCAGTCGCGCCAATATCGTTTACGTTTTACGTTATAAAAATCACCAGATAAGAAGGAAGAACAGTATGAAGTAATGAACAAGGTGACGAAAAAAATAGGAAATAGGGAGTACACTCCAAAAACTGGTAGCGTGAAAAGCGGACAATCTAGAGAAAGAAAAGGAAAACAAAGGACAGAAATGAAGTAAACGACTTCGCAAAAAACTGACAAGAAACAGAAACAAAAGAGATACAGAAAAGAAAAAATAGAAGAAAAAGCAGAAGTGATTCGAGAATAAGTACCTGAAAAATTAGAATCTGGAAAAATGAAAAAGATAAGGAAAGAACTCAGTAGATATGGCATATGTGACACAACAATTCAGGAAATAAGATAGGAAGGTAAACTCACAAAAAGACACGAAAATTAAGAGATACGACACAATAATCAGACAAATATTACCGTAAGTATGACAGTATGACAAAAAAGAGGAAAAAATCTAAGAATTATGAAAAAGAAAAATATGAGAGCAATATTACGACCAATTAAAACCACAGAAGAAGAATACAGAATTAGAACAAATGAGAAAATTAATAAAGAGCTAGAAAACATAAAAAAAATAAAATAATTCAGAGTTAGGATGGTTAAGACTTTTGGCAAGCAGGAAATGGATCATTGGTTCATTCAATGTGACAACTAGACCCAGGAGGTAGCAGAAGGCGTAGAAGATCCAGATCGGGATGGATGAAGGAAGTGAAAGAATATCTATGTAGGACAGGAGTGAATAATTCGAAAGAAAAAGTACAGAATAGTGCAAAATGGAAGGATATTGCAAAGAATGGGATTGATCCATCCAAAATGTGGATCTAGGGGCGTTTTTAGCAACTTTATATAAAAGGTATGTTCCAAGAACGGTCAGAAATGATTTGTGATTTGTTTCTGATCGTTGTCGAAACAGAACTATATAATCGCAAATTTGAGGGAATATTTCGTCATAACGGATACCCAGCAACCACGCAAACAAAATATATCTCTATGATTATGATATTAAAATCATTTAGGATTTTGGACATGCATTGAGATTTGTTTTGTATAAATTATAGCTGTCATCGTTAACTCAAACTCTTTTAATTTTAATTGCTTTTTTATTTCAAACGTACTATTTGCATTCTCTCGTCATTGATCTGATTTTGAAATTTATCTGGTTTAAATTAGGGTACCTATCCATTTCCAGTTATCTTAAAAAATGATGATTTAAGTACCCGACGTAAATATTATCGTTACTACCCTTTACAAATCGTTAAAACATTTTAGAGTTCCTAATTTTAAAATAAAATCTTGTGGGATTATAATTTGTTCTACAAATAAGTTTTTTTTTGATGTATTCCAATGAAAATAATTTATGTACATTATAGCACATGTATTTGTCATTTTCTATGTAATATTTCTTATGCATTTTTAACATTTTTTCGGGCTTCTGCCTGGATAGTCTGTAAATTATTAAAATAAATGATACTCACATCAACTGCATCTAAAGATCTGTTCTGTGTAATTTCGAATTTTTTAAGAATCAATGCCTCTTTAACATTGTAAATGCAGACATTTTTTGATTGGCCTCCAGCTATTAAAGACTCTCCATCAGCAGAGTAACACAGACTTGTGAACGACCTACAATAAAAAAAAAAAATGTATAATAGAGTATAATTTTTTGTCTGGCAAAGCCATATATTAAGAGGGACATAACGGCAACGACGATATTCCTGTTTTGAGTTGAATTTCAACTGTGTGTCGCTATTGTTGGTTGTATTCATTCACATTAAAACCGGATTCCAAACAGAATAAAATTTATTTATTCTTTATTAACGGGGATAGTCGCATCTCATACAAAAAATATAAAATATATAACTTTTATATGCTTAAAACTATCATTAATGAAATAAATAAATAAATAAATAAATAAATAAATAACTAACTAACATTGATTAAAAGAAACGTAACATAGTAAAAATAAATATTTCATAATTCATAAGTTACACATTTGCACATTACATCACCAGCCAATAAAACAATTTTTTAAAATATGTAAAAGAGAGGTGTTAATATAACTCGATAAAATAGTTTCCAGCACATTGACCTTTGGATTTTGTAACTCCTATACACGCTATACTTCCTGAGCGGCTTCATAACACCAAGTCGGACAAATTTTTTCATATACTTCACCCTGCGCGATGGGACATTTTCTGGTGTTGATATGTACCTGTAGTTGTAATGTGAATCGACGATTTTTTATATTACATTAACGATATCACATTTGTCCGACAAAAATCACGTGGCTTTGGGGAAGTTGATACATGTGTAGTTTTAATGTTAATGGACGGTTTTTTATATAACATTAACGAAATCACTATATCAGACAAAAAGCACGTGGCTTGGGGGAAGGGGTCCGACACCCCCACCTTGTCGCTATGGCGTCCCTAAGAAAGTTGATACATGCATGTCCGACAAAAATAATTATGTATAACATATATATTTAGTTCATGTAAGACAAAATAATAGTAATTTTAAAAAACCGACATCAAAATCGTGCTGATGCCCTTAAACATTGAGATTTTTTATTTTCTCGTAGATCATCAGATCCTGACCAATTCTATATGGAACTACCCCTGAGGTGATAAAGAATTATCGTGAAAATACATTAAAAATTAAAAGTTTGATGATTTTCTCATGGACCCAATTATTAAATCTAGACCAAATTTATACGGGACCATCCCTGAGGTATCCCTTTTCTAACAAGAAAGAATCAAAAACCGGGCAACGTAGTAAATAATTATCGCTGAACATACATAAAAAATATATATTCCGACGAATTAAGAACCTCCTCCTTTTTTGAAGTCTGTTAAAAATTGAGTATCAATGTCAGTCGGACAAGAAAGGCCAAAATATTGTGTAACCACATATCATACTCTATTATATATAATAATGTAACTCATGCTTTGAATGTTAGGTGACATAGGGTCACTTTAAAAAATATACAAATTTCAAGTACATTACCAGTAGTAATAATGAAGATTATAGATACAGCTAGAATTCTCCTCATTATGAGGAAGACCTTTTCTTTGGTTTGGATCAAAGGCCATCAAGGTATCATAGGTAATGAAACTGCAGACCAATTTGCAAAATTAGCTACAAACTCTGGAATACTATTAGATGAACCATTAATGCCATCATCGGATTTAAAATCTTTTTTAAGAAAAAATAATAAGAAAGCTGGCAAGAATTATATTCCAACTCAATAGTAGGAGTACGGTTTCGAGAGACAAATCCCAAAATTAGTAGAAAGCCATGGTTTATTGATATTTCAAATCGGCATATGATTAAAACTATAAACAGAATAAGATGTAAACATGGGCTATATCCAGAACACAAATTTAAGATAGGTTTGGCAGATTCCCCATTTTGTAATTGTAGGCAATTGGGTAATTTACAACATTTAATCTTTAGCTGTCCTAATTTTCAAAATCTAAAGAACCTGTAATTAACAGGAGCAACACTCCCCACCAACTTAGATGCGCTTTTATGTTCAAAAAATATAAAACTACTTGTTTTATATGAACATTTGAAAAAAATGAATCCAGATATTTAAAAAAAAATACAGATATAATAAATAATAATAAATAAAAAAAAACGAAAAAAAAAGAAAAAAAAGAAAAAAAAAAACAGAAAAACAAGACAAAAAAAACAAAAACGAAAAAAACAAAAACGAAAAAAACAAAAAAAAAAAAGAAATATATATATTTCTATAAATATACATATTTCTTTTTTTTTTTTTTTGTTTTTTTCGTTTTTGTTGTATTGTATTGTTGTAATTTGTGAAAATTGTAAGTAGGTTTAGATTCGTTTTAACAACATTAGCTCTGGCCAATTGATCTGTGATCAAGGCCATTATACAAAACACACATACACATAGGGCCATTGGCATCACTATACTCTGTTTTTAAACTAAGAGGAGCGATTTGAATTTAAGTTGGCAATTTTGTAGCCTTCTGATTGGTCAGATTACAGTCAGTTTCACACATTACTTTTTAGCATGAACATCAGCTAATAATTGCTATTGTTGACAGTTCTGACATTTTATAATTTGATATCTCATCCATTACTTAGTTTTTACTTTATTTCGTAAATAATAGTTCTTCAGTAAGCAATTGTATTGAAAATCTACAATTATGGATCCTTCTACACTGAGTACTATTAAAGGTAGCAATTCCTGAAAAGCCTTATAAGAAAGGGAAGACACCTTATTATTTTACATGCTGATTCTGAAGGTTTTGTAGAAAATGCATGATTGGTTTTCGAAGGTAAAAAGATGAGAGATTACCATGAAGATATGAATTCCGAAGTATTTTAGAAAAAAATAATTTTATTACTGATTTTTTAAAACTAAAAATTGATGAATTTCTAACCAAAATGATTAAAATGTAACTAAATATTCAAGCAAATTTTATTTATTAGAATAGAATAAAACTATTTACAAAATTGTTATAACATTTAAAACACCATCTACTACTTTAGGGATAATCTTAATTTGGCACAATGAGAACATTATTTTCACAAAAAATATTTTAAAAATACTTAAAATTAATACATGTAGTGTTATGAAAATGTTGGTTCCAATTTTCAAAACAAATTCTGACTCATAGGCCTGTAAACTTTTGAATGCCTTTATTTGCCCTCTAGCGTATTAACCATGGGTTAACACTAAATAAGCCATAATATCCACATTACTCATGGAAGAGATACCAGTTACTGTGTGATCCACTTGTCATTCACTGATTAACTTTTAGTTTTTATACCTATAACAAATATATCCTTAAAAATGTAAACAGATCTTTATATTTTATACTAACCTGGCTACATCTGGATATTCCATTAACAATTTTCTTAAATATTTAATATCCATTTTAAAAAGATCATAGTTATTCTCAAAAAGTCGATTTCAAAAGCAAGAAAAAAGTATTTCTGACATCAATCAACAACCATATTGAATTTAATTTGACAGTGACATTTCGTTTTAGACACACAATTCAGATCACAATAATGTGAAATTTGCGACCGTTGTCTGGGACCAATTAAAAAATTACTTCTATGACATTTATTCGTTTCTTAACCGCTCATTGGCCGTTCACCGATTAAGGCCGATAAAGATAATTATTTCATAAATTTTGAACACGACTATATTTCGAAACTCGCTCTTAGTAACAAATCTAGTTACTTTTCCCTGTGTAAATGCGTCTTTTCAATTCGCTCCTCCTAGTTTAAAAACAGAGTATAGTAGTTAAGAAATAAGAGAAGCTTAAAATGACATTGTCAATGGAAAAATGAAATTGTCAATGGAGAAATGTCATTTTAAGCTTGGCTTTTTTTAACAAGTAGTGTAAATTGAACATAATAAGTTAGAATTAATTGTAAAAATATAGTGATTATTACTGAACTAAATGTGACTAGAAAGAAATAAAAAGAAACGAATTGAATTAAGTTTATTTTAAATTAGTTGTTGTGATTATTCCTAGAGTTTTAAATAAAAGGTTAAAATTACAGTTTAAGTGAATTAAGGTAATTACCAGACTTTAGGTTCATCTCAAGAAGAATCTTTAGAATAAAATAAATACTATTTAGTGTATGCGTATCTATAATAAAATATACCTAGTAAATATCTAACATACTAACTTACTTGGCTTCTAACGATTTTTTGGCAGTTATAAGGTCAGTTTCAGATCTCCCACTTCCCAAATCATTTCTTCCTTCTATCGATGCGACTTGTTGGGAAGTTCGTAGATTGAAAGTGGATATTTGACCGTTCAAAGTTGCTACTGCTACTTCCTGACCGTCTGGTTTAAAAGCTAAGCTTATTCCGTCAGAAGCCAACATAACTGTTTCATGAGCAGAACCTTTTTCAATAGTATCCCATATTTTCATAGTTTTATCCCACGATACAGATACCATTACAGTACTGGTTAATGTAGGACTGAAGGCTAAGCTGGACTATAAAAAAATAAATGAAATTTCAAGAAGGTAAAATACGGTGTTATTTTAGATATGTTTAGGCATAAATTCTTCATTTTTCGTATACAGTGTGTAAGTTATGGAACCATATGAAAAACTTTTGCAGTACCAAAATAATGAAAAACTTTTGCAGTACCAAAATAATGAAAACCAAGAAAATCTGCCGAATATTCACAAAACATGTAAAACATGTAAAACTAATTACAATAAAAAAAATATTCAAAAATGCCACTAACACCGTAATTAAATAAACCACAAATTCAAGCAAAAATGTAAATTTTTGGAAAATGACTTAAGATAGTACAGACAGCTTTAGTGTTATCAAAACTATATCCTATATCTTTTTCAAAAATTTAAGAAAAAAGGATTTTTTATACTTTTTTGACACTCTTAGAAAGGACTTATTTCCAGACACATGTTTATATAAGATTTTTTCCTTATTTCGACACATATTTAAAATATTTTCCATTTCTCGCGAAACACCCCGTATACGTATAGTTTTTAATTTTTTTACTTTTGGATTTTTTTGAATATTTTTGAATTTCTTGAATTTTTTGAATTTTTTTAATTTTTTAAATTTTTTGAATTTTTTGAATTTTTTGAATTTTTTGAATTTTTTGAATTTTTTGAATTTTTTAAATTTTTTAAATTTTTTTGAATTTTTTGAGTTTTTTTAATTTTCTTTTATAATAATTATGTATTATATTTAAAATTTTTATTTAGGATAATTTTTATTACTTTTATACAGTACAGGTCTAAAGTCCCCCATTTATTTTTTGAACCGTAATTAATTGATATGAATCCATAAAAAAACTTTGATTTTAAACGAGAATAGTAGTGCCAAAAGCTAAAAATTTGTAGTAAGCCAACTGATAGCATTGAAAATTTAAAGCATAGTATTCGTTATGAGTAAAAAGAAAACATTTTATTTTTATTGATGTCATTGGAAAGGGTTTGGAACAAGCTTTCAAATGTATCACTTGCCATATGATCTATTTAAAATTATTTTCCAAAACAGCTTCCGTCCGCCAGTTTTAAAGATTACGTCATCTAATATCATTAAAGAGGTAGTATACATTCCTTGGTTGTTTCCCAAAATTACAAATTATTAACTTTTACGGTTAAAAAATAAATGGGGGGGGGGGGAGGGACTTTAGACCCGCACCCAAATTTATGTTTTATACACTTCCAGAGTCTCTATCAACTTTAATTATTTACAAGTAATTTTTATCTTTTTCACTATTGTATTATATTGAATTCTAAATAAAGTTTTATTATATTATATTAAATTATAACTTACTACAGGTCCTTCATGTCCAGCGAGCATTTCCAAAAGTCTACCCGTTTTGACAGACCATAAGTAAATTTCAAATATATCTTGACCACCAGCTGCTACAAATTCTCCACTACTATCGACAGCTACGCAAGAAAACTGAACAGGTCTGGTTGAAGTAAACGTTCTAAAATTACGATACCTAAAAAAAAGTAAAATTTATCATAACAAAATAAAGAACTAAAATTTCTTGAATGTTGTATACCTTATAATATCAAATGCTCTTACGGTACTATCGAGGGAAGCAGATACAAAAAATTTCTTATTTCCACTGAAAGCCACTGCAGTGACAGCATTGGTATGTTCACTAAATGTCACGAAACAAAAACCAGAATGAATATTCCACAATTTTACTTTACCGTCTTCGCCACCGGTTGCCAAAAGTTGTCCATCAGTCGAGTATGTAATGCAAGACATGTTGTTTGAGTGACCTTGTTGTTTTAAAACGTACGTTTCACCTAAAACATAAAAAAGCCTACATTAATCGAGGGTTCTGCAATAATGAATAGAAACACCAAAACTTTGCACATATAATTTGAAATTATTTATTTGATTTCAAAAATTTAAAAACCAGTTAAAAGGATAATAGAAGTACACAATTTGATGTTTTTTTATTTTTAACCGACTTCAAAAAAGGAGGAGGTTCTCAATTCGTCAGAATATTTTTTTTTGTATGTTCAGCGATCATTCTTTACTACGTTGTCCAATTTCTATGATTTGTTAGAAAAAGTTAATCTCAGGCATCTTTGATGTCCTATATAAATTTGGTCAAGATCTAATAATGGCGTCCATAAGAAAATCATCAAACTTTTCTTTTGTTTGGTATTTTCAGCGATGCTTATGTACCACGTTATCCCATATCTATGATTCTTTTTTTGTTATAAAGGGGATACCTCAGGAGTAGTTCCATATACAATTGGTCAGTATCGGATTAGTTAGGAGAAAATAAAAAACCTCAATTTTTAAAGATATCTGCACGATTTTGAAGTCGTTTTTTTAAAATTACTTTTATAACTATCATTTCATTATATTAAAAAAAAACATGTTTTTTTTCATTTTATTTATAAAAAATTAATAATTTTAAAAACATCAACTTATAGATATTTTTTTTAGATTTAAAAGGTTTTTACATTTGCAAAAACAATTCATTAAGGTTCAATAATATGCAACAAAATATGTAAAATGTGTCTAAAATTCTAGAATTCAGATATTGTTGTTAATGACGTGCTCGAGGAGAACGTCACAATCTATTATTTATTTATGGATTTCCAATACGTAAAGGAAAAAATATTATAAATTACATATTAATCTTAATTGATATAGTTAGTTAGCAGGTATAATCACAATTAAAACCAACAGACAATTTAAAATGGACAATTTAAAATAGACAATTTAAATATAGACACAATCCAAAAATAACAAAAAAGACAATTTAAGAAAATATAAATATAACAATGTAAAACATAATTTTTCTATAAAAATTAAACATAATTTTTTTACAAAAATTAAGAATTTTAATATAACGATTTTAAGGCATTCTTAAACCAACTTAAAGATTTGCAGAATATATCCAAAAGTCAATAATTATTATATTCACGAGGCAAACGAGATAATGGACTCTAATAAACATAATTGGTTGAGTATGATTGAATATAAAATAAAAGTCTATTTGTTGATTCTGGGCCGAGTATTGAAAGAAAATTGTGACAATATATTATGACAGTTCCCATGGCCATTAATCAATTTATATACAAATAATTTCCCCAGTTATACTATGTTAGAACTCATACTTATTGTTTGATAGTTGGTTTCGCCCCACCTATAACCCATCAGTCTTAAGAAATTGACGACGCATTGATAAAAAGGACACCGAACAACAGATCCATACTCAAGACCTGACCTAACAAATGATGAATATACAAGTCTTATACTGTTCAGAGGTAGATCTTTACTGTTTCTAAGTATAAAACCGATATTTTTAAATCTTATAGAATTTAATTTTTGTATGGCTCTTAAAGTGTAATTCTTTATCCATAATAATACAAAGCGTATATCAAAACAAACAAATTTTAAACACGTCAACAATATGTCGACAGTCCTAACCCTGATATAAGTGTGAAGAGGTTTTTTGAATGTACAATACTTGTTAAAATTAATTAAATTATTCCATGCTAAAAAAAAATGTTTATAGGTATTCAAATTTACGTGCTTCAGATTGTATTAAAATTTATTCGTTATTCAAAATTTATTTCCATTTTGTAAAATTATGTCTTATTTATTTGTTGCTTTTGATAACAAGTCGACAGGTGGGTACATAATAAAAGTTTTTTTAATTTTCCTAATAAAGTAATTAACTAATAAATTGTTTACAGTTATTAAAATTAACTAAACATTTTTTCCTTTTATTCACCTTTATAAACACACTTCGCAAGGAATTTAAAACCGTTCAGAGCATTTAATTTGTTTATTGTCGCTACTTTCCCCTATATTTGCATCTTCATCGAGACTCAAAAGCAGGTAGCTAATCCCTACTCACTATATTTCTCTCATAGAAGCACGGACATTTCGTTTGTTTATGAAAGTAAGGGTTCTTTGCCAGAGTCTTGTTTCAGAATCTGTTAATTCCGAGAAAAAATAATTAGGGAATAGTCTAGATAGATAGAGTAATGATAACCTTGTATTAAGAAAATATTAGTTTAGAAAATAAAATATTAACTTACTTTGCCACTCCCAAACTAATAACTGCCCTAATCCGCTACAACCTAGAGCGATCCAATCTCCAGTGTTGTTTAAAGATATTGAACTAATTTTTTGTTCGGAAATACTGAGAGAATGTATGATATTAACATCGGGTAACTCATGTATAAAAAAGGCGCCAGTAGAATACCCTAAAATTAAAACAAAAGTTATTCAAATTAAAATATTTTAGAATGTAAAATCTACCAGTTACTAAAATTTTGGTTTTTTTATGATACGCAGCAGAAGTAAGGACTGCCTCTTTATTTTCCTTTCTTACATCATCGGCCAAATAATGTCTAGCTAATCTTTTGTAAAAAAGTTTGCTGATGTCTTTATTCTGAGAGTCCTCGTCATTTACGTTCACTTCACTTAATGCTTTTGTGATTTCTTCTTCAGTTCTTTCCAGAGCTTTAGTTGCATCCACGTCATCTTCGTCAGATTCACTAGAGTTTCTCTATATAAATAACGTAGACGTTTTACTCATTAGTTCATAAATTAAAAAAATAGTGCCTATACAGGAAGTTCCCTAATAATATTCGAATATTTAAGGGTGTGAATCTACATGAAAAATTATTGCTAGTTTGCTTTATAAAAAAATAAAAACGGTTATATTGTCCGAGAAAATTAATGTAATTATTGAAGATTAAAAAAAAATAATATTTGTAAAGCAAACTATCACTAATTTTTCATGTAGATTTACACCCTCAAATATTCACATATTATTAAGGAACCCCCTCTGTATAAGTACTAAATATTATCAGTACACATTTTAAACTGAACACATTAATATTCGCTCCGTGCGCGACAGCAGCGCCAATTCGTTTTGGTACTAGGGGACTATTTCTGTGTATACTGACGTATACTACTACGTATACTGACGAAAAGTATATATGTTACTTTTAATAAAAGTATATGGATTTGTAAAACAAGTAAAACATTAATTTATTATTATTATATATTTTTATCGCTTAAATTAAAGAAAATTATGTATAATCAATAAAAATCAATAATAAAATATAGACAGGCAACAGTATTTACTGGAAAATGTATGAGAAATTGCATAAGTCTAACAAGTTGTCATTGAAGAATTAGATTATTCTGTCAAAATAAAAAAATACCATTTAATAATAGCGTGAAGTTAAAATGTATGAAAAAAGGATCGTTATTTATATTTTCATTTTTGTTTGAAAGAAAACATAGAATGAATGATTAAAACTGGTTTCCCATCAGTAAGTCACAAAATTGCATTCCAGCCACATATAATAATCAAAGGAAGAAATCATGAAATCTAGTCCTTGCTGAATGAACATTTAAGAATAAAGGGATATTAAAGAACATCGTAAAATGATAATTTATTTATTTAAAACCTTTCAAGTTTCTGATGTCTACTATTTCCAGCATTACTGTTATTTTTACAAAAATAAAGGTAATTTTTCTTCTTATTGTACACCTATCCATTTATTTCTTTGATTTAATTTCCACTTTGCTACTGAATTTTTTTATATAAGTTTCACTGTTTTTTTTGCTAGTATTTGTACAATTTTCAACACAGCAACTCCGGTTGCTCATTGTATTGTTTTTACCTACTTTTTTTGAAAAAAAGTAGAATGTATACGTGTATTTGATATGCCAAAATTACAAAATATCGCCCTAAAATGTACGAATTATCCGCAGCCAGCGCTAGTATCGCTTTTGCTTCCCTTTCCATGACTTCGCAAGGTAAACATTACCTTTTTCTTTTTCGAAGGAACCATGTCCAACGGAACCAAATCTTTAGGATCAATGCTACATTCCCAGATACAAGTTTGACCATTTTTACTAATTGTCGTAATGTCATAATTGTTTTCTTCAAAGAAACAGCCAACGATCGCATCTGTGTGATTACCCAAGGAGCATATCCGAAAATTTGCGTATCTAAAAAATATAAACACACTTTAGTTTATATACAGGGTGTTTCAGATTTAAGTACCGTAAACAGGAAAACCTGTAGATCTTAACTAATTATAAGAAAAGCTAAATATAATTTTCCTGTACACGTCCCAGTCTTAACTCTACAGGGCGATAAAGTGTATTCATAAATACATAATTTTATAAATAGCTGCCTAATAATAATAATAATAATCAAGAATACATTTTTGCGAAGTTTTTATAATATCGTACTATGTAGTTTTAAATCTGTAAACTCTTTTTTTTAGTATATCAAACCGAGATAACTATATAATTTTATACCAATTGCGACAATACAATCTTGAAAATAGAAAAATCTAACAAAGAAAAACTTGATTTTAAGAGAAATTATAATATCCCCTTTATCCGATTTTTAGACAACCAATACCACTCAAAACTAGAAATTAAAAACTTCAATTTTTCCTACTCAAAAAAATGTTTGCTATAAAATGCCAACAGAGTGATAGAAACGTGTCTGAAAAAACTCTACTATTTTGTAAAATCCATAGTTTTTAACTATTAAAATAAAAATTCAGAAACAAATCTCAAAACTCTCCCTAAGAATTATTAAGACCATCCCCAAAACCCAAAGTTGAAAATAAATACTTGGAAATTTGAAAAAGCCTGTCGCAGCCGGGAATCGAACCCAGACATCCTTGTATGCTAGACAAATGCCCTTTCTTCCAGACCATCACGACATTGAATGTCGAGATTCCTAGCCATACATTTTATGTGCTAGTTTGGGCCAGACGGCGTTCAAGCTTGTTCTCAAATACCGATGCTGTATAGAGGCATTTGAAGATAAAGATAAGTGCAATTAAATGATAAGTATAAAATTTTGTGAAATTAATTTGGAGGGTCAGTTTTATTTAGTACAGATTCGCAGGCTACACCAGAAGCTAGTTTAGAAAATTTAACATTTTGTTCACTAAAAATTCTTTGGATAATTGTTGTTTTTCAGTATAGTTTTGTAATATACTGCAATTAACTGTGTCATGATCTGACACTCTTGTATTAATAACATAACATTTTACCTTTTGTGTATCTATATTCGGACAAATGTAGTCTAGTAAGTTATTGTTTGTGGGTTCTTCTACATGCATGACTAAACTAAACCTATTTAATGAGTTTGTTAGTTTGTGGACGTTTGATTGAGCATAAGCTAAATAATTTAACTTAAAATCTCCAGGTAAAACTATTGCAGCACTTACTGGTAGTAGCTTTAAAAGTAATTCTACACCCAGTAAGAAATTATTGATATTATAACTGGGAGATCTATAAATGCAAATTAAATATAAATTTAAATTTTTGCAGTAAGCAGCTGAGATTTCCAATTCTTTTTTAATGTTTATGTTTTCAAATTTGTTGATTGCAATAAGAGGATTCGATTTAGAAAAGGTATGTTTACCAAGAATAAGAGATCTCCATAAGATTTAGACCAAAAGAATAAAGTTATGACACTGTAATTTTATCAATACAAACTCGGGCTCATTATAAGTTGCCAACAGCACCTCTAACCAAGCAATTTTATTTCTGATCGATCGAATGTTTAATAATATTAGGAATATACTTCTATTTGATCTAAAAAATTGCAAGTAGTATCTTCAATTTCATTAAGGTTAACAATTGTCATTACCATTAATTTTTTTGGCCCTTTCATTTGTTACGCTGTTCAATGACTTACATTTACAATAAACACGAAATACAAATTTCAAATTTTTAAATTTTTTGACACTTTCAATTTGTTTTACAAGTTTACAGCCTATTTCAGATTTATTTATTTTATTTTTATTATTACTATTGATATCTACATACATAATGTGACCTTCAGAGTAATCATTAAGATAATGAGCGTAGTCATAAAGTTTTACATTAAATTTTTCAATAAACTTATTTTTAAATTCATCATAAGATTTAATAACCAATATAAAGACGACTTGCATGTCTTAGCATCGGCGAAATGTTGGTCAGGGTATGTATTCTTCTTAAATAAAAAACTAGTGAATGAAGATAGCCTTAAAGGGACTAAAAGAGTATCTTTTACTAACAATAAATATATGGGTTCTACTCTTTTAGTAAAAAAGTAGTAACTTATTTTTCCATTGGTCTAGCAAAATTACAAGCATTTCCATGTACAAGACCATAGTAATATATTGCTTTTGGGAAATAATATTGTAAAAAACTTATTGGAGCGAAGAACAACACAATTACATCAGTGTGTATTTGTCCCATTCCCTATCCCATGAAGTAGATTCTTACTTATCAATTGGATATAGTTTAGTTGCCATATCCTTTGATCCTACTGCTAAGATTTTGGAATCAAAAGACCAATCAAGGCAGGTAGTTTCATCATAGGCTCCATGAAACACTCGTTCCATTATGAAAGCATTATATTCACCGGAATAGGGACCAGGTGCTTTAAATACAAAAACTAAAAAAATAAATAAAAATATTGAGGTCTTTTAGAACCAATGTAAATAATTACTTACCATTATTTTCTTTACAAACTGCAAAATGTTTCCCATCTGGGCTGAATTTAACACACCTAACTTTTCTTTTAAATCTATATTTGTGTATAATTGTCTGAGAAATCAGACTTATCATATGTGCTTCGCCTTCTTCATTTATAGCTATCAATGTGCATCCATTGGGACTTAAATCTAATGATGTATAATTATATCTACTCTCAACGGGTAATGTAGTTGATTTATTACTGAAATATAAAATAATAGATATCTATGAATAAACCTCAAAGTCCAAAAACCATCAACTATTTTAAATAAATAAACTTGTTATAGGACTAGTTTTGTCTTCATCAGACATGATCAGGTAAATTATTTTATTGACATAACCAGCCAATGAAAAGTATATCTATCTTTCCATTCAGTAACAGTAAGTTGAAGTGCTGATTCACATGAACGGTTAGATCTAAAACCAGATTAGTCACTAAAAAGTAATTTTTTTTTATATTCTAACATATGTTGGTAAACTACTAACTACTAGATAGTGCATTGACTTGTGACCATTTGTTTGCTAAATTAGATACAATTACTTTTAATTCTTGAGGATTTAATATTTTAAATTCGCTGCAACCACCTTCATCATAGTGATCAATGTGACAGGTAAACCCAACATCTTTTATGCCAGAAATAATATTTTCAACACTTTTCACAAAAAATCTATTAAAACAATTTGCTAATTCATTTTTTTATCTAATAAGGACTTTTTGACCATTGTTTTCAAATTTAATACCATTAGCGAAATAAGTAGTAAACTGTTTTGGATTTATTAAAGTTTTCCAGATTAAATGAGGGTTCCATCAATTTGATTATAATAAAATTGGCTTTTTTACTATAATACTATTAACAACAGCATTTACGTTTATTTTTAAATAACACATTAATATTCGCTCTGTGCGCGATAGCACCGCCAATTCGTTTTGGTACTAATGGACTATTTCTGTGTATACTGACAAATACAATTTTTAATAGAATTAGTAATTAAAAAGTATATATGTTAGTTTTAATAAAAGTATATGGATTTGTAAAACAAGTAAAGCATTTATTTATTATTATTATTATTATATATTTTTATCGCTTAAATTAAAGAAAATTATGTATAATCAATAATAAAATATAGGCAGGCAACAGTATTTACTGGAAAATGTATGAGAAGTTGCCTAAGGTCTAATAAGTTGTCATTGAAGAATTGGCCTATTCTGTCAAAATAAAAAAATACCATTTACTAATAGCGCGAAGTCAAAATGTAAGACCGTACAGATTCGGTAAGTTTGGGCTATTTTTTTTTTAATATGAGTAGATAATGTTTTATAATATTTACGATTTTGTCTATACATAAAAAAGGATCATTATTTATATTTTCATTTTTGTTTGAAAGAAAACACAGAATGAATGATTAAAACTAGTTTCCCATCAGTAAGTCACAAAATTGTATTCCAGCCACATATAATAATCAAAGGCAGAAATCTTGAAATTTAGTCCTTGCTGAATGAACATTTAAGAGTAAAGGGATATTAAAGAGCATCATAAAATGATAATTTATTGTTTATTTAAAACCTTTTAAGTTTCTGATGTCTACTATTTCCAGCATTACTGTTATTATTACAAAAATAAAGATAATTTTTCTTCTTATTGTACACCTATCTATTTATTTATTTGATTTAATTTCCACTTTGCTACTGAAATTTTTTATATAAGTTTTAATTTTTTTTGCTAGTATTTATACAATTTTCAACACAGCAACACCGGTTGCTTATTGTATTGTTTTTACCTACTTTTTTGAAAAAAAGTAAAATGTATACGTGTATTTGATATGCCAAAATTACAAAATATCGCCCTAAAATGCACGAATTATCCACAGCTAGCGCGTATCGCTTTTGCTTCCCTTGCCATGACTTCGCACGGAGTGAATAAAAACAGCGGTATTATAAAGTAATCAGTCTTAAATTTGGCAGAATACATGCTCCCCTCACATTTTTTATATGGGAATTGGGACGCCAAAAGACGTTCCTTCGTTTATCAGCGATATTAATTTAAACGCCAGACGGCGTCCTGCCACATTTGGCACGTCAGCGAAGACGCCGATCAGCGTCACTGTCCATTAACGTGTCATAAATTACAATTAATTAAATTTAAATTAATACTGAACAACTCTGTTTCTGTCAAGTTCCTAATTTTTTTATTTATTGGTAAAATTAATTCTTTCACTGTAAAAAACATTTAATAGATATTAAGGAATGATCAGTAAGATTAGGTTCATGCAAAACAGTTGCAAGGTATTATCCCAATTTGTTAACACATAGTCAATTAAGGTTATACTGCTAATGGTAATTCTTGTGAAAATATTTATATGTTGAGATATACTTACCATTCCTACTAAAAAGGACTTTAATCTTTTTGACATAAAATCCATCAGATAAAAAATTAAAATCATCAATGAACACTGTTACAAAACATTTCTTCACAAATATTTTCCAAATGATCCAAGAATGTAGCCTGACTTGCACTTGGTGAGAGATATAGACTGCCTATTACCCATACCACAATATGTAAGATAAAACTTACACCAATAATTATTTTTATGAACGAATGTTTTATAATTTGAAAATTAGATTCCTTTTCTTATATAAAAAACAATACCTTCTGTGTGTCTAGAGTCTGACTTACATCTAACAAGTGTATGATTATTAATTTCAATTTCAAAGTTGTTGATATCCTTTGTTTCACTAAGAAGAATCAATGCAAGATTGTTACAGCAAACACCTCTTATTAATCGAGTGTTATTTGCTAATAGACTTTCAATATTTAAATATAATTATATTTTAGTTTACCATTGTTAGAAGAGTTTGGGATTAATTTACTGACGATTTTAGGAATACAATTAATATATTTTATACATTTAGTATCATTACCTGCACTAATAATGGAGTCAAACTTTAATTCTTTGTAATAATTCCGCTGTTTAATCGTTTGGTCGGAATATATTTTAACTGAGGGAACTTTATCAATAAAATATATTTATTACTGCTTCCTTTGATGAAGCATTTAACAATTATTATATTGAATGTTTTGGGTAACAAAATGATTGACTTACTTTTTTAAATCAAATATAGTCACTCGGTTTCCAACTGGGCTGATTACAGAGTTTCCATCAGGAGTAAATAGCAAATCACCATTTCTGTAAACTGTCCCTAAGAGGTTTTGAAACTAAAATATTTAATTATCTTACTATTTGATTGTTTATTTTTGATTAACTATTTACCTTATATTGGAATTTCATTTTTTATAGGCACGTTATGTTATGTTTATTTATTTCATTCACAATTCACGAGACATCAAGCAATAAAATTTGAAAAGTTGGGTTATGTTTCTTGAGTTTCTTCTTCTTCCTCTAGTTCCTAAATAATGGCCTGACGTTAGGCACAATATAGCCCTTGTCCCTTGCCTTGGCACTCCTGTAGAAATGGCCAAAACATAGTAGGCATTGCAACGACCGGTAAGAACTTACGTGAGTCGGACTTGGGTAAGTCGTCCTTGAACTAAAATCGAAGTTCGGTTACAACGTCTCTAAAGTTCTAGGTGGCTTCGATGTTACACTGGAATTTAGAGATGGATATTAGCAAATATGTAACTTTTAAGTACATTTACGAATTTGTTACTACCCATCTCTAAATTCACGCGATATAACCGAACTTCGATTTTCGTTCAAGGACGACTTACCCAAGTTCGACTCAGCTGAGTTTTGTTTATAAATACCATACGGGCCTTAGGGTTGTAATGTCTTTGCTCCGAGCAATTGCTCGGAGTGTCTTTGGATATAGGCTATATTTGACATACTAAAAATCCGTTCTATCAAGGAGACCGGAAAAATGCATCCGATGTGGATTCTCATACTGCGTTTGAGAATCCACATCGGATGCATTTTTTACATCTCGAGCGTTTTTTTATCCACATCGGACACATCTGTCCCATTACATTTACGTATACTGCATCACGTGATCAAAGATTTTTTACATCTCAGATGCATCCGATGTGGATTCTCAAACGCAGCATGTATCTCAGATGCATCCGATGTGGATTCTCATGCCGCGTTTGAGAATCCACATCGGATGCATTTTTTACATCTCGAGCGTTTTTTTATCCACATCGGACACATCTGTCCCATTACAATTACGTATACTGAATCACGTGATCAAAGATTTACTACATCTCAGATGCATCCGATGTGGATTCACATGCCGCGTTTGAGACCTTCCCACTGGTAATTCATTTGTTTGGAATGCCTAATTGAACGATTTATTGTTCTTGAACGAACCAAGACATCGCACTCTTTTTGGTCGGAGCGTGTTTCCTGAACGCGCTCATGTGATGTGACAGGTGACAGAATATTTGACAATCCGGTAAACATACGAATTTTTGAAGAGCACAGGAGCACTTTCTAGAATTTTTTTTTTCTGTTCGGTTTATTATCAGTAAGCATACTTATTAGATATTATTTCTTTAAAAAAAGTAAGTGTAAAATAGTCTAGACCCAAGAGGCCGCAGTGTTCTGGACTAAATATAACCCTAAACTCAGATATTTTTATTAATATGAATTTCTAGGAAATTAACATTTAAACAAGAAATGGGAAATAGCGTAATTGGTAATAACAATCACTGTAGAGATAAAATGGCAAAACAATACACATCTGTTGATAAATTTGAGTTCCATGGTCTACTGGAAGAACAGGATTTAAACAATGGTTTAATTTTTAATGGCACCTTTATTCCTGATGAAATTTTAACTCAAATTTTAAGTTTTATACCTTCTAAACGGTTATTACCTTTAACATTAGTTTGTAAAAAATGGTGCAATATTATAAAATCTGAAATCTTCTGGATGGAAATTTATAATTATGATCATCCTAACAAAGCCAAACTTTTGCCTTGGTATGTTTACTACCTTTACTATACAACAGCTAATTTTAGTAATTTACTAAAGAACGGAAATGGACAAGAACAATTTGCTCATTGGGTGATATTGAAAAATTTAGGTGATCAATTCAAAATAGAAGATCCACCTTGTGGAACGATACCTCTGCCTGAAGGTGTTTCAGATTTTAATGGTCATACATGTTGCTTTGCTACATCATATTATGAATGTACCAAAATTCAGGTAAATATTTAAGGAGTGACCCATTACCAGAGTGTAACCAAATGGGATTTTTATAATATCTTTTTATAATTGCTATCAATTTAATTTGTAGGAAATAAATTTAGAGAAAAAAAGGCTTCTCAGATACATTATGAATAAATATAAACCACAAATTATCGCTTCTGAATGGACATCTCCTAGATTTGACTGTGGTTCAAAATATACACTAACATTCAAGGGATTCGGGGAAGACTATGTACCAACAAAATACACTGATGAATATATGTATCAAGACAATGTCTTATTTCAAGAAAGTAAATCTGTTATTTTTCAACAGTGGACAGATAAAGCGTGGGAAAAAGTAACTAAATTTTCAATATTTTAAAAAGATTGCTAATACAAACTAACTTTTAATATATAAAGATGAAATCAGACTGATCAAACGACCATCCAGTGTACAATATATTATTCGCTGATGGTTCTCATTAAATTACAAGGACTTGAAATTATGGATGGTTGAGAAGTCTTATTTCAACCTAACTACAACATATACTTGAAATATATTAATGTATTATTATTTTAGGTAGAAATAGTGTTAGAAAATTATCCTGATAATGTGAAGATGTTAGTTTTTGAACATGAAGGCAATGACACTCAGTTTTGGAAAGGGCACTATGGAAGTAAAATGGCAGGAGGTGTTGTAAGATTTGTGTTTGACAGTATACAACCTGAGAAAAAGACAAATTAGTGTTGAAAAGAGTTTTATTATAAAACCTTCCATGATATTTTCAAATATACATAAATAGAATAAAGGAATGAGGTGGGACACACTTAATTTTTTGAAATTATTATAAAATATTTGTGTTCAACAAATTAAAAAAAAAATCTGATGTGTCCAACATATGACTTTCCTGTCTAGTTATTACAGGTTTTTTTTTTTTTTTTGTTATTTTGTATAACTTATTGTATCACCCCTGTAAATGTCTTACTTGAAACATTTTTTATAAATCGTTGGTATACAAGAGAATGTGACTGTCCAAAATTTTACATTTTTTAGTTTGTAATGCCCATGTATCTCAAATTCAATATTATTTATTAGGAAAAAATGAACAACTTGAAAAATGCTTATAGTGGGTTGGCTCAGTGCTTAGAGTCATGACTCTGAGATCGGAAGGTCTTAGGATCGAATCCCACCGGAGGCAGGAATTTTTATTTAATTAAAAATAAAAAAAATAAATATTAATTCTAATGCATAGGTAGGATTCCCCACTCGACCATTCACTGTTGGGTTCTAATTAACAGTGCTGTTATTAAAGTGGCGCTGGGAAACAGTAACAAGGCCTACACAGAACACGAGGCTAATGGCCGTAGTAGTCGACGCCGATGACACCAAATTAAAAAAAAAAAAAATTTAAACTTCCATAATGAGCAAATAATTGATTTGATTTTATAATCATAAGCAAATCATTAAAATACTAATAACTCAAAACTACTTTCGGTGGGCTTGGTCACCTTCTTTTGTATACCGACGATATATTCATTACCAACGAAAACACCGGTTAATTAATTAATTTTTACCTTTCCTCAAATTTTTCTATTACGGTCCATTTTGGGAAAAATCATGTATAAAACAAAAATTCCAAGAATTATATCGCAATCAACTTTTATTGGAAAAATTTTCTTAAAATGTCAAATTTCTCGAATACGAACAATTAAAGGAAAATTATGTATAGGACAAAAATTATAGAATAAGATTACAAGCAACTTTTATTAAAATAATTTTCTTCTTCAAGTGTAAATAATTGATGTAGCCCCCAATGTTCCGACTAATCTAATCAGTTCACTGCAGGATGGATTAAACCTTATATGAATTTGGTGTTTTTCTCTTTATCCAATTCGAAATTGGAACTTTTTCTCAAATATCTCGTATTACTTTCATCTGAATTATTGTTGTCACTCCTTTCAAAAACTGGATCATCTATTAATGTTACCTTCGGGCCAAAAGATGCACCCAAAATTTGAATCTATTTTTCCCGGTAAAAAGGGCGTAAATCATTTTATCGCCATTTCAACGTTCTTTCTAGAGTTTGTAAAAAAAAGTTGCATATACATATAAATTCAGAAACAGTTTTGTTTTTAAATAACTGTGACGATAGTTTAATTTATTTATAGTTTATTTATTTAAAACACTGTTTACAATTTATTTATGACGTACTATTTAATTTATCTAATACTTAGACACTGACTAACAATTCTAATTTATTTATTACAATTTAACTTTTCATTCCAATACTCTGTACTAAACTATATACAACTGACTTCCGTCTTCGTACTCGCGATATTTATATCAAGCCAACTCTGTAACCATAATACTCTAGACGGTGTAGAATATCCTATTCCATCTCTATGAATCAACGTTACGTACCTACCGCGTCGAGAAGCGTCTGATTGTCTCTATATTGCCAGCGCGCCGCTAGATTCCATATCGCGGGAGTAAACAACGGACAGGGTAGGCTTTCGCGCGACATTGTCCCGTCCTTAAGAAATAGTTCCTCCTGTAACTAAAACTGAATGATTGTACCTGCAACTGGATTCTCTTACAATTTCCGGTTGCGTGGAAGTAACAAGGGACTGTCTTCTCTGTAACCTGGACACTGGGCGAATGGTCCAGCAATATCTAGGCCGATACTCTCAAATGGGCTACCAACGTTGTACTGCTTCATGGGAGCCTTCCATTTTCGCTGAGGTCCATTACTCATAGCACAGCTGGTACATTTCTTACACCAGTCCTTTACATCATCGGAACTATTCATCCAATAAAACCTTTCACGAACTCTCTGAAGGGTTTTCCTAATACCGAGATGTCCTCCTGATGGACTGTCATGTAACTGACGAAGTACTTCGGATACTCTACTCCTTGGAATGACCAACTGTCTTCTGTTCTCGGAACCATCATCATTTTCAAGTACTCGCTTTAATAAGCCGTCTTCCAGGATAAAGGAGTCCCACTGAGCCCAATATGATTTAACTACTGGAGAGAGTTTCGATACTTCTTGCCAAGTAGGTCGACGATTTTCCTCTTTCCATTCTCTTATCTTCTTTAAAACGGGATCGTTCTCTTGTTCTTCCCTAAGTTTGACAGGGACCCACTCATCGCTGACAATCGACGTTCTTCGTACTGTAACTTCTTTAACAGATGTGGCCAACCCTTTTCCATTCAGAGTTCCTTGACCAACACCTTCATTGCACTTCTGAAGTTCCGCCATGACAGGCGTTGCTTTCTCTACAGTTCCTTGCAACCGCCTTACTCTTATGGTTTCACTACTTTTAGGCAACACCGCTCCTTCCTGTACTGCCACCGGCACAGTTTTTCGATTCGTAGTGTTCTTTGGGTGTTTGCGCGAACTGCTTACTTTTCCCATTTCACCGCAATTCCAGCACCTAATAGTCTTCGGTTGCTTCTTAAGAGTTTTTATCATGTGAAACAATTGGTCCAATTTATTTCTCTGTTCTTCTTCTTTTACAGTCCTTGCTTCACTGTATCCACCAGAAGACAGCGTAGCCGCTTCATATTCAAGAGCAGCGGACAAGACATCGACCAATGTTTTGTGACGGGCTAAACGAAGTGTTCTTTGCATTTCATGGTCACGATGTCCATCTACAAATGCTTGAACAGCCAAACATTCAATCATGTATTCCGAAGCTGATGGGTAGGTAAATCGCACCATCTTCGCAATATCTAATTCGAATTCTTGAAGGCTCTCGTCACGTTTCTGTTTGCGATTCTTCAACCGTAATCTATACACCTGCTCCAAGTGTTCGTGACCATATCGCATGTTGAGCCTTTTCTTCAGTTGTTCAAAATCATCAGTCTCTTCCACGGGTATAGTCTGAAGGACATCTAAAGCGTCTCCTCGAAGGGCGACTGTCAGATTTACGCCTTTTCTCCTCCAGACCATTCGTTTGCCCTGTTTAAGGTAGTTGGTCCATGACATCTTTCCGTCGACTCCACCTCATGACACTTTATTTCACCGTCCTTGGTCGGGTCTGAATGTTCCAGTTCTTCTATCTTCTTTTCCATTTCCTTTATTTTCTCCTCGGCGGAAGACATTATTTTCTCCTCAACGGAAGACATCTTGTTTTCCACATCAGCAGAGATTTCATTTTTTAGAGAAGACAAGAAATTTCATCTTTTAAAGAAGAGATTTTGTTTTCCAAATCGGAAGAAATTTCGGTTTTTAAAGAAGATATGTCAGAAGATACCTTTCCTTCTAAGGAAGTAATGTCAGAAGAAGCTTTAGTTTTTAAGGAGGAGATATCATTTTTTATAGAAGAAACATCAGCAGTAATTTCAGTTTTCATAGAAGATATTTAGGTTTTAATATCGGAAGAAATTATAGAAGCATCATCCGAAAATAGAAACGTTTCCGGGTCCAAACCTTCGCTTTCCATTGCTTCTTTAAGCCGTTCTGCCAGTTCTGCTTTCTTCCCTGTCGTCTCCAACTCGCGATCTTCTAACTCCCGACGTAGCTCGGTCACTTTTAAATCACACAATCTTTTAGCCATTATTGTCCACTATTTATAGTTCCACTTCTAACACCAATGTGACGATAGTTTCATTTAATTATAGTTTATTTATTTAAAACACACTATTTACAATTTATTTATGACGTACTATTTAATTTATATAATACTTAGACACTGACTAACAATTCTAATTTATTTATTACAATTTAACTTTTCATTCCAATACTCTGTACTAAACTAAATTATATACAACTGACTTCCGTCTTCGTACTCACGATATTTATATCAAGCCAACTCTGTAACCAGAATACTCTAGACGGTGTGGAATATCCTAGACTTCCATCTCTATGACTCAACGTCACGTACCTACCACGTCGAGAAGCGTCTGATTGTCTGTATATTACCAGCGCGCCGCTAGACTCCATACCGCGGGAGTAAACAACAGACAGCGTAGGCTTCCGTGCGACATTGTCCCCTCCTTAAGAAATAGTTCCTCCTGGAACTAAAACTGAATGATTGTACCTGCAACTGGATTCTCTTACAATTTCCGGTTGCGTGGAAGTAACAAGGGACTGTCTTCGCTGTAACCTGGACACTTTCGCGCGACATAACGTCCAGTTCTTGTGCTCCATCCGAATCTAATGAAGAAAAAGCTGCAAATACCTTAAATGAGGAAAGTATAGAGATACTGATTTTTTTTAACCTCGAGTTCTCGACCGATCCTCTGAATATATTTTCACCCCTTCTATGGTGTCTGTCTGCATCCATGATAACTCCAAAACACATAAAGAGAAAAACATCAAAGATATTCGAGGAAAAGTGCAGAATTCGAATTTTTTCAATTGAAGATATAAAAAATGTTTCAAATAAAATGGGTAAAATTTTCATTTTTAATTTGTATTATAAGCAATTTAAATTAGATGGCTCCTGCTGAAAGGTCTGTACAGAACGCTAGCACAAATTTATTAAAATATGAGGATCTAGCCCAATTTACCTTAGTCAAAAAAGTTGATAGTTTCCAAATTACAGGGTGACAGTTATATAATTTTTTTATACTTTTCTTGATAACAGCATGATTTGCACGAAATTTTGTAATAGGGGTTTTTTGGGGTGTGACATTAAAATCTGCATATAGTTTTGATGCAAACTGTAGAAGGCGCCACCAGAAGCACTTTGCCTGCTTCTAAAGCAACTTTTCGACTTATTCAATATAATAATAATAATAATATAATAATAATAATGTTTATTCAAAAAGAAATAGTGTTTTACAAGAACAAGATAATGATAATACAATCAGATACAAATAAATAAATATATATAATTTAATTAACAAATTTTTATCGAATAAACATGGACCACCGTACGACTCGCTTATGACCTACACAGGTTGCGCGCGAGTTTTCTTGTTTAATTCCATTATTTAAATTCAATTTTTTTTTTTTTTTTTTTTTTTTTAGATATTATTGTACTTTTTAGTTCTAATTAATTTATGTCTCTTTCAATTAGAGAATGAATAATGGACCTTTCAACATTTAAAATAAATGATTTAATAAATGATTTTAGAAGATCTATTGAATTGATTGATATTAAATATATTTTATACACGTTCGGCAAAAAATTGTAGATTACGGTACTTAAAAAATTTAATGATCTCTGTCCTATGGTCTTGTTTCTTAGAGCAATTTGGGTATTCTCTTCAAGTCTATATCGGGTATTATAATTATGTTTAATTGTTTGAATTATGGATTTATTTTTATAAATATATATAACGACATTGAAAAAGTATGCTTGTCTAACATCCAATAGTGATGTTTCTTTAAATAGAGAATTAGATGGGTAAGTATTATTTTTATTATAAATTATTTTTAAGAATTTCTTTTGTATTACTTTTAATTTTTTCAGATGAGTTTTTGAAGCAGAACCCCATGATAAGATAGCATAGTTGATTCTGGATTCAACAAGTGAATGATACATTATTTTAAGATATGCCGGTTTTAGAATAGTTTTCATGTATTTTAACTTATATAATAAGGGTCTTAAATTATTTGTGATGTTATTTATATGTATGTCCCATTTAAGGTGGGAATCTATAGTTACGCCTAGGTATTTAATGTTATTTTTTAATTTTATTATTTTGGTTCCTGTCTTATTGATTTGCAGCTCGGAAAATTGGGGTAACGTATTTTTATAGCTACAGAATGGAATAAAAAAAGTTTTTTCATAATTAATCGTTAGCTGTTTACAGTCGAACCAGTCAGAAATATTATTAAAATCTTCCTCTATTCTTCCCTTTAGCTCTTGCCATGTATTACCTTGGTAGAATATCGCCGTATCATCAGCAAAGCCAATGATATTTCCTTTAGTTGTCAAGGAAAACAGGTTATTAATATAAATAGAGAATAGCGTTGGTCCCAAGACTGTACCCTGAGGCACTCCAAATTTAATTTTATTATTTTTACTGGTACAAGTTCCTATTCGAACAGCTTGTTCTCTGTCGTTTAAGTAACTTTTGAACAGATTTAAAGGGACTCCGCGAATTCCTATATCCTCCAAGGTCTCCAACAGCTGATTGTGAGATACAGTGTCAAAGGCCTTGGCGAGATCTAGGAATACGCATATACCACTAGACAGTGGCTTAGCTTATATTGGAACGGGGGGGGGGGGGGGGGCGATAGCCCTCCCGTCCTTTGCTTTCAGGGCACATTTGGCACCCCCAACAGAGGTTTGGGTGCCCTAAATCACCTCCGCCTTATAGCCCACGCTACGCCACTGCCATTACATATCATTAATTATACTTTTAATTCGCCAGTAAGTCGAATGTTATGTACATGTAATACGTTACAATGTAAAAATTGTATTATTTTTGGAATTATTAGTACTCTCAAAACATATTTAAATATACACACCAGCACGAAAAAAGGAGCACTTTTAGATATAAAAAAGAAATTGATTGTCTTTTGATATTTTATTGTTATAATAACTTACACACAAACAAAATAACATTTTTTTAAAGTAATTTTTAACAATCAACCGTTTATTGAAAATAAAAACTGAGTTTTAATAAACATTTACCAAAATAAAAATTGCATAATTTTATATCACCTGAAAGCGCATACTTGGCCTTGGGCAAATATTTATACAAACATATGTTTGACACCCAGTATTTTGCAAACTATCAATTTTTTGACTAAGGTAAATAAGCCTAGATCCTCATATTTTAAGTTGAAGAATTTGTGCTAGCCAAATTTTTTTGACCAGTCTGAAACCTGGATACGATGAGTTTCAATACGCAATAAAACAAAACATTTAAATTCAATTCTGTTAGAAATGGCTGCTCATAGCGACTCATACTACGTATACCTTTTTTCGACAAATGATGTCAAGAAACCAGACTTTTTAACTAGAAATTTAATATACCGAGACACAAAAAAGTTATGAAGCATTCAATTTTTCATCCTAAAACAAAACCCAAATTTCGTGCAAATCAAAACAGTATATTTGACACCCTTTAATTTGGAAACTATCAACTTTTTGACATAGTAAATTGGACTCGATATTCACATTTTAGCGTAATGAATTTGTGCTAGTGTTCTGTACAGACCTTTCAGGAATAATCAACAATATTTAGTGGCAAATGGATACAGTATATAAATGAAGCCAAAAATATGTGTTTGATAACTTTACTGGAAATTTTGGCACATTGATATAACAGTATTAAATGTTCTGCTGGCCCTGCATTCCATTAATCTATGTTATTATGAAATACAGGTGTAGGTATATAATGTAGATGTATACCAAAATGTTTATACTTTATTGACTAATATATAAGGTGCGTTTTAATCATCCGCTTCTGCTTCCGGAATTGTCGGTTTAGTCGTTTTAACCTGTCAGATTAAAACAAGAAAACCGACAATTCCGAAGCAGAAGCGGATGATTAAAACGCACCTATAATTTTGTTACCTGTAATTTAAAATAAGTTAAAAACTAATAAAAAATAGTGTGTGATATTGTCCTGTGATTGGCAAACAGAATCTATTACTTATAGTTTTATAAAAAACATTTTTTAGATAATAAATAAAAAATGCATTTAAAAAACTTAATCATACATTGGATAAAAATTACTTTATTTTAAATATGTTTATACTGATATAAATATAATTTATGGAATATTATTAATTATATTAATAAATCATAATATCAACAAGTTTTTTAATAATTATTTGCTAATTTTTTTAATTATATTCACAAAGGATCTTTAAATATTTACCGATCTGTAAATCCTTAAAAATAAAAACGTCGACAGCAGCAGCAGCATCAATCAATTTAATAACAGGGGAATGTGGTGTCCACTTGTTTGGAAAATGCATGAAGCCCTCCCTTTACATTGTATAAATTAATGTTATGATTAATTAGATGGCTTTGAACAATTTTTACAACCTTTTGAGAGTCATTTCCTCTACGGCACAATACCAAAACTAAAAAAATTGAACCACTTATTACAACTACTTGCTAGCAAAAAAGTAATAAATTTTATTTTAGCACTAGAAATTCATTTTTTGAATATTTAATTTTTCCGTTATTTTTATAAATAGATAATTTAACTGTTTTTTCTCGTTTTTTATTGTTAGAAGCAAAAGGGTTCAACTGACTTTTTTTAATGAGTTAAGTGCATATTTCGTTATTTAAAACTATTATTTTGTTGGTAGTAAAACGATACAAGTGATTTTTGATGTTTTAACCGAATCTATCAGCTGGTAGAAAAAGCATGTTATTGAAAAAGTGTAGTTTGTTCCAGGCAGAACGGTTCAAGTCTAACCCCTTCAATAATCTTAAAAACGTCTCTATAAATCTAAAGCAGTGGGTAAGGTAAATAATTTTCAATAGAAGCAAATAAATAGTCTTGCCGGTTTTTTTTTTGTTTATTGCAATTTGTAAAATTGTTAAACTTTTCACACAATGTGTTTTTGAAAAAAACAAAAGCTTTTTCTCATGTGTAAGAAACTTTTTAGGAGACACTGCTTAATATCGTTAACAACATTATCTGAATACACAATGTTGTTACCGACGTGCTCTTCGAGCACGTCGCAATCCATTACACAATGTGTTCCAAAAAGTTTTATACATATGAGAAAAAGTTTTGCATCACTTGGGAATCCATGACCAAGTATTATTATTTTCGTCTTGATTTTAAGTAATCAATAACTTCTAAAAAACACGTCCGTCGCAATCCATTGCACAGTGTCTTCCAAAAAGTTTTATATACATGAGAAAAAGTTTTATCTTAGGTTATCAAAACACCAAGAATTTCAGATCATTTTATACTTTTATCGAATGTGCTATTGAATAGTGATGACCTATCTGCTTTAGAAATTGAAAGCAGAGGTAAAGGACTTTTGATTAAATAAAATAGTAGTTTGTGCAACAAGAGTGGATGTGAACAATCCACTCGAGTTGTACAGTATATTTTCTCTACGACCCACTAACGAAAATTTACAATAAATCATTTTATTTTTCCCATCCGAGAATCGAACTCGAGTCTTCCCGTGTGGAAGGCAAGAACGCTACCACAAGACCACCTACTCTTTTATTTTTGTTGACTTCATATAGTTTTATTTAAAATAAATTATTTATAATTATAGACGAAAGAAAAACAGAATGCTATTATTTATCGATTCTACACAAGAATAACCCATTTCAAAGTATGTTTAATCTCAATAACTAAAAATATACTGACAATTAGTTTGACAGAATTGTCACTTATTTAAAATTTTAAAAATAATAGCAGTTGGTTGATCAAAATATGAACGGTGATTGGTGGATTTCATTTTTTTACAGTGTTCTCACTACCTAGAATGGATATGAAATATATTCGTTCAGTTGAAGGCAATAGCATACTTTTTCGTTTTGTAATCTGTGCGTAGATAAGCTAATATACATGTGAGTGTAGAAAAAAACAAATTTTCAATATTAGCATGGAACTATCGTATTTATGACATTAATGTAAAATATGATAATTTTGTAACAAATATTTTAAATGTATTAGATTCTGTAGCGCCAAAACAACAAATAAAAATATTTCCAAGATACAAAAAGTGGTGGAATGAAAAAGTAAAAGCTGTCACAAGGTACAGAGATCTTGCATATAAAAATTTTTCACTAAAAAAACAGAAAATAATTTAATAAATATAAAATAAGATAGAAATAGGGCCGTTAATGTAATTAGAACAGAAAAAAGTAAACACAGAGAAAAATATAATATTTACGAAAGTATTGGAAATTCCAAGGAAATCTCTTGAATGTCTGTTCCCAAAAAATAATAAATCAAATGATTTAATCGAAATGAACCAGAAAATACTTTGATTATAAAAAATATTTTTGGCATGCCAAATGCTCTCAATAAATTTTACATAGACAGTATTCAATCGATTTCTAATATGATTGATCATACAATATTAGATAATCAAATTTTAGACAGACACAGTGGACGGTGGATTCTTGAAAAGACATGCTTTTGCAATGAAAAATAAAAGTAGCACAGATGACATTAACCTTAATATTTTAAAAAACTACCAAATGCTTTAAAAATTGCTACGGTCCCTGTTCCTAAAATAAAGTTAGTTATTTAAGTCCTATTAGTATGTTAAGTTGTATCGAAAATATCCTTGAGCAGGTCGTTTATGAACAAATTGTCAATTTTTTAGAACATAAACTTATTACTAGAATACAATCGGGCTTCAGGAGCCAATAATAATAATAATAATACTATCCCTAATTCACCCACTTACGAGTGAATTTTAGCCACAAAAGCTGAGCATGTGCGGGGAAAGGGACGGCTATTATTATTAGTATTTGCCGTGGTGCTCCGGGGCGACTTAAAGATGATTGATGGTGCTATTTGAGTTACAGGTGAGGAAAACCCGGAAAACTTCACCCACCATCATCGAGACGGTAATGCATGGCGATTTTATAATCTGCATGTCATATCAACAGAAATTGAATTTCTATTAATATGGCACACATCAAATCCTATACCGAACCATGCAATTTAATTAAAAATCTACATGGTCTGGTCTGGGATTCGAAGCCCGGCAGTCTCGGACCATAAACTTGTCTATAAATGAATATAAGCGCGTTAGACTGCTATATAACCGACCTGTATAACTGCCAATCAGCTATTCAGTGTGTTTTATATGATTGGAAATATATTTTTGATAAAAACTATCTAACGTTCGCAGTTTTTATAGATCTTCAACGGGGAAATCTATTGATCAGAACCATTCGATAACAAAATTAAACAGTATGGGTATAGTAGAGCAAGCATTGGAGTGGTGTGTGGATTAACAGAAAACAAAGGTTAAAAGTAAATAACATCATAGCAGAATAAATTAACTATACAAAAGGAGTTCCATAGGGAAGCATATTAGGTTCCCTGTTATTTTTAGTTTATATCAATGACAATGACATTGTTGATGCACGTCGTTAACATCAATGTGCGAGGTAAATATATTTCAATAAACAACAATAAAAAAGGGCAAGACTCTCTATTAGTTTGGCTTTATTAAAAATTATTTACTTTATTTTTTACTCTAGATTTACAAGGATGTTTTTCACGTACTTAAAGATAAAAACAAGAAAACGAAAAAGCAGTTAGGAAATATAAGCCGCGACGATCTAAATTTGACCGAAACTCGCGAGCGCACTAAATAACGGGCTTAAGTTTTGCAACCGCTTCCACGGTATTTTCTTTTTGGAAAATTCGCGACCTTTCCAACAGTATTTAGTTTGACTACAAAAACGCGCCTAAAACGGGGCGTCTGACAACCCTATATAAAGATGATGTAGAAGGCATGTCATTTATTTGAAGTTTTAAAGTTTTTAAACAACGTTTTCCTCTCTTTAAATAATATGTCTATTTAAATAACGAATGAATTTTGTTTCACAAGGAAGTGTCTTTGATTTTTTTCTACGTTCATGCAAAAAACAAAACTTTATTGAAGTATATTTAGTGAAAAAACTGGTTCTTTATTGCACTTGTGCAATAAAATTGTTATTGCCCTCATCTGTCATTTTACTACAGCGTTTTATGATCATGACAAACATAAATATTCAAATCAACGCGAAATATTTAGTCCATTTTCATTTTCTGTGAGATTGTATTACGTTTTAAAAACAATTGTATAATATTAATATTGAAAATTGTACAAATTGTACATTTACTTTTAATATTAGTGGCAAAAACAACGTTTAAGCTTAATTATTGTTCATAACACAGTTGTTCCTAAAGTTTTGGTTAAATTATTTTTCTGAACATAGTTATAGTACTTTTTCAATGTTAATCGATGTTAATTATTAGTTATTAAATATTTTGCTATTAAGATACGCTTTTCATTCTTCTGCACTTAGTGTCGCCTATATAAAACAGTTTTTGGTTTTTGCATAAACGTAGAAAAAATATTGTATGCAACTCGTGCAAAAAGTGTTTATTGCACTCGACGTGTTGTCAATTTCACGTCGCGTGCAATAAACACTTACTTTTTGCACTTGTTGCATAAATAACTATTGTGTACGTATTGTTTAAAATTATCACACCATTCAGAAATCTAGACAAAAAGAGCTTCTATTTATTCATAAATATTCTTTTATTACATTTTCATCAGAGAACAAGACTATTTTCCACTCGTCAAGATGGTCCAAACTATTTTTAATAATATATCAACGATATGGTGAAACTTTTTAATTATAGAATACATTTATTTGCAAATGATATTCCTATTTATCAATCAAAGAGCATATACTTTTTCATTTAGAAATTTGTACTACTTTTTTGAAAGCAAGTGTAATTTTTCTTAGTTAAGTTGAAAAAATCTTACCATTTTTTGACAACTGAGTAGTATTAACGTCTAAAAATTTTATAAAATCTCCAATGTTATCCATAATTTTTGTATATGAATAATTAAGTGTTTTAGGTAAACAACACATTTTAAATTCTAACTCTGGCCTAACATCTACTACTAGAGTGTCATCTCTAAGTTTGTTAAAACATAAAATTTCAATTTCTTGCTCCGGTTTTACAATATTTATATCTGTCACCTAAAAATTATAATCAATTTGTAAAGCTGATTTAAATCTAAAATGTATTTTTTTAATCTTATACCTTATCATGTGCACTGGACCCACAAAATTGCTCATAATCTATTAGTGATGTAATTGTAGGAGCATCGCCACAAACTTCACATTTTATATTTCTTTGTTTTAGTTTTATATTTTGGAAAGTCGAGGCGATTCCATCAAATATAAGAAATCTTTTAGATAGCACAAATGGAGAATGTATTAAAATCTTTATAGTTTCTAAAGCTTGAAGAACTCCTATCACTCCAGTTACTAGAAAAAATAGGCAAACAATTTAATTTTCAGAGAGGAACTTTTCAAAATAATTTGAATTACCTGGTCCTAAAACACCTCCATCTCCACAATTAGTAACTGTCTGAGGTGGCGGAGGAATAGGAAAAATACATCTATAACAAGGACCATCTTTATAATGATAAACGGTCAGTTGACCTTCCATTTGAAGGGCACTACCAGATACAAGTGGAATATTGTTCAATACACAGGCATCGTTTAGAAGATATCTTGTAGCAACATTATCACTACCATCTATGATTACATCATATTTTGTTGCCTTTAATAGACGATTAATGGTTGTGCTGTTAACATGGTCTATAATTGGAATTATTTTTATGTTTCCATTTAGCCTAAGGAAAAATTGTTTTTAACTATCATTCCAAGATTAGCACAATATGCAATCTATTCTACTCATAAACAGTCAGGCAAATATGCAAAAGTGCATATGCATTTGGGTTGCCAGATCTTTGTAATGAAAAAGCGGGACAATGTCGTTTCAGCTTAATTTTGTTAGGAATTCAACCAAAACTTAAAAATGAGTACAAAAAACAAAATATTCTTTAATAGAATAACAAAATAAGCGGGATAGATTAACAAAAAGCGGGACTGTCTCTACTATGGCGGGACGTCTGGCAACCCTGATTTGCATATTTTAGACATTTTTTGTTTTTATTTAAAAAAAATGTATATAATACTTTCTTAAAACAAATTTATTCAAATACGTGTGCAAAATTGCCCAAATTGAGTAAACTAATAATTGGCCAATTGTTGTATTTACCGGCACAAATTGTGATTTCTTAAAAAGCTACAAACAGATATTCACTGTAAAATATAGAGCGTTTCATAAGGTCCATTAGGACTGACATGTTCTGTGAGTTTCCTGAAAACAGCCGATTTTGGACATATGTCGTTTTTATAAAAAGGTCTTCAGTTTTATTCTTATTTTAATGCCTTAACAATCCCTTTATACCTGAAAGTAGGAAATACCAAGACCTATTAGATTACCTATTTAGTCGATTAAGTCCCTCTTAATGTGTTTTGGATTAAATAACTGGTTTTACTGGTTGCATTTACTTAGATAATGTAAATTTCAAAGTAGTTTAGTTTATATTTTGAACTTGAACACTTACTTTTGGAGTTTACAAAGTGTCAAAAAGTTTTAGCGTGGTTCAAGCCAGATCCAGAATTGTTCATAGATTTGGAAAAAGTATTTGGCTCAGCATGCAGTAAAATTGTAAGTATGCCATTACAAGTAATAAGTACAAATATTTAAAATTACATATAAATTAATTTTAAACAAACACTTAGATATTTGAAAAATTCCTTTTAAAATAATTTGGCCCCATTTCTTTTTGTTGTATTAAAATAAAAATATAGTAGAAATATAAGGTATTTTGAAAATAATTTTAATTTGTATTATAATATGAATTTTCTGCCATTTTTCATTCAATTCATACAGTTTTGAGGCCCTAGACATTATTATACTCTTCACACAGTAATCTGTGAAGAGTATTAAGTATAGATTTGTGTGAAGCAATGTTAAGCTAAAATATACCTTTGTCCAAATTATCAAATGAAAATTTTCACAAGTTTCTTGAAAAACACCGCAAATGGAATATTCCAAGTGAAAGAAGCTTAAAAAAAGACACTGATTCTATATATTCTGCTGTACTAAATAAAATATAGGAGATAATTATTTTTATGTATGTGTGAGTGAATCAACTGATTCTTCCGGCCGTTACATCCTCAGTTACATCACACATTTATTAATTGGGCTCTTAAAAATGAACAAGCTTCTAAATCACATTTAATTGCTTGCAAGCAGCAAGATAGTTTAACAATTTTTTTTTTCTTTTTTTAGCTGTCTCCAATGAAAAATGTTTGGTCACTCTTTCAGATGCTGCACCTTACATGGTTTAAGCAGGCCAACATTTGAAAAACTTTTATCCATGTTTGGTACCTTAAGGCATCTATAAGAGCACAATTTTATAGAGAACATTTGCCGAATCTTCTTCTTTTACCACAACCTGTTACTAGATGGGAAACTTGGTTACAGGCTGTGTTTTATGAAGAAAATTTTGCTCAACTTAAGCCCACAATAATGGAATTAGCATCAACAACTTTCATCTAAAAAATTAAATTAAATTTTGTATCCTTCAGCTACAGGATACACATGTATCTTTATGGGTCAATTCAAAGACAATATATAATATATGTAAGCCAAAATCTGTAAAAAAATACATTACTTTATCTTACAGATTCTGTAGCTTATAGGATATTTCCCAGAATCCTACCATTAATTGAATCAATTAAATTAATAAAAATAATTGTATTATCTTGCAAAAATGTTGAGGGTCAAAGTGAAGACATTTTTAAGAAACAGTCAATAAAAATACTGGTTTTGTATTTCTATCTGAGGTTGCAAATGTTTTAACTGGGATGTTTGATGAAACAATAAATGTAGATGCAGAAGATCTAACTCATTTAAATATTCTCTGATAAATTTGGTGGATGTAGATCGGAGCTATTCTATTTGCAAACATAGGTATTCAGATAGTAGACGTTTGTGAGAAAATTTTGAAAAACATCTTCACATATAGTTTTTACAAATAAATATGTATAGATAATTTAATGAAGTAATGGTTTAAAAGTTTTATTTTATTATATTATAAAATTAATCTATATGAACGGTTTATGAAGTGCATAATTTGTTCAAATAATTGCATATAAATGCATATTTGACACAAATAATATGCAATATGCATATACCTATCTTACTTTTTGGTCTGCATATTTGCCCGACTCTGCTCATAATGTATATATATAAATTAAGTATGTATAATTATTTGTATACCTTTCTAATTTTTTAAAAGCAGAGTCTACTTTTGGAGTACCAATATCATTTTCAGAATGAAGCACTTGTCTATGAAGATTAGATAATTCTACTGCATCATAATCTATTATTGTAATTTCACCTAAAAAGTAATTCAGTAAATGTATTTATAATATTATAATGACTATGTTACCTATCCCTGCACTTGCCAAATATAAAGCTGCAGGACAACCTAATCCTCCAATGCCAACAATAAGAACTTTGCTGTTTTTTAGAGTTTCTTGTCCAGTTACAGTTATGTCAGGCATAATCATTTGACGACTATATCTTACAATTTCGTCGGTTGAGAGAATGTTATTATACGTGCAAATACCTTCCTTAATATAAAATTTAGAAATTAATAAACAAAAAGAAGTTTAACTTGAATATGTACTTACTTGTTTTTTATATAATGCATGCAATAATTGTTCTTTCTTATTAAGTTTTTCTTTTAATTCTGCAATTTCCTGTTTGAGTGTTTCAAGCTCACGATTTAAAGACATTTTCTTATATTTAAAATTTTCAATGTGGATAAACAAAACTTTTATTTTATTACCTACTACTGGTCTCGTATTCTCTTGTCTCCAGTTCTAACTTCTAACAGCACGTCTCTTATGATATGGCAACCCTGTGAACCTTGACAGGGTCAATGCTGTAGATTGTTATATAGACTGAGCATCCATCTACTTTCGAATATGAAGACTAGAGATAAGGAAACGAATCAGCATACTCCACATACTTTGATTTTCTTTTACTATACGGAGAATGGTCGCACTGCGCAGCTTTCTGAGTGCCTTTTAAAAGGAGATAGAAAACTCCGCCATTTTGAACCCTTATTACGTGTGGCCTACATCTTGGCGCAATATTTTTAATAGGTGCGTTTTAATCATCCCCTTCTGCTTCGGAATGGTCGGTTTTCTTGTTTTAATTTGACAAGTTAAAACGACTTAAACCGACAATTCCGGAAGCAGAAGCGGATGATTAAAACGCACCTGGGGACCTATTTTCAAAGTATGTGAGCACTCATTTCTCTCAAGATTCTCATCAGAAATGTCATACGTCAATGTGGAAATGTTGTTTTTAAAGGCATCGAGGATTAAAATTCTTAGGAAGATTTTAATTCTCTCTAAATAAACCGAGAGAAACAGTGAGTGAGTTCACAGTGGCCCTAAGAGCCCTAAAAATACGGTTTTACGTTGACGTATGACATTTCTCTTGAGAGAAATGAATTCTCTCGAGTTTGAAAATAGCCCCCCTGGGGACCTATTTTCAAACCGTGTGAGTACTCATTTCTCTCAAGATTCTCATCAGAAATGTCATACGTCAATGTGGAAACGCTGTTTTTAAAGGCCTCGAGGATTAAAATTCTTAGGAGGATATTAATTATCTCTAAATAAACCGTGAGAAACAATCAGTGAGTTCACACTGGCCCTTAGGACCCTAAAAATACTGTTTTACGTTGACGTATGACATTTCTCTCGAGAGAAATGAATTCTCTCGACTTTGAAAATAGCACCCCTGATATTTTGCTTGCGGCTGTCAGTGTCAGTGAATATTATTTTTTGAGTCACAGATTATTGCTAAAGAATCAGTTAGCTCACTCGGACCAGTTGAAAGTTTCAAAATAAGATCCACTCCAGGGATACAAATTTAGGATACGCAGAAGACAGCTGTTTTATTATAGGCGGTTGTTATATATTGTATTATCCGAGATCAAAAGTGCCGACGCAGAGTGAGCGATCTGATTCTTTAGCTATAAACTGTTGCATAGGGTTCAAAATGGCCGGGCCCTATGTTGGGCGTGTCGGACCTCTCTCTTGCGCCGTATAGTAAAGAAAATCAAAGTATGTGATGTGGCATACTCAAAATACGGTACCAAAAAACGCATGCTAATTGAGCTTCTATAATTAACCACAGGTGCGCTGGTACTGCATACGCTGTTCAAAATACATGGCTTCTTATGGGAATTATACATAATTTTGTTGAATTGAACTAATATATAGTTTTAAGAGTAAAATAAAACGCAGTGAACAGATTTTTGTTGTAATACAAGTATAAAAAAAAGATTTGGGAATGTACATGGTATTACCTGATCCTTTAATTTCAGCTTCCCCTTTTTATTTAACTAATGGTCGATTCCACCGTAGTGTTAAACGGAGATTAAAATGACATTGAATGTAAAAATGTCATTTTAAACTTCGTTTAACACAACGGTGGAATCGGTCCTTACACTACCATCAGTAAAAGTAGTCTCATAATATTTGATATCTTCTAAAAAGTATAGAACAGAAAGTGCTTTATCGGCAGGAGAAACGATATATATGCTGCCACTGTTCTAAACGTTTAGGGTGACATTTTTACATTAACAATGTCATTTTAATCTCCGTTTAACACAACGGTGGAATAGGTCCTTAGTATCCTATAAAAAACATTTAAAATGACACAATAGGGGTCAAAAAAAAAAAAAAATAACAGTAGCAACTCTTTATCTAACATTAAAACTCTATAAAAAATAAATTTTCTTTTCTAGTAAGTTCAATTTAATACATAATTATTGTTGTTTGTAAGTCAGCATCTACAGAGTGTTTCCGAATTTGGCGTCCAAATTTGTAGGGGTGGTAGTTCGCATAATTTGAGAGCGACTAACAGATTTCATTTTTCTAAAAAAATTATAATAAACAAAATAGAGCCATTATAAAAAAATCAAAAAGCGGGTCCTACCCTGAGCGCGTAGCGAAATAGTTGCCTGATCGGTTACTCATCGGGATTTACAACTCAAAAACAGATGTGATTTGCAAATTTCTCCCTCCTCCCGGCCGGTATCTAAAGACGTAGCCGATTGTTTTTCTAGTGCGATCGTAGCGCGCGCGAGTCGAGACGTTCCCATCGCTATGCAGGACCGTACCTGTTTAAAATTTTTAATTATTTTTATTTTAAATATTTTGGAAAAATGAAATCTGCGAATCGGTCTCAAATTATGCGAACTACCACCCCTACACATTTGGACGCCAAGTTCGGAAACACTGTAAAATTCTATATTATAGAAACTTGTAATAAAATAAACTACACTTTGTAAGATACATATATATTGTGACTAGTTTATATTAAATATTATCTTTAGACATGAATACATTATTTTACTTACATTAGAAGATTTAAAAAGACATTGAATTGATTTCTTCTTGTGTTTTCTTTAGTTTTACATTTGATTTTTATCCTGTTTTACAATCTTAAACAACGTAAATTTTGATTTGATGTTTTTTGTCACTCAAGTTACTTGTACTTTTTTCACATTATTGATTTTTTCACCATTTTTTTTTTAAATCACTTCATTTTACATTGACTTACATAGAAAATTGACTACGCTGTCATTAGACATATCAACTACAGTCAATTTCGCGAACATTATAAAAAGAAGGACGGAAATTTGAATTTTGACCATTGCCGATTCGCCTCCTTCTCTCTAGTCTTCATAGTTTCGACACAGAATACGGATATAATTATTCTGTGGTTTCGATAGACTCGCCCTTTCACTGTCTCTGATCAGATGAAGAAAGGGGTATCGTACTTCGCACCTAAAAACGTATAATGTTTCAGGAGGGTTTATTTTGATTTTCTAAAAAATGTTTCTTGATCAAACCTTAATAACATATGTTCAACTCACAAAGCATGCTTTGTGGTTCAACTAGTCTTCTGAATAAAAGGTAAAAAACCGTTCTGTATATTTTATTATAGATTAAAATAGCAGATCAAATTGGAGAAATAGTTTTGTAGTATTTGAAACAACGACAAAACACTACTAGACTTATCCATTCATTCAAAATTAAGTTCTTATTTATTTTACTCATTCAGATCCTGTTTTATATTACGAAGATAGAGATAGAGCTGTCGCATCGGCTACCGCATCAGAATAAGGAACGTGATGGCTGCTAAATGTTAATTTGAGTGGAGATGGAGGAGTGAGGGCATGCGTTTTATGAATGAATCGGTACTTTACGCCTACGATACTTGCCTTAGGACCGATTCCACCGTTGTGTTAAACGGAGATTAAAATGACATTATTAATGTAAAAATATCATTTTAAACTCCGTTTAACACAACGGTGGAATCGGTCCTTAGACTACTGGCACACTTCAACATTAACTGAACGTTGGAACGAAAAAAATTGAAATATACTTCCTTAATACAATTTTGAAAGCCTTTTGTGAGTTTTAGGGCTTTATGTTAAGTCTATAGCAAATTATAACCATAAACAATCCTTGTAACATCTCACACATACCTACAAGATAATTTGACAATTAAGTCTATAATACTGTAAATGTTTTCAATTTGATTTTTGTTAACGAAATTGTCTAATATATTTATATTTTGTGGACTGCATCTGAGATAAATTATAAATTATTTTCTATTTTAATCTTTAAATGCCGCGTTTGAGAATCCACATCGGATGCATTTTTTACATCTCGAGCGTTTTTTTATCCACATCGGACACATCTGTCCCATTACATTTACGTATACTGAATCACGTGATCAAAGATTTTTTACATCTCAGATGCATCCGATGTGGATTCTCAAACGCAGCAATTATACAAATTGTATGGATGGAACAATATTTTCAGAAGTGACGTAGCTCAGTGCTACACTGTCGATGCAAAGGAAAAGACCTATCCATTAGCCTTCTATTAGAATTACATTTTATAAAATTTCAGTGCCGTAACAAATACTAAACATACCCCTAACAAGCTTATGCCGTGAAGTAAAAATGTAGGTAATAAACGACCCGCTGAGTGATCTATATAACTATGTGTATCATTGATCACAACAAGGTTGCCATTTGCTGCGTTTGAGAATCCACATCGGATGCATTTTTTACATCTCGAGCGTTTTTTTATCCACATCGGACACATCTGTCCCATTACATTTACGTATACTGAATCACGTGATCAAAGATTTTTTACATCTCAGATGCATCCGATGTGGATTCTCAAACGCGGCAATTTATAACCTGTCAATACACATTTGCAGCATTTGACAGGACGTTAAAAAGTTACTAAATATACATTATGTTGAGTCTGCTTCTTCGTTCTATTTTATTTTGACAGTTCACTTAGTTTTGTTATGACAGTTTGACACTTTTGACAGTACTGTAAATAATAACAGTAAATATTTTTGTTTTTTTTTTCGTTCTTTAGGAAGGTTTTATTTATTAAGTCAATTTATATAGTCGTTTTATTTATTAAGTCATAAATTGTAAAGTCGTACTATTCTTTTACATTTATTTAAAAAATTAAATGGAATCTCAAAGTCTTTTAGGATCTCACAATTCAACGTTAAATAGCAGCGGTAGTACGGCTACAGTAACAGACGAGGAATGGACTGAAGACTCTAGTAGTAGCTCTTATTCTGATTCGGATAGGTACAGTTATCTTTTTTTATTAAATCTCTTACTTAAATCTACTGTTCTTTTTAGTACAATTCCAGAATGGGAACCTTATGTAGATGATTTTACAGGAGAGCTACTTTATATTGAATGCCACCCTTTTGTAGTACAAAATAAAGATACAAAAAATAAAACTGCATTACCAGAACCATTAACAAGAAATAATTTAAGACGTAGTACAAGGGGAAAATTTTTAAAACTTTTGAGACGAAGGGATAGCAAAAGAAAGAGCAAAAAGAATCAAAAATCTGTAGATATAAATGAAACCAATACTTCTAAGGTGAAATTTCAGGAGCTTCATGAAGGTAATGAATACCACACTTATGGAAAACTGCACTAGTTTCCCTATATTTAAATCTGGAAATTAAATTGAAATCGAAAACTTTAGGTCCATATCACTTTTATTAGCCCCTGTTAAATTATATGAACATATACTGTATGTAAGATTATATCAACATGTTGAAAGCAGTCTGATATCCTAGCAGCATGGTTTTGTCTCAAAAAAATGTGTCAGTACAAATTTGTTTAGTTTTGTAACTACAGCTTATGAAGCACTTGAAAACAAAATCCAACTTAATGTAATATTCACAGACTTTAAAAAAGCATTTGATAAGGTAAATCATGATGTCCTACTTTTAAAACTGAGTAAATTTGGTTTGACAAATAGTACTCTTACACTATTTAAGAGCTACCTAGAAAATAGATATTCAGTTGTTAAGCATAATGGGAACACATCAGGAAAATTTATAGCATATAGTGGAGTGCCACAGGGCTCCAATTTGGGACCCCTCCTTTTTTTAATTTTTACCAATGATTTACCATCTATGCTGAAGTTTACAGTCTTCTATTTGCCGATGATCTTAAAATTTTTAAAAAAATACAGACTGTTCGGGATTGTGTGAGTTTACAAAAAGATTTAGACAACATAAATGAACGGTGTTATAAAAATAAATTAAATTTCAATACAAAAAAATGTAGCAGTATGACAATAAGTAGAATGAAAAATCCTGTTATTTTCGATTACCTTATAAATGGAGAATTAATAGAACGACGTTCAGAGGTTAAAGACTTAGGTATAAACTACTATTGTGTTCTATCTTTTTCTAATCATGTAAACAATATAGTTAAGGCTGCTAATAGAATGCTGGGGTTCATAATTAGGCAAACTAGAAGTTTTACTAACATAGAATCTATAAAAATTCTTTATTATGCTCTATTTAGACAAAAACTTGAATTTGGAGCTGAGGTATGGATGGGGGAACATCCAACTAATCTATATGATATTGAAAAAATATAAAATAAATTTCTTAGATATCTTTATTTCAAAAAACTCCATATATACCCAGACTACAATATTGTTAGAACTGCAAACCTAAGAAAAGAATTTAATATACCTACCTTTCCTTCACACCAGAAGGAATATCATAATGTTGATGTTTTTATATAAAATTATTAACTGTAAAATTAACTCACCTGAGCTACTATACTTAATATGATTTAATGTACCTCCGAGGAGAATGAGACATCCATGTATGTTTAATATTCCTTTAGTTCTTACCACTGCCAGGTCATGTGACCATGCTCCGATTGGCAAATAATATTAACACTTGTATTGATGTAGACTGGACACTACCATTTAGTATGTTCCGAAAACTTATATTTAATTATTACATTACTCTTGATTAATTATTAATACTCTTAATTAATTTTAATACTAAATAAGTTGTAATATTAGTTGTAATTAGGTACCTACTGTTTATGATTAATATTTATGTATTATGATACTTTTATCCATGTAATAAGGCCGTTGGCCTGTTTGGATACAAATAAATAAAAAAATTACAGAAACATTTTCTTTTAGCACAAAGTCATTTAACTTATGAATTAATTAATGGTTATGATTATTTCTACTGTGTAATCCCAAACAAAGAACAACTTAAATAGGCAATATTTTATATTATATTTGTGGTAAGTTTCCTGGGATTATCAATAAATGAATAAAACAAAATAAAGTCTAACCCTTACGCTGCGGGTGTAGCATATATTATTAGTAATTTTTTGAGCACGAGATGTGCAGTTGTTACCTTTTTGCTGTAGTCGAATGTTTGCCTATAACCAAGATGGTATACCCCACTTATTTGCAACATGAAAGCCTTCATTTAGTACATCCACCTTATCAGGAGTGTACAAGTGAAGTACAGCTTCATAATAGCTCATGCTAAAATTGTTGTCCCAACTTTATATGAGTATCATACTTATGTTTTCTTTCTATTTCAATTCTTACAACCAACATAGAAAAATAGTGAAACATGTCACGATTCAAAATATTGTTTAGTTTTCTTGAAAGCTAGGTTTAAAATTATATAGATTTTTCTTATGAGAACACAATTATATTTTGTATGTGATATAGCTGTACTATTTCTATGCATTCAACACCTTTCTAGTGAAATACTAATAGGAGAGCTCATGAGAGGGGTGGAATGTCTATTATTATTTCAATGACGTTAAAAAAAATCTAATAAAAATAAACTTGGTCCTTTTATACTTCATCTTTCTTCTAGGTGAAGAAAAAGATGTTATGCTAGAAATAGATGCAGAAAACAGACATAATTTAAGTAGTGATAAGTCACTAGCAGAATCATTACTAGGGCTGATAGTGAGCACATTATCAGATGGAAATAGAGTAATGATAGCAGGATTCTCCTACGATAGTAAAGCTAGACAAGAAAGAAACATAAAAATTGGAGATTGGTTGAAAACCATAAACAACATAGAAGTAAACGTACAGAATTTGGATGACATTCTTCAAAAATTTATAAACAGAGATGATGTTCTTCTCAAGTTACAAAGAGTTGCTGGAATCGAGGTTACAAAAGACCCTCCGATAAATGAACTTAACATCGAATCGGATTTTGTAAGAGAACTACTGAATTCAAAATTGGACGAAGAACAGAGTTTATCTCAAATTCTGTGTAATCACCCTGTAGGGGTTGTATATATCGATACAGAAAGTTTAAAGGAAAGTAATCAAAACTGTGAAGATGTTATTTATTGTTTTCCAAAACCTTTTCAAAAGAATACTCTCGTTACATCTCGAGGAATGTTTATTACAATAAACCATTTGTTATTTGATCTAACTAAAAGTAGACCAAAAGTATCCACCATAAAATGCAATGGGCAGAGGGCTAATGTCGTCTTTACAAATATCGATAAAAAATTGTTCCTTTTAATGCTTCCTGAAAACAAAATTACCCAAAAAGAAATTTTGTTATTAAATAATGAAATAATAAGATTGTTGAAATTTTCTTATGAACATTTAGACAAATGTTTTACTTCGGAAAAGTACCTGCAACAAGTTGATAATTTATTTTTTAAACTATTTGCGAGAACTTTAAGTAATGGACTGTGGAGCACTACTGAACAATTTGGAGCGATGGATAATTCCGATGCAAAAAATAATTCACCACAATTCGAGCATGCTATGCCTGTGGCTCCTAGTTTATGTTTACCATATGAAGCTCAAGTACAAATAGATGATGCATTGTCGGAATTAGAAGCTAGCGATTATAGAGATTGGGTAAGATTATTTAGCACTGTAGTTTTGTTATTTTTTTATGGATATGATGTAAGGTCTTTTCCTTTGCATCGACAGTGTAGCACTGAGCTACGTCACTTCTGAAAATATTGTTCCATCCATACAATTTGTATAAATGGAACGATATTTTCAGAAGTGGTGTAGCTCAGTGCTACACTTTCGATGCAAAGGAAAAGACCTAATATATTCTACATACCTACCTCCCACCACATATATCTTCACAACTGACCTAGAACAGAAGTAAAAGTTGGAAATGCTTTTGCCAGTTCTCCCACTTTATACACATAAATTGACAGGTTGGCAGCGGATCTCACCGAAGTGGACGCGATACATTGGCGTACAAAATTATTTTATAGATGTTAATAACAATTTCGAGTAAATAGTTTAATAAATTGTGAATAGCTGTTGAAATTTTGTAAAATTATAATTTGAATATTATAATACATGTTTAATAATTATTTATAATCCATAAATACATGCGATTGTCCGGTTCCGCCGATAACAATTTAAAATTACTCATTCTATGAAACGACACTGGCAGGTAAACATTACTGTGAAATTCTCGGAGGCGCCCGACTATCCTTCCTCCATGCGCCCGACGTTTACCCCCTCTCTACCTACCAAAAGACTTTTCAACCTTTACTTTCTCTATACAACTGCGGCGTCAAGAATATTATATTTTATCAGTGAATAGCTATCTCCTATTATCTCTGTTAATGAAAAGTAGATAAGTTTACTATTTGGGGATTAGCTTTTGTTTTCCAAATATGATATAAAAGCCCTTAATTAATCTTTCATAACCTCTGCACATTGATACATTTTTTAGGATGCTGAAGACTATCAAATTTCGATTTTCTAACATTTTTATCAAAAAAACTTTTGAAAAATGTATATTTGTTAATCTTTTAGAATGAAGAACCGTTAGATTGCCAGAGGCTTTTTACAGTTTTGGGAAGTGCTCTATTCCATGCAGGTTACCTTTTGGCAACCCATTTTATACAAGACGATCTGGTAGATGTGTATTGTTTTTGTAAACAACAAGGACTATTTCATTTATCTAAAACGGAACCTGTCAAGTCATTGGTATTATGGAAGGAAGTATTTCCTTCTTCTTGCAACGTATCACAGAACACGACTATCAAAATACCTGATGGAAAAAGATATTTGCTTGTGGTTGAAAGTGGCAAGGTGAGAATAAACTTTTTAATGAAAAATTATGGCTACTAACTTTGTATCTGAATTTTTACTGAAACGTTTTACTATGTTTCGTTCAATGAAATACAAGGATTTGACAAAAATGAATTAATTACATGGTAGTGATATGACTTTCTCGATTTTAGTGTAAGAATGTAATACCTATTTTATATTCTCACACGTAAAATCGTTGAAGAATGAAGCTCATTCTTAAACGATTTGTGATGGCATTTTTGTTGCATTTCAGTTGACATGCACTAGAACAGAAGTAAAAGTTGGAAATGCTTTTGCCAGTTCTCCCACTTTATACACATAAATTGACAGGTTGGCAGCGGATCTCACCGAAGTGGACGCGATACGTTGGCGTACAAAATTATTTTATAGATGTTAATAACAATTTCGAGTAAACACTTTAATAAATTCTGAATAGCTGTTGAAATTTTGTAAAATTATGATTTGAATATTATAATACATGTTTAATAATTATTTATAATCCATAAATACATGCGATTGTCCGGTTCCGCCGATAACAATTTAAAATTACTTATTCTATGAAACAACACTGGCAGATAAACATTACTGCGAAATTCTCGGAGCCGCCCGACGTGGTTTGACGTTTACCCCCTCTCTACCTACCAAAAGACTTTTCAACTTTTACTTTCTCTATACTTTGCTCATAAATAAATTCATCAATAAATTCCACCTAACAGTTGGTTGGTAACTAACAGCCGTATGCATAGTCGATCGCCAGCGATTCATTTCGGCGTATCGCCAGCGATTCGCTGGCGATCGCCGGCGAAAGCTAAAAAAGCTGGCGACTCGCCGGAGATTGTCACCGGAATGTCATTTCACGCAAGTTTTCATGTTCTTTTATAGGGAAAAATTTGATATTCGTTCATTATTTTTTGAGTTTTAAGAAATGAATCATGAATAAAATGCGAGAGATACTGGTGATAATCCCTATAAAAGAAAATAAAAACTTGCGTGAAATGACATTCCGGTGACAATCTCCGGCGAGTCGCCACCTTCTTGGGCTTTCGCCGGCGGATCACCAGCGAATCGCTGGCGATACGCCGAAATGAATCTCTGGCGAGTCGCTGGCGATCGACTATGCATACGGCTGTAAGTGTTACCAACTGACAAATTTTGCGAAAAAATCCCCAACTATCAATGACCTCAAAAAAAAAAAAAAAAAAAAGGAAAATAAAGCCCAAAATCGAGAAAATAGTATAAAACACACGTTGCAGAAGGCTATTATCGCCCTCATTCCGTTCGTCCACTCGCTCCCTCATCGCTCGTGGCCAAATTTCGGATTCGTGGAGAAATATGCGGCCTTCTGCAACTTATATTTTAATATACTATTCTGGACCGCTATTCACTAACTGTGAGAGTAGTCGTGTCTCACAATTTGGCCTTACTGCGCATATCACTCTCCTACAATTATAAGACATTAGTGAACGGTGAGTAATAGTAAAGAGCCCACTATAAAATGTTGAGTCAATCACTAGTTTGGCTAAATTTTTATGGAAACATCGCGTAACATATTGTGCAATCGTTATCCGTCGGGAGCCGCGCCAATATCGTTTGCGTTTTACGTGCCACCCTCCACCCATCATTTTTTTGGATCAATAGATAATTAAATTTTCTATTTTGCGTTAAGAGTGACTGATGGGGTTGAAAGTGACTAGCACGTCGTTAACAAGAATATCTGAGTACACTTTGTTGTTAACGACGTACTCGAAGGGCACATCGCAATGTATTAATCAGTGTGTCCCAAAAAATTTAATATAAGAAAAAGTTTTGCTTTAAATATCTGAATACGCTTTGTTATTAACGACGTGCTCCTCGAGTACGTTGCAATTCATTACACAGGGTGTTCCAAAATGTTTTATACCTGCTATCAAAATCACACAGATAAACTGAACATAAGAAAAATCTAAAACAGATGAAACACTTATTTTTTGATACACAATTAAATTTTTTAATTCTGTATCTTTCTTATTTTAGAGTTGTTTTAAAAAAGTGATTTGAAAACTATGTTTATTTTAACGAGTATCAACTTAGGATATATTTTTTGAAGATTTCATTCTCGATTTGCCTTGTATATATTTTTCGGTGATTTCATTCTCATAGGATACAAAATATGTTTTATATTGTTAGGATATTTTGGCGGTGATAATGGAAGCAGCAGGCTGTACTGAACCACCGGAGGAGAATTTGGGACCAGATGCCTTTTACGTAGAAGAAGCTCAAGCCACTTTAGCACACATTCAAGAACTCGGTTTGAGCGAATTGTCCGAAAGAATTTTGTCATTAGAACCTCATCCGCAAATCGTCAGGCCTCTATCCCGTAATAACAAACGGAAAAGCGATTTATTAACATTTTCCCGGAGCAGTTTAAATTCTGGAAAAGTAAATATTTTTTATTTATTTATTTTTATTGTTCAATTACCTCATTTAAAGGAAAAAAATTGTTAATTTGACTTTGAGAAGTGTAAATGGTAGAAAAAATGATTATCTGAAGAACTTTGTACGATAATTTTTCAACGTAGACTTCCTTTAAAAAAAGTGTTTCGGATCGAAAAAAATTAAACTCGATACCTATTGGATTTTTTTTATTAAAAAAAGGGCGCTTCTTTAAGACAAAGATATAATTCACCAAATTTCATCAAAATTTTTGGAAAAATAAAAAACGAAAAAAAAAAATTCAACCGAACTTTTGCATTTTTATCGAACATTTTTAGATTATGTTAAAAGTGATCGTTACAAAAGTTTTAGATTTTTGCTTGATCTACAATTAAAACAACCTAAAACTTTACTTCACCCCCCCCCCCCCCCAACAACCAAAAACTTTACTTCAACCCCCCCCCCCCGGGTTGCTTGCATTCATTTATTTTTTTTTATCATACATTTTATTAACAATTTTTTTTCTCAAAGTTCAATTTGGTTGGACTACGAATAGTTATTTTTACTAAATAAAGGATTTTTTGGTTGTTTTTGAATGTATTTGTGATTATAATATATTTAGGACTTACCTAAAAAAAATGAAGTGACGTCAATTTTGAAAAAACGCAGTGCCGATACGAATCTCGTAGGTCCTTCTATTTCTTCCAATTCCCTTCAAGACGATTCCTGCGATGGACAGTCGGAAGGATCCGGAAGCCAAGGAGGCTACAGTGAAATCAGCGACGATTCTAGAAAGAATTTCAGAAGAGATTTAAAATACGATTCAAACGATGATGGATCTGACACTGATGAATATGGGGTAAAATATTTATGATTTATGGCAAATTTTGAATTTTGATCTAAAACTTTTAACACACTGTATCTTTGAAACTAAGCTCTTTAAGGGTTCATGTTCCTATATCAAAATTATAGTTTCACATACTAAAATTTGTGTTTAAATGAATACTTTTATCACTGGTCATAGATAAAAGTATTTATCCTATTACTGCAAAAAAAATGTGTACTATAAAATTTGTTACAGAAATAATTGTTTTAGGAGGGCAGTCATGTGAGCATTGCAAGTTTTGACGTTTCTGAAATGCGACAATATATATTGTCGGAAATAGAAGAATTTCAACCCCCTCAACTGACAGCCGGATCTGAAAATGTTTTATATCATTTTGTTCAACTGGATATCAATCAAGGCATATTATTGTGTCCACCGGAATCTCGTCAGCAAACTACTGCTTACAACTTGATAATAAATAATTTTAGAAGAATCTCTCTTGAGATACATTTCCTTTTTCAAAATACAATTAGATTTAAGGTAAACATAATTAGTATTTTTTATTTGTCATCGAGATAGAATGAATAATTTTATATTCACTGCATGATGTAATGATTGCCACTTGTACACGCCCTCCACACACAAGAATCGACGAATTGTACCTTTAAGTGTACTCATCGATTTAGTTTCTTATCAACTCACTCCGCTTTCAAACGTTCAATAATAAAGATGACTCGGGGTCGGAATGTTATCTATCGCTACACAATCACCCCAGTTTTAAGCTTTGACCAGTCAAGATGCCTCGGCATGTATCTCGCGTTACACAGACACTCAAGTTTTAACCGATCAGTAAAGATGCCTCAGAGTCGACATAATCTTGTTACACACACATTCCAACGTTGTCATTACATTTCCATGTCAAACATTCCATTTCGTTGTCGTCCTTATAGCGTGAGATTGACTTTCGCACAAGGACAAATACATTGTCGTTGTAATTAATTTGTGTTGTCGGGGTTTTGATTTATGGACAACAGGTTCCCTCTCAAGATAAACAGTCCACCAAATGTACCCAACATACAAGTGAAATTATATTAACACTTGTGCGAAATCTCTGCATGGATGTTAAATGAATAAAATGTTTCTATAATTCCAAGAATGACGAAAATTAGTCTAAATAAAAACAAATCTTCAAAACTTATAGGCTTTCTCAGGTTATTTTGTACAACCTATTGTATCGTATCTGTAAATGTTTAGAGGATGAATTAAATACATAAAGTTTCCCCATACATCTTACTCGAAAAATTTTTAATATATATTCATTCTCGAATACGTACTATTTTAGGAAAATGATGCATGAGACAAAAATTAGAAAGAATGGCATGATACATTTTTTTCTTCAAGTGTAAATAACATATATTCCATAAAGTAGAAAAACTACCCCCTATAAAGTACCCCCCCAGATGTTTTGACTATGCCCAACATATAATCAGTTCACCGCAGGATGGATTATAGCTTAAGTTTAAAATTTGGTTTTTCTGTTTATCCTTCATGAGTTATCAAGTATACAGACTCATACTTTTCTTTCGATACTGGGTAATTTATTACCTGATACTTTGCTTTTGATACTTCACTCATATCATTACTACTTTTGTTTTGATACTACTACTTTCGTTTCAATATTTTACTACTTTTGACATTACAATACATACAAAAAGTGTATTGTCGGATTACTTTATGGTATGTTATGTCAGCTTACCATATGACCTTTTTTTTTTTGGTTCTACACTCTTCCCAATATCGGTATCGATACTTTGGTTCCGATACCGGTATCGATACTTTACTGGCATCGCAACATCCCTAACTTCTCTATGTTTCTGACCACTCTAATAACATTGTCGACAGGCCTTAGTTTCATACCATCTATTTCTAAAATTGTAATGTATTAATATCACCATAAATAAACGTTTGTGTTTACTTGTGTATTCTCGGACAAATGTAATCTTTCAAGTTATATTTTCAAACATTATTTACATTTTAATTATCTTTTTTATTTATACAATTTTTTTAGAATATGCCTCCACAATATATTGCAAAATCAGTCATCAACAAGAGTCTGGTAGCTATAAAAGAACATGGAATTTTATTTGAATGTCCTTTTTTGGACGACCAAGAGAATAAAAAGTATTGGGTTTTGGGGTACGTTATTAATTTATGCATAAATTTAATTTTAATTGAGATTTGTTTTAGGAGACTGTTTTATACATCACGACCAAAGGAGTTATACGTCTGTTTTCAAGATGGTATTCCACAAAATCTAATAGAAATAGCTTTTAAAATAAATATGAGAAGTGTTACTTAATTCCAATATTTCTAGTTATTAAGAATTTATATTTTTATACTGTACTATATTTTAGATAATTATATACAATTAGATATATTTTAGGCATTTTTATTAAAACCACTGAGTAATTAAGAATATTTATTCTTGAAGTATAAGCTCTTTACAATATGTAACACAAAAGAAGTTAAAGTATTAACCATCTTAATCGTGCTTAATTAAAATAAAGGTTAATAACTGCTTTTGCCTAAACTATAATATTCCAAATGCAATGGTCATGTGATTTAATGGAAATTCAAACAATATACAATTAATTCTCAAATGACAATTGGTATTAAATTTAACAGAAAATACAAAAAGGTATAATTAATGGTTGAGATTCCAAAAGCATGTGAAAATTCTAAGTATATGCTTAAATTTTTAAAATATGAGAAATATTTTCTAAAGAAAAAAAAAAATGATAATGTTAAGTAGTTAACTAAAATCAACATCTAATTTTTGAGACATTGGAAGTATATTTCCAGTGAAAATAAATTAACAAAAATAAAATGATTTTAAAATGTATTTATTGTTAAGAAACTAAAACATTTCCTCTGGCTTCTGTTGATGATACAGGTTCATCTTGCTTGGGGTTGTCCAATCCCCTAAATTTGATATTGTGTTTTTCCCTATAATCATTGATTTCCTGTCCTTTTTTGGAAATTTGTTCATGGAGCTTTTCGATAAATTCTTTTAATTTTTCTTGATTTGTTATCAGTACTGGCAGAACATCTTTAACTTTTCTTTCTGTTAATATACCTCCAATTAACCGGAAACATTTTCTATCTTCGTTGACATTCTTTAAAGTTTCAATAACCATTCTGTAAAATTAGGATGAGGTTATAAATAGAAGTTATTACACATCGATATTTCCGCAAAAAATTAACATACAGTTACTGTTTTTACTTCATAGAGAATATCAGAATTAAATAATAGAGATAATTGTGATTCTGTTTAATCGAATTTAATAAAATACAACACATGAGGTAGTAGGTACTTACTTATGTTCATTCAAATCTAATTCAAATTCTGAAAGCTTTCCGGACAAAACTCTTTGTTCGGCTCTTAAATTTTGGAAACCGGCTAAGATTTCTTCTGGAGTTGGCCCCTTTTCAACTTTTTTCTTTGAATTACTAGCCATTTCTAATGTATTTCAAATTTTGCACAAAATCGGTTTTAACTTTTCTAATGGAGGATGTCAAATGTCAACAGCAAAAAACAATTGACAATCGTCTTTAGAATTTTATTTTCTACTTCTTCGTTTTCCTCAATTTGTAGTCTATACAGGCGCGTATTATTAGTTTCTGATAACAAGGTCCGGTTAAATCGCCAATATCATAAATACGTAATTTTGGATTCACTGAGAGTTAACCAAAATTGACTGTTTTTATTTTTTTATTAAATAATATTTGATTTGATTCATTGTTCTATTGTGAAGTCATCACTTCTCGGTCTCCTCGACGCTCGCTCGCTCGAGTTTCAAATCAAACACCCCTTAAGTGACTGACTTTTGACACTTGACGCCGACTGTTGACTTGACGTTGACAGATTTTATTGAAAATAGATAACTTTGGCGTCTACATTTTTGAAGCTATTAAATTACTTTTAATTGCTTTTATATTTTTAAATATAGGCATAATGTGATATAAACTTTATAGATGTAAGAACAAGACACTGTAAATTGCCATGATCCGGACTTTTCGATTTCCAATTTTGGGCACATTGCCCTTTAATTACACCGTTACATGACAGGGTAAAAATTTCCCATAGTTTATTAGTATTTTGTTAATAATAGTTTCAATTTTCAATTAGCCACTGAATTCTTGTTTTAGATAAAATTACTACTGATCTATGGGCAATGAGACTGCTAGAAATAATATGGAGACTGAATCAGTAAAATCAGAAAATAGTTCAAAATCAAGACGATCAAGAAGCCATAGAGATAGAAGTAGCAATTATAGACATCATTCTCATCGAAGTACCAGGTAAATTAAAACAAAGCCAAGATTATTACGATTTAACAACTTTTTTTTAGGAGTAGTAGATCAAGGCGGAACGAAGACATGGCTCCGTTTCAGACATCAGTGACCTTAACCCCTGATAATAGAGATGGGCAAGAAGTCATAGAAGTACAGATTCTTCCTCAAGATGATAACTGGGGTGAAAATACAACTGCTATTACTGGAAACACTTCCGATCAATCTGGTTCTGCTGAAGACGTCTGCAACTGGCCTGGAGAACCTGATACAGGTTTGGGTTTTATGTGTCAGAGATACATATCAACTAGTATAACATACATCTTGTCTTTTGTGGCATTTCTAAGTCCAATTGCTATGGTTGTTTTGCCTAAATTAGGTTTTTTCCCTGACCTTTCTTTGAGAATAGGACTTGCTGATAGTTCCAAGTTATTAGCATGTGGTGCTGAATGTAAAGGTCAGTTGGTATCTTTAGCGTTTAAAATGGCGATACTGGCCATAGGTGCTTGGGCAGTATTCTTAAGAAAACCTCAAGCCACATTACCAAGATTCTTCCTATTTAGAACAGGAATTTTGGTAGTAATAATGGTATGTACTTTCGCTTACTGGTTATTTTATATTGTCCAGGTGACTGAGACTGCAAGGGCAGCTACAACTCCAGAAGAAACAGTCGATTATAAGGCCTTAGTAGCTTATGCTTCAAGTTTGACTGATACATTATTATTCATTCACTACCTTGCTGTGGTTTTAGTAGAAATAAGACATATGCAACCAATGTATTACATCAAAGTTGTTAGGAGCCCTGATGGGGCTAGTAGCGCTTTTGGTATAGGTCAACTGAGTATCCAAAGAGCTGCAGTCTGGGTGCTCGAAAAATACTACACTGAATTTCCAATATATAATCCTTATTTAGAACGTATACCAGTATCTAAATCTCGAAAGACTTCTTCTAGCTTTAAGTTTTATGAGGTAGATGGTATAAATTCCTCTCAGATCCAGCAGTCTCAATCTCGGGCTATGCTAGCAGCACACGCTCGTAGACGAGATTCAAGTCACAATGAAAGATTTTATGAGGAACATGAGTATGACAGACGTGTGAAGAAACGTAGAGCAAGATTGATTACAGCAGCAGAAGAGGCATTTACTCATATCAAACGTTTACATAATGATCAAGTCTCTTCCATCCCTATGGATCCTCATGAAGCAGCGCAGGCTATATTTCCATCCATGGCAAGAGCTCTGCAGAAATACTTGAGAGTTACAAGACAGCAACCTCGACATTCAGTTGATAGTATTTTAAATCATTTAGCAACTTGTTTAAGCAATGATTTGACTCCAAAAGCTTTTCTCGAGCCTTACTTGGTATGCACACCAGTTTTACAGAATGAAAAAGAAAAGAAAGATGTCCAGACTTGGGCTTTGATCTGCGAAGAAATTTTAACGAGGCCAATTAGTGATGGCGTTTTTTTCCAATTAAGACAGAATGACGTATCTCTTTTGTGCAATATTAGGAAATTACCTCATTTCAATATTACTGAGGAAGTTGTTGATCCTAAAAGTAACAAATTTGTCTTGAGATTGAATTCAGAGACATCTGTATGACCAATAGAGTACTCGAGGTCCTGTGACAGACTGATTTGATTTGCATATCTGATTTGAAAGTAAATTTATCAAAATTTTAAATATATTCCTATGGTTTGTGTTTTCTTAATCATAAGTAATATTGAAGTGTCCTTTTGATATCAGTTCTATGAGAGTATTTGTGTAATATTTGCTATTTTGATAACTAATGGTAACTAAGAAATAATTTGCATAATGCATCTTGATTTTAGTAAATTCTGTCCAGAGCTGGTCAGTAATTGCCTCGAAAGTGCTTGAAAAATGTTTCAATCACAATAGTGTTTAGATAATGATATCTTATAAACAACTTTTATTTGAACAATTTTCTTAAAAATTCGAATTTTGCACTTTTTCTCAAATTTCTCGAATACGAACCATTTTAGGAAAATTATGTATTGGACAAAAATTATGGAGAACATTGCAAGCAACTTTTATTTGAAGACCTTTCTTTTCTAAGCATAAACATATATATTCTATAAAATAGAAAAACGACCTTCTATAAAGTACCCCCCAGATGTTCCGACTATGCTAAAAATCTAATTAGCTTACCGCATTTAAAATTTGGTGTTTCTCTGTATCCATTCATGAGTTATCGATTATACAGACACTTCAGGGGACTCGCAAAGTGTAAAAATCCGTCGAAAATTTGAGATCAAAAAAATCATGATTTCAAAACTTTCCTTATCTGTATACAGACAGGAAAGTAATAAGTGCTTGGTAATTGTTAATTGAATATCACATTTCAAGCCATTTAAAGTGATTGCAAGCACTCAAAAGAGCTTGCAAGCACAATTAGATTTTAGGTGCTAGCTTATGAAATATTATGTTTTTTGCATTTAATTTGTTGCTTTTCATTTTTATAGACGATACACAAATACCAGTTCCTGCACGTTAGTTTTATCCTCGTCACATAATATGACGTCACGTGGCATAAAAATCCGACGCATCTACATAGATAAATACAACTAACGAGATGTTTTCGATAATAAAAAACTAACATTACTTCATTGTTAAAGGTTTTTGTTTTTATGAAGTGAAAGTATAAGTACAAATATGCACAAATTTCATTTACATTTAGTCCATTTATTATTGCATCAAAAACAAAAATAAGATATGTGATAAAGTACAATGAGCAAAGACACTTCATTTTAAAGAAATACATCTTACATAAGTTCATAACAAAGAATGTCAAAAAATAATGCACAATTTGAACAAACAAGATTCGAGTAAAACCACTACACTATATCTCAGAATATTGTGGGGGATAATTTTTTTGAGAAAATGCAAATACTGATCCAAGTACCAGTTTTTTGGGGGTGTTCGGGAGAAGGCTCTTAGGAGGTAAACTGTTGTTCAAAAACACTAAATGCTTCAATTGTTTTTAAAATTCCAATTGCTTCATCCCGCTGTCTTCTTTTAGCTGATCGCAGATTATTTCTTATTGCCTTTTCTGGATTGCTGCGGGAAATTTGGGAATACAAAATAAAAACTACAATGGGTAATTTACAGATTTACTAATAATAATATTAGAACAAATTGAAATTTGTGACTACATAAAAGCAATTATTTCAAGCATGTTACCGAGTGTGAAACTATATGAAACAATCTATGCACAAGCCTACATTGCATTTTATTTATTTATTTTATTTATTTATTTACGGGTCAGAGCCCATTAAAACAATACAATTACAGATAATACATATTACATACATTAAATAGTAATAAAATCCTAAATAATAATAATAAATTAATTTAAATACATAAATATTAAAAACAATTAAAAATTACTCCTCACATATACATAAATGGATAGAAAAATCTGATGGAGAAGTAATCCATTCTACATTTAGTCTGTTAGCAGATCTTGTTGCTCTAGGAATAAAAGAGTGAGAACCATAATTTGTTCTATGAAAAGGTTGAGAGAATGTATTAATATTCCTAGTTACTCTAGAGGGTACAGAAAATCCAATTTGGGATAACAAGTATGGACAATCGGCAGATGAGTTAATAATGTTAAACAATATTTTAAGATCCCTTTGGTTTCTTCTGCTCAGAAGGGTCTCAAGATGACAAAGTGTGTGTAATTCGTCATAATTGTATCTGAAGTTGACCGGGACAATACCCGATTTAAATGCAACAATGCGTAAAAATTTTCTTTGAACCTGTTCTATATTATGGATTAGATATACATAAAAAGGATTCCATACAGAAGAAGCATATTCAATATAAGGTTAACTAAGGCACAATAAAGAATCTTTAAACACATCACATTATGAAAATCAGTAGTTCTTCTAAGGAAACCCAACATTCTTAATGCTTTATTAACTGAGGCTGTTATATGAGTTTGAAAAGAAAGGGTGGAGTCTAATATCACACCCAAATCTTTTACCTCTGTAATAGTATCCAGTGTTATGTCATTGATTTTATAGATATATTCAATAGGACTATGTTTTCTGTTGAAATTGATTGCATGACATTTACTTGTATTTAATTCCATTCCATTAGTACTACACCATTGGACCAAGTTATCCAAGTCTTTTTGAAGGCAAATACAATCACGTAAGGAATTTACACGCATGAATAATTTTAAATCATCAGCAAAGCAAAGGAACTGAGAATTCTTAAAACAATTTTGGATGTCATTGTTATATATATTAAAAAGTAGAGGTCCCAAATGTGAACCTTGAGGGACACCAGATGTAGTGGTAAAGCCAGAGGATAAGAAACCAGAAACACGAACAATTTGAATGCGGTTTGATATAAAGCATTCGATCCATTTCAGAAGATTACCACCAATGCCAATATTACTAAGCTTTCCAATCAAGCAATTGTGGTTAACTCTGTCGAATGCCTTTGAAAAATCAGTGTATATAGCATGAACTTGATCATTAGAATCCAAGGCATTCGATAAGTAATCAACATAAGACAAGTTAAGTTCAGTGGACTTTTTGGAGCGGAAACCAAACTGCCAAAGAGTTTAGGAATCACACTTTGAATGCATATTGGCCTGTAATTAGTTACATTTGATTTGTCGCTTGATTTGTAAATCGGTACAGTAAAACTTGATTTTCAGTAATTAGGAAACATTCCATTATGAAGTGAAACATTAAAGATAATATGCAGTGGACGGGATATAACATAACAACAAGTTTTCAATAAGGAAGGTGGCAAGCCATCAGGACCTGATCCCTTACTCATATCTAAACAGCTCAGATGTTCAAATATTTCTGAAATAGATATTTGATAATTTGCAACATTTAAATGGGTTGAATATGGTTTATCATAATTATGGCATGGTTGATTGCTATAGACTGAGCTAAAGTAATCCTGAAACATATTAGCTAAATCTGTACCCATAGAGCATCTAGTGTTGTTATAGTACATTTCGTTGGGTAACTCATTACTTTTTCTTTTTGAATTGACAAAATTCCAAAATGTTTTAATATCATTACCAACAGATGATTCAGTAAGTTTAATGTAATCATTGTAATTCTGTTTAGACTTAAGTTTACATTGAGAGCGCAAGTTAGAGAATACCATGTAGTCGTTAGAAGATCCACTAAATTTAAATCTAAGGTGTGCCTCCTTCTTTAGAATTATGAGATTTTTCAATTCAGGTGAAAACCATCTGGGAAATCGTCGAATGGATAATTTTTTCAATGGTACAAAGGAATGAATGACAGAGCATATTGTTCTCACAATTGATGTACATGTATTGCGAGCACATCTTCTTTTCTTTTTATCTTTGGTATGGTGCACCAAATGATCAATTCTGTCAAATCGAATATCATTGGATATTCGACTGTCGGCCGCTGATGATGGTGAGGTTGATCGTCTTTCAGTTCTTCTTGATTGCCCACGCATACCATATTTCGATAAATGTGTATTGGCTACTTCTCTTTTAAAATCTAATTGGGATGTTTTGTTCTTAGATTTATTATACAACACCCAACTGTTTTGGAGGGCAACATCAAGTGACCACGTAAAAATAGGCCAGTACCATTTTTTTCCACGTATGCCAATTCGGTAACAGGCCACATTTTGATCCATATGATCAGTTCCACCCAAAAATGAGTTGTACTTTGCTATTAATTTTGGCCTTCGAATTTGTTCATTGCGCTTGTTTCTGTGAAAATCTTTTGACTTGACGCACAGGTTGGGTGCCGCATGAAGAAAAAATTATCGTCACTACTGCGTTATCCATCCATCTAGCATACAATAGTCCATCTTGTCTTTTAATTGCTGTTTCAATATGACCACGTTCCTTTTTTTGAAATAAACTTACCCGCCTCGGTCCTCTTCTCCAGAATCCTCGTCCGTCTCTACTTTGAGATCTGGAGGCTCAACAAATATATCACCCTCAATGTCGTCGTCATATACCATCTCGAGTGCTTCAGAAAGAGAAAAACCTCTCCTAGACAAAAAATAGAGAATATAAAAATGTAGGTATTGCAAGCGCCTAGTGTTGCCATATGGCAACGCCTGGATTGACACATATATTGCTATGACATTTTTCAATTAAATATTTCATTTCATGCAAGAGCATCTTTGTTTATGTGTATGAAATACTTCTGCGATAGAAAAGTTTTATAAATATAGTCCACGTCTGGTATATAGTACTTACTTGAAGCGAATGTTCATTTTTCACATATCACAAAATAACGTCAGAAACAAATGCACCGTACAGCTCAACTACTCTGTATCGACTAAAATTGAACAGCTTCAGTGCTTACTGCACATCTCAGCAAGCCAACCGGCATAAATACCCCACCCCTGCATTATCTCATTTGCCGCAAATATTTTCTTTAAGAAGACAAGTGAGGTGTTGCCATATGGCAACACTAGGCGTTAATGGGTTAAGGCATGGTTAATTGCTATAGACTGAGCTAAAGTAATCCTTAAACATATTAGCTAAATCTGTAATTTATTCACAAAATTAAGTTAAAGTTTTGAGTAATTGGTGCTTGGTAATTAAATTGTGCAATGACTTTTCTCGGTAATTGTAAGCACTTAGAATTTCCGAATTTCCAAAGTGCTTGGTGCTTGAAGCACTTTTTTCGAGTGCTTTGTCCAGCTCTGATTCTGTCAATGTATTCTTAGTAAGAATATGTTAAAAAATGTAAAAGTTAAGTTAATTAAACCTTTTCTTCTACTCAAAAGAACTTCTTTTATTTAAAGAAATAGTAAAGAACATTTTCCAACAATAACGCAATAATGATTTTCCGTACTTAATTCTGTTGTCTTGTCTTTACTAGTTTCAAGAAGACCATTTATTTTTACCAGTGATAATGATGAAACCTTTAGAATAACGAAAAACGCACAAAATGTCACAATTATTACACATTCCTAAGATAAAAAAAAACATTGAAATAAATTTTAAATTACAAATATTTTCATATGTTACATTTTCTTTATTAGAGCACAACAATTTAATATTAAAAACGGGTACCACTTTTTTGACTGCATATTTATTTGAATCTTTTTTTAAAAACTGAATACTCACTAATATTTTAAGAGGCTACCGTTTTATCCCTGTTTTGTTTGTTAGATTTTAAGGAAAAATTAACATAAGCATAAACATTTTTGTAAAATATAGAATTTTTGATACTTTTTACATCCATATTTGTATCGCTCAATTTTTTGATATTATTTTTTATAATGTAAAGATTGTCATTATGCTTTGTATAGCTACTGCCATATTGTAATCTGTAGGTCGTTTAATAACTACTGTTATTGAATCATACAATAAAATTAATTTCCATTGAAGTTGTACTTATAATAGTATTCAGGGTTGGGCAAAATTGGCCCGAATAAAGTTTTTTTTATATATTATGCACTATTTAATGACTCTTGCCGATTTTCATTGTCTGTTATCAGATTACAATTGAATCACCCTATAATTATATTTTTTCTGATAGATCTTTTTTTTCTGAATTCATCAATGTAGGGGTTTAAAGGTCTCCGAGTTCATAATATAATAGAAAGTAAACATTTATTGTTTACCTTTATTTTATTATGATAAGGTAAGTTAGATACTATATTGATGGATTCAGAAAGAAAAGATCTATCTAAAAAAAATATTCATTTAAAATTTTATCCGATGGACGTCATTAAATAAAATATACGAAAAAATTTACTGGAGTCAATTTTCAGTACAATCTATAATTGAGCTACAAATCAGGTATTCCGCCAATTTTGCCCAACCCTGTATATTTTACCCTATTCAACAATAGGGAATATATAAAAATGTATTTTTAAACCAAAAATTTAGTTAAATATAATTAGGTAAATTATGTTTAATTAATTATTGAAATATGGTGTCTTCATATTTATACTTTTTTTATTTAAATATATATATTTATAACAAATGGATCTGAAAATGTACACTCAGATACATTATTTTATACAAAATGTATGCAATAATCGTATAGTAACTATTTATACATAAAAATGTTTGGAAAATCAGTATTTTAAAATTACTGAATGTACTTACTGTAGGTAGCTTTTTTTATGAATTATTGTTGTAAAGTTATATTAAAGTGTAGTTATTTAATAAATGTACTGATTTTTAAGGGAGTTTTTAATTTGAAAGGAAAAATATTTAAAAAAAGTAAAACATCAGTTTTTATGATAATGGTTTATTAACAAAGATATACAAAAAATAACAGTTTGGGAGTAGTGCTCAACAGATGGACTTATTTATTTTAAATTTTTCAAAGAAAGTCATTGTTCATAATTTTTTTTGCTTATTAAATAAATACGATTTACGTTGAAAAACTTCGATTTTGTTGTATGTACAGGGTGCGCAAAAAATTCAGTAATTATATTAAAAATTTTGAAGTAACATTTTTTAGATACGCTTTAATAAAAAACTTTTGACTTTTTGATAAATAAATTCTTACAAATCCTGCATTGGAGTGTGGAATTTTTTATTTTTGCATATCCACAATAATCCTCGAAATTATTTTTTTATAAAAAGGGGCAGTTTGCAACTTAAATTTAACAATTTAGTTGGCTACGCCTATGTTTCTTACCGTGAATAGAATTTAATTAACAAGCAAAAGAAATTATGTGATGAACGACTTAATTAAAAAAAAATATATTTTTACAAGTACAGTAGAGCGTCGATAATCCGGATTAATTGTGACCGGACCCTGTCCAGATTATCAAAATGTCCGAATTTTCGAAAATAACTAAAAAAGGTCGTTTGAGTTCATAAAAAGAAAACTTGTGATTAAATAATTGAGTAGATAAATAAAACCATTAATTAATATGAACCTATAATGTATTTACAAAATACTGTACAGTTTATACATTTTGTAGCGATTAAGACGACCCCGCTGTCTGTCACATAAACGCTGTTTGACAAATATATACGTATTTATTCACTTTTTTCACCGGAATTGAATCCGTATTATCGACGTTTTACTGTATAGTTAAGTCCATCTGGACCTGTTAACTTAATAAAAAAAAATACATAAAAATAGCTTAAAAACATTAAGGCAACTAACAATAATTTCTACTTACATTTTTAATATGAAACGAAAAAATTATTTTTTTTAGTCTTTATAATTAGCTATAAATCAATGCATTAGAAAAATATATTTGTAAAAAAATATATAGTCGAGCATATTTAAATCAAGTGGATTTAATTTTTTTGGTAAACGGTACTAAATTTTGGAGTAGCGCATAGTGCTCAATAAGATTAGTAGAGCAGCAAGGGAGTTATACCACATTGATAGGGACGGGGCATAGTAGACGGCGCTGTCACTGTTGAGAATTGAAACTTGAATAAGTGGTTTGCGACTCGGTGTTAAGCGATTCTAGATGGCGGCCATCGTTGACGTAGACAAGTGTAGATAAACGTTGAAGAGGATACTCATGCACAGTGCCAAAGCCAAAAGGCCATTACTTAACCATTTGAGACGTACATGTACATAGCTTTGATTTGATTAAACCGGAAAACATTGTCCTTAATTCTATTTTAAAGTACTTTTAATATTATTGGCGCCATCTCCTATTTAGTAGTGAAAGTAATTATCATTCTGTAAGTCGTTATAACGTTTACGTTAGCGAGTTAAAATTTGTGAAAGTATTAAGTTTTTCTACACCCGTATTATAATAATGCACTTATATGCCCATAATCCGTTTCATAATGATACCCATTATGATACAGATTTTTCATTACGATACAGATTTTTAATCAATAGAAACCTACAATTTTTCAATCAAGCATGCTGTTTGACGTTTGTCCTAGGTTCCTATGTAATTATTTTAGTTGTCAAAACGTATTAAATTTTCGTAGGTAGCTAAACTTCGATAATTATAATATTAAAATGTCTGATATTAGCGATATAGAAGACTCCTCCACACATATCGGAGAAAGCAGAAAATACAGTACAAAATATTTTACCGCAAAAATCTAGGGAAATACCAATACCTGAAGTAATACCATTAATTACAATTTTGTAGAATTTTTTATAGAAATACGAGTAATTACTGTTATTGTGTTCAATACCAATATAAATATAATATTTATAGGTCTTGATTATTTATCGGGTGTAGAAAAAATAGCGTATGCAACTCTCATGTAATGGTTATTAAAACACTCGCATAAACCATACGAAACTCGCCTTTGGCTCGTTTCGTATCCCGGTTAATGCTCGTGTATTAATAACCATCATTACATGATCGTTGCATAATATACTATTTTCTACACCCGTATTATAATAATGCACTTATATGCCCATAATCCGTTTCATAATGATACCCATTATGATACAGATTTTTCATTATGATACAGATTTTTAATCAATAGAAACCTACAATTTTTCAATCAAGCATGATGTTTGACGTTTGTCCTAAATTCCTATGTAATTGTTTTAGTTGTCAAAACGTATTAAATTTTCGTAGATAGCTAAACTTCGATAATTATAATATTAAAATGTCTGATATCAGCGATATAGAACACTCCTCCACACATATAGGAGAAAGGAGAAAATGCAGTACAAAATATTTTGCCCCAAAAATCTGTGGTAATACCAGTACCCAAGGTAATACCATTAATTACAATTTTGTAGAATTTTTTATAGAAATACGAGTAATTACTGTTATTGTGTTCAATACCAATATAAATAGAATATTTATAGGTCTTGATTATTTATCGGGTGTAGAAAAAATAGCGTATGCAACTCTCATGTAATGGTTATTAAAACACTCGCATAAACCATACGAAACTCGCCTTTGGCTCGTTTCGTATCCCGGTTAATGCTCGTGTATTAATAACCATCATTACATGATCGTTGCATAATATACTATTTTCTAGTTAATTTTTGTTAAAACAGATTCATAATTTTTGTTGCTATTTCTCTAAGCAGAAATTATACAGTATTACAGTTCTTTTCCTATAAAAATCGTGTTTATTCAAATGTACCTCTGCATGTACAAATAGTATGGAGTGTTTTATTATTATTGTACATCAGCATGTACGTATGGTCTAAAACAGCCATACTCAACCTGCGGCCCTCCAAGCTGTTCTGTGCGGCCCTCCAAGCTTTTTTGTTTGACCCCAAACGATTATTAGTAATTGAAATGGTTGACCTATAGTCCTGTCCTTGCGACTTTTGAAAGCAATAACACAACTAAAACAACAAGAGGACCTTTTTTTTAGAACATGGTGGCCCGTGTAGCATAACAAACAAATTTATGTGGCCCGGAGGAAAAAAAGGTCCAGTACAGTTGGTTCAGAATTAAACAAAAAATATAATTTAGAGAATCCGAGTCCTGCCCTTGTCATGCCCTAAAACTGATAGATTTTTTAGAAGATGGTAACATGTCAGATATTGGGAATATTGCACAACGAGGAACTGATGGATCTTTTTCACGATGCGGTATCTAGACCTTCTGAGGGCTATGAGTATAGCGCATTGAAAGTTTAGATTTTTAGGATTCTGAAATTGTTAAGCGTCTAGGAGCAGACTGTGTGACAGACTTGAAGCAGAACGGATGGAAAGTCAGAAAAATGAAGGCAACGAAAGTGAAGACGATGATTCAGATTGCCAATGTTCGCCATTTTCCTGAATATGATGCAAACAAGGAGGCCACCATGTGCAAGCACAGGAGTCACATTTTTTGCAGAAAATGTAATGTACATTATTTGTGTTTGATCAAGACTAGAAACTGTGGACTTTCATGTGCAATAACTTAAGTAAAAAGAATAATAACTTAAGTAAAAAGAATGGAATATTTTTATAAATAGTAATCTTCTATTGCAAATTTCTGTTACTGTCGGTACCACATGTACATACCTATGTACAAATTTTTTTTTGGTAATGAGAGGAATAAAATTTTGTTTTTTGTTTTATACCTTTAATTTCTTCTCTATCAATAGCAAAATACCATCAGAAAAATATTTTTATAAAAACACAAAAATCGGGTCTCAAAGGGTTAATATCTCTGCTACTATTGGTCCGAATCGAATGGATCAAACGGCAATATGAAGGATACGCAACGTAGATTAACGTTGAAAACAAAAATTATGCGCAGTAGCATTATTAAAAAGGCTTATCCGTATATCTCAGCTATTATTGGTTTGATTTAAACGAGACAAACGACACTATGAAGGAGACGTGACGTAAATTAACGTTGAATCTGACCAATAATATTAACTAATGCCCTTTTGGCTTTGCTTTTCGTTTATCTATCTTGTTCGCGTCATCGATGGACCCCATATTGGATCGCTCAGCCGAGTCGCAAACCACGTATCCATGTTCAATTATCAGTGGGGTAGCCAGCCTTGCGGGGTGGGGGGGGGCATACATTTAATGGGGCGCAACATACATTTTTATTTGCCAGGAAAAAAACGCAACACCCTGTATATACTCAAATATATTCAAAATATGTCTTGTTCAAATTCATATAACTTTTAATTGAATGCTCTTTGTGTATCTATAATACAAATTGATATATCGAGCAATTATGCACTAATGGGACACCCTGTATAATATATGAATATTTACACCTAATTTATCAGTATTTCCAATAGCATTCGTATAATAATTATTGTTCAATGTTATTTCGAATTTTCCATTTTTTCGTTGTACACTTCGGAATCGTATGCAAATCGATAAAACGTGATATTTTATCAAGAAATTTACTAAAAGAAGAACGCATACGTTTTTTAATTGTTTAAAGTGAATCAATAATTTTGCGACCTATCTTAGCGTATGCAAATATCTTAAACCCTTCCGAAATGTATGCAAACACTTTTTTTACATAGTCCAATTGCATACATTAAATAATTGTTCCCAGTAATTACAAAAGAAAGTACATGTTTAAAAAATTACCGCAACGCTTGTGCACGCCGCGATTTTATGCAAAATATTGTGGTCTATTTAAGAACAAAAATATTGCTGTGAAAAAGCATAAGTTTAATTATTGTTTTTCAATACCTCTTCTTTTTTACATGTTCAATTAACAATTTTGGGACGTACTACACGAAGGAGGCGTATGTAAATTATTTTCCGCGTTATATTTTTATTCAAATTTTAATAAAAAACGATTTGCATGCATTTACTAATCGTTTAAAATTATCCATTTTCAATACAAATTCAAATTTCGTTGGTGACACCGCTGCATGCGAGCACTCTTAGATAATTGGCTAGAAGTTAAAAATCTATTATATTCATAACTTAAAAGATGCATGCATAAAAACGTTGCACTTTCAATAATATTGATTTTAAAACGTAATGAATTTTTCGAAACCAGTTTCATGATGTTCAACATTATGCAACTGGTTGCGTAAAATATATCATTTTGACACTGATACTGTGGTCATGTCCCCTTTGCTACTTTACTAATATTTAATTGAAATACTGTTTTTATTCCATATTTTGAAACAACTTTTTGAACATTATTATTAACAATAAAATAATGTATTTTATAAAATGCTAGATAATTAAATTTCTATGTGTTTAGGGATAGGTGGAAATATACATTTTGTTGCTTTAAGCATGATCTGTAGTATGTGCTAAGCTGTAAGGTGAGTTTGGGCCTATTTTATGTTTATTAGCTATTCCATTAATTGGATACCTTAGAAGGTAAAATATTAACCCACAAAGCACTACACAAGACAATGATAATACTACTATCAGCACTCTATGACTTTTCTTTCCGTAAATGGCTGGAAAACATTCCAATAAATCGGAAGGCTCGATGTCTAGGATTTTTTTGTGTTTGAGTTCGCTTGGGTAATTACATCTAAAAAAAAGTATTACATTAGATAATTGTAGTTTAACCAATTTTCTTAGCTTCATAACAATATAATTTATACAGTGTTAAACATACAAAAGGAATAAATTCAGTAGCTTAAATACTGTGCATATTTATAAAAAATCCCGAAACACGTTAATTTTAGATCAAAAAATGACATCCTGCAACGTAAAAATTTCACTCCTATCTTCCACCCTCTTCGAGTGACACTTGCAACCCCCAAATTTGTAAATAGAAAGTAGGGGCTTGTGATACCTCATTTGAAAGGTATCTTAACTCAAAAATTCTATTCAAAAATGATGTGGTTCTAAAATTTATTGCAAAAAATTCCAGTACCAAAAATAAATTAATTACTAATAGAATTTCGTTCTTGATAATGTAAAAAAATAACAAAAAGCAGCAATCTTAATGTAGGAGATATTCAAAATGCATGCCTCGAATGTCCTGGTTAGGATGCTACCAGTACGTAAATAAAATTGTTTTATAACGTTAATCAACATATTATGAGGCGTGACCGATTTAATCGCAAACGTAATTTCCTAATTGATACAGAACTTTTTAGCAAGAACTTTTTTTTTGTGAAAAGTAAGATAAAACTTTTTCTCATGTATATAAAACTTTTTGGAACACACTGTGTAATGGATTGTGACGTGTCAAAGTGGATTCAGATATTGTTGTTAACAACATGCTCGAAGAATCTATTATCTATTATATAGTGTGTCCCAAACAATTTATACTGAAAAGAAAAAGTTACTTACTTCGCCTGTTCATATAATATTAATAAAGGACAGAAGGATGAGTATTGCAACTATGTTAAAAGAAATAAATTGGCTTTCAGTTCAGAATTATGTTCAGTACATGACTGGTATTTATTTATAAAATAAAAATGACATAGTACCATCGCATCAGATCTATTAGAAAAAATTCAATATAATTCGAAATATCACAACTAAAATACAAGAAGCCAATTTGACTTTCATGTATGGCAAGCCATCACTAAAAGTTCCCAAAATACAATTTTTATTAAAGGTTTAAAAAATTTAATAGACTGCCTACAGAAATTAAAAAAAAAAAAACAAATGTATTCAAAAGTAACCTCAAACAATACTTGATAAATAAACAGAACGGATATACTTTCTTGTGATAATACTCTTTAAACCTGCCCTTTTTAAGTATTTCCCTTAATTTATTGTTATTTTACCCCTCGTTTTACCCGCATTTATTATAAATTATTTCTATTTTGAGATCATGTACTTTATTGTAAAAAATTTCTTGATGTTATAATAATACTACTTACTATGTTTAAATTATTAATAGTTTTGCGACGATAGGTTATAGCAACTTATAGCCACAAAACTATTTTTGTGTTAAAGTAGATCCAAAGAGAGCAATGTAATTTACAAAGGCCTTCTTTCAACATACAAATAAATGACAACTTTATAATTAAAATAAAAAACAACAAAATACCTCGGTATCAAGGTAAGAAGATTCATTTTTAAATTTTATTTATTGAGGAAATTTATGACTAGAAGTTTACTAATTATTATTTACAATTCGCTGGTTGAATATGTAATCTAAAATCGTATAAAAAAAATTTTCTACAAAAAAACCAGCATTATACCCTACCTTTGTATAAGAACATTATATTATCTATCTTGCTGTGCCTTTATGGAAAGCCTGAATTGAGATATACTACAAATTATTTGCAATAAATATCAAAAGAAGTATACATTTTTAAATAATTTGACATTTAAGAGCCATTCACACATCACAGTTGACATCTTGATACTTGACAGGCACAGCCAAGCATTATTCTGATTTTTGCCAAATAAAATGGCCGGTTAATTATTCTATGGGGTTGCGACAGAGAGCCAATAAATTTGATGAAGGTGTTTTTGTGGCTAGGGGCGAAATAGTAGTACGCTTCAGTTAGCACCACCATAAAAAAGTCATTTTTAAGAAATTGCTTATATATTTTTCATAAATTGGCAGGCTTGGCTACTAATTTCGAATACAAATAGCCTCCAAAATGGCTATGATTGCAAGTATGAAGGTCACAACCCGCTTTAGAAATTTCACCTTTACTATCAACAGCTGTTGTTTGACAGGTCGTTAGAGAATGTTTGCAATTTATGGAATTTTAAGAATGTTAGGAATGTTGACTTAGAAATAATTAAAATTCCTAAAATTGTAACACAAGAAATGCATATGCGGATTTTAAGAAAATTGATTATAAAGTAGTTAGAATGAACCGAAAATTCTGAAAATCAATAAGGTTCTAAGTTAGAAGTAATTATTCGTGAAAATCAAAACTGCAAGTCAATCAGAACTTTCGTTCTAGAGTTATCGTGCCGGCATACATACATACAGACGACCAGACGAAATTTTTTTTTGCATTGTCGGACTGATTGGAAACATGAAAAAAAGTTTTAAAAAATGGAGGTAAGAAAATTTTTTCGTCTGCACGAATGCAATACTGAGGCATCATAGGAAGGGCTTCAGTAATAGGTGGTATCTTGGAAGAATAGAACTAGAGGAATTTTTTTGGAAGTTATTGAATACTTAAAATCAAGGCGAAAGTAATAATACTAGATAATGGATTCCCAGGTGGGTAACGCAGAACTTTTTATCAAGAATAATTGTTTTTTGAAAAAACAAAACCTTGGATGGATTTCTAAGTGAGGCAGAGCATTTTATCGAGTATCAAGAACATTTGATCGAATATCATTTTTTTTGTATATAATTTTTAACACATTGTATAATAGATTGCGATGTGCTCTTTGAGCACGTTGTTAACAACATCTGAATACATTTTGTTGTTAACAACGTGCTCTTAAGAGTGGTAATATTTAAGACTTTCTTTTTGATAATAATACTTTAATACCTATAAAAAGTTAGGTATAAAAATTCTTGGGGTAAATACCCTCATTACCCCCTGTATATGAGCCCCTGAATTGACCCAACATTTTTCAGAGAGCTCCTTTACTATATATTCATAGTTTTAATTTTAATGTTTATACAATAAAAATTACAAAATGTTATATTGAAGTGTATAAATAAATTCAAGACTTTATATTTCAAGCAAGATTTACAATCTTAGAACATAATTTATGAGTTAAGCGACCTACCTAAGTTCGTGAGGTTTGGACAATTCATCAGCAAAGTCTTGAAGCCAAAGAATATCGCAGTCACAATTCCATGGGTTATGTGTTAAATCAATATGATCCATATTTTTGAAGAAATACTTATAAGACTGGTTCAACGACTTCAATCCATTTCTAGCCAAAGATAAGAACTTTGGATGATGATCAATATCCTTCGAAGGTACATCGAAAGCTAATTCATTAAATTCCTTCAAATTTGGACAATCGTTAATATAAAGCTTCTCTAAAGCGAATAAATTGTAAAAAGCGTAATGGTGTATATCAGTTAGAGTATCCATTTCATTTAATTTGAGAACTTTCAAAGAGTGGTAGTTGAGGTATCTAGCAGAAATGAAAGTCAACTTATTTCCAGATAGATCTAAATATTCTAAAGTATACGGAACAGTAGGAATAACTGATAAATCATTATCGCATAAAGACAGTTTCTTCAAATCTACAAATTTATCAAAGTAACCACTAGGAAGTTCCATCAAGTTCAAACCGTTTATACTAAGTTGAGTTAAGTTTGATGTCAATCCTAATTTATCAGTTAAAACAGATTTGCTAGAGGTTAAAAATTCACCCATATAGTTGTAGCTCAAGTCTAGTTGGATAAGCTTAAATAAAGGATTAAATATGAAATCTGGTAAAGTATTTAAGTTATTGTAACTAAGATCCAGGAAATTTAGGGATTTAAGATTTTGAAATACTTCAGAATTATTAAAAGCACTGATAAAATTGTTACTTAGATCCAATTGTTGCAGGTTTGGAAGATTTTGGAAGAAATTAACGTCAATGTAAGTTATATTGTTATAACTAAGAATAAGTTCTTCTAAACTATTGCTGCTTAGAGCCTGTTTGGTTGGGTCCAAATTTTGTATTACATTGATAGAAAGATCCAGAATACTCAAACCATCTTCAATATTTTCTGGAATATTTTCTATTCCTCTTTCGGAGCAGTCAGCTGTTTGCATAGGTAGATGAGACTTGGTATTAGTAAATATTCTACAGTCACATTTTAATTTACTTGCGTTGGAACAAATCTCACTGTACACGTTTTCACAAAACACTAACACGAAGAGAAGAAGGAGTTTAAGCAACATTACGCTGTAGCGAATTGAAAATTGTACTCGAAAGGAATTCTTTATCAAAATGGGTGTCGTCGTCTTATCAGGTGCAAGGCAATCGTTCTAAATCAATGTGTTATTTATTTTTCGTTTCGTATTAGAGATATACTAATGATGATCTGGTATTTGCCAATATTCTTTATCTAAAGGTAAACCAAATAATGAATTATTTCTATATATCTACACTTCATAAAACTGATAGTTAATTAATTTTTTTATCTACTGGGCTTATAAAGGAGTTTCTGGAAATTGAGTAGGTACTTAATAAAAAAAAGATATTATATTTAAACCAACTTTTTGTTTTATCGGTTCTATTTATAGTTTAAAACCAATTATTTGTTCGCGTAATTTTTTTAAAAGTTTTAGTTATATACGAGGTAAAATGTAAGTACTTTTTTAAATAACCGATAGCATAATTTGAGCATGGTTATTTAGGCATTTTAATTGCTACTATTTAAAAAAAATATGTAAGATGACTACTTTGTGAATTAATAGTGGCGACTTGTCTATAGTGGCTACAGAGATACAGCCCCAGTACAAAGAGAAATCAATTTATATAAATATAAAGTGCTTCTCAAAAGTCCCCTCCCCCTCTTTTCTTTTGAAAGGTGATACTTAGACTGATGAAATTTGGAGGGTGAAAATGAACTATTGTAAGCTTCTCTACTATTGGTAATAGGTGACGTAAGAGGCATCGGTGACGTCACCAGATAACTGAAACCAATAATATTAAATGGGACCTTATGGCAAGTGACACCTCGTTTGAAATGTATTTAGAATACCTATTCAGTAATACTATTTTTTTTTGGATTTACGATGTTTTTGATGGTTAAAATAAATTAACATTAAAATTTGAGTTTCGCTTTTAATTAATACATATTTAAGAACAAGTTCTTATAATAATTGTTCAAAATGTGCTCCATCTACTTCCTGACAGTAAAATATCCTATTATTAAATTCTTGTCGGACTCGATTAAATGTGTCAGGAGAAATTGCCCTACATTCTTCAACAATTCGCTGTTTTAAAACGTCAGGAGCTGTAGCGTAAACTTTAGATTTAAGATATCCCCACAGAAAAAAATCTAGAGGTGTTAGGTCCGGTGACCGAGCTGGCCATTCTATTGGACCGCGTCGTCCAATCCATCTATCAGGATATTCCTCATCTAAATAACGTCTTACTGCAAAGTAATAGTGTGCAGGAGCACCATCTTGTTGGAACGTTATTTCCAAGTTACCAAATTCATCTGGATTATCTTCCAGAATTTGAAGAATTAATGCTTCAATTGCGTTTTCTAACATCTCCAGATATACCTCACCAGTTAAATTAGAGTTCAAAAAAAGAGGCCCGACTATGTGGTTTCCCAAAATACCTGCCCAGACATTTACTTTTAATGGGAACTGTGTATGTTTTTCACGAAACATGTGAGGATTTATGTCACTCCAATACCTCACATTTTGAGTATTAACATTTCCATTAAGGAAGAAAGTACTTTCGTCACTAAAACAAATTGTCCTTACATAGTCTGGCTGTTGGATAATTTTAGTGGACATATTTTCACAGAATTCCAGCCTTCGGTCAGGGTCGTCATCTGAAAGTTGATGCAACATTTTTAATTTGTTTTTGGTCAACACCCTGTGTACTGTACTATGACTAACTCCAAAGGTAGACGCTACTTGGGCTGTGGAAGAAGTAGGGTTTACTACAATTTCTGCAACTATATCAATTTGTTTATTAATACCAATATTTGGTCGACTTGATCGTTTGGCATCATGAACACTACCTGTTTGTTGAAACTTATGAAAAAGCTTCCTCAAATAAGTCCTCGATATAGGGTGATCGGGGTATCTCTCATTAAAAATGCGTTCCGCCGCATGAAAATTATTTCCACTTTCACCAATAATTTAGTTTGCTGTTACTTTGTCAGCTAAAGCACGTACCATTTTGTTTATGTAGATACTTAAACAATAATTAAACTAAAAATTCAAGATATTATCGCCATAGAAACGTCTATTAAAAACTTTCTGCTTTTTTGACAATCAACCATAGACGGACTTTTGAATCTTTATTAATTAAAAGAGAAACTCAAATTTTAGTGTATATTTATTTTAACCATTAAAAATATCGTAAATCCAAAAAAAATAAATAGTATGATTGAATAGATATTCTAAATACCTTTCAAATGAGGTGTCACTTGCCATAAGGTCCCATTTAATATTATTGGTTTCAGTTGTCTGGTGACGTCACCGATACCTATTACGTCACCTATTACCAATGGTAGAGAAGCTTACAATAGTTTATTTTCACCCTCCAAATTTTATCAGTCTAAGTATCACCGTTCAAAAGAAAAGAGGGGGAGGGGACTTTTGAGAAGCACTGTATAGTACTATACAGGGTGGTCCATATTTGTGGGATATATTAATTATTGGCTTTATTATTACGTTTTGAAAAAAATCCTTGAACAGGTCGATTTTTATTTCCAAAATGACATTTTCTAAACAAAATTATTTATCTCCCCCTTCAACCCCTTCGGAGTAAAAGTCACCCCTTTAATTTTTTTAAATAGAAAGGGGTAGCGTGTGATACCTCATTTTAAAGGGTTTTTAATTCCCTATTCAGCAGTATAAGATTTTTTGTTTTCTGTACATTTATATTCAAGAAACAATTTTTATTTTTAACTATTCTATTAATAATACTACAATTTAATGCTATTAAATGTTCAAAATGACTGCGGTTATTAAATTCTTGAAGAACATCTTGTATGACGTCCGGGCCAATTTTTTCAATTTCTTTGGTGATTCTTTCTTTTAATTCGTCAATAGTCTCTGGTCGATTTAAATACACTTGAGATTTTAAGTGGCCCCAGAGAAAATAATCAAGCGGCGTTAAATCGGGAGATCGAGGTGGCCATTCAATGGCTCCACGCCTGCCAATCCATCTGTTAGGAAATGCTTCATCCAAGTAGTCTCTCACTCCACGTGCAAAATGTGGTGGAGCACCATCTTGTTGGAACCAAATATTTCTATCTGTTTCATCTGGATTGTTATTATCAGGATACAGAACTTGTAATTGAGGTACCAAAAAATTTGTTAAAAAATATAAATATCCTTCACCTGTCAGAGAGTCATCAAAAAAGTAAGGCCCAATGATTTTATTTTCAATAATACCACACATTCACTTTTTTAGGAAACTAAGTGTAAGTCTCTATTATCCAATGAGGATTTTCTCTGCTCCAATAACGAGAATTGTGTCGGTTGACAGTACCATTTAAGAAAAACGTTGCTTCGTCCGAAAAACGTATTTTCTGTACAAACTGCACATCTGCCTGACGTCTGTTCATTATTTGTTCACAGAATTGTAGCCTTCGGTCTGGATCGTCCTCAGATAACTCCTGTACCAACTGAATTTTATTGGGATGGTACTTTTATTTGTGTAAAAAACGCAAAATTGTAGTTTTACTCACGTTGTGTTCGGCAGCAAATTGTCTAGTAGATTTATGCTGATTTTCTTCAAGGGTTATCATAACATCTAATCGTTTATCCTTATCAACTTCATGGGTTCTTCCTGCGTTACGAACTTGCTTCACATGCCCAGTACTACGAAATTTCTTTGCTACTTTGCTAACTGTAGACTGTGAAATATTATGTCCTGGATATTTATTATTAAATAATTCACATACCTCCCTATGCGTTCGTTTTCTATTGTCACAACCAAGCATTATTAAAATATCTATTCTCTGAGTTTCAAATAAATACGCCATAACGACTGTTCATAAAATTGAACTAATTAAATAGTATAAATTATAATTGTCAATTGTAAATAAATGTTCCTTGCTTATTCCCTTGTAGCAGAATCGCAAAAGTTTTTCATAAAAAGCTCGGTTTAACTTTTTATTGCCATTTTTTTACATGGTCTAAGATAAGATAGAAATATTATTAATAGAATAGTTCGGGAGGTGGTTAAAAGCTTTAAAAATAAAAATTGATGTTTCTTGAATATAAATGTACAAAAAAACAAAAATCTTATACTGCTGAATAGAGAATTAAAAACCATTTAAAATGAGGTATCACACGCTACCCCTTTCTATTTAAAAAAATTAAAGGGGTGACTTTTACTACGAAGGGTTAAAGGGGGAGATAAATAATTTAGTTCAGAAAATGTAATTTTAGAAATAAAAATCGAACTGTTCAAGGATTTTCCTCAAAACGTAATAATAAAGCCAATAATTAATATATTCCACAACTATGGACCACCCTGTATATACAAATCCCGTTTCACGACATCAGTGACGTTAGTCTTTCATCATAATACTACCAACTAACTAAAATGTCCCTAACTAAGCTAAGAATCCGAAAATATCATGAATATTCACGAGCATTCATGGACGTAGTCTTATTACTAAAAAACCGAGAAATGCAATGGCGGGAAGTCAATTAAAATGGCGCGGCGTCGCGTCGGTCCAGCAAAAAAAGGAAAAACATAATTTTTTATTTTTTTTATTAATAACTTTATCACAAATTATGTTACAAGAGATTAGATTAAATTTAATTAGGAATGGGGGCCATGTGCCCCCCCCCACCTCGACCTTTTCAGATCTATTGTGGATATCCTTTAACCCTTGTTTAGAAAAGCTTGTCTAGTTCGGTCTTTTGCAGTAGACTCCATAAACAAGGAAGTAGTTCTCCGGCTAGCTAGTTTCCCTTGGTTTTTCTTCTCCAGGTGTAAAGAATCTCAGTCTTGAAAGACCTTCGCAGTAGCACAATACGTATTCTGCAGTTTTTTCCTTTTCCTGCCAGAATCGCCAACACATAATATGAAGGAACGCCCTATATATTATGCTCCCTTGTATAATAAATCACTACAAAAAAAAATATATAGTTTCTGAATATAAGGCACCAGAAAATGACCGATATTATACATATCTTTGTTAAGCCTACAATGCCCTTTTAAAAGACATACTAGTGCTCTAGTATTTTTCCTATTATGTTTTAATAGCTGTCTTTGAGACACCACAGAAGGATTCTGGGCCAATAAGAGCCTCTGAGGCTTCTTCTCGGGCTAGTAAATCAGCCTCTTCATTGCCCTTATATCCTCTGTGACCTGATACCAAGACTATAAGGTTAGTCCATTTTGTCTACCTAGCTCTGTTAGGGATTCCAAACTGTACCGCACAAGCTTTGAGTGCACCAGAACTGAGTGCTTTTAACGTTGCTCAACTGTCTTAGAATAT